CAGGATATAGTGACGCTCACTACCTAAGAGGCTTGCTCATCGTCACTCCCGGGACAGACAAAGGCCATGTATTTTTCTTCTTTCTTTCTCTGGGTACTTTCGACGTGTGGCTTGGACGTCCGTCCATCTTCCCATCTTCTCTTTCTGTTGACGGTTTGACGGTTTCTTACCTTTACACCTGTCAGATACCTACCTATGCACCAGGTATTTTTTGTAATACATTTTCAGGACTGGACAAATTCTTTCTTACTCATGGGAGGAGGACATGTCGTATCTATCTGGTCATCATTGCAAATCGAAATCAATGTCTTCTACTCGGTGCATGAAAAAGAAAAAGGGTATCATGATCCGCAAAAGCCCCCAACCTCAAACTCAAAACCCGCGAACATCATGTACACAAGACGTTCCACATTTTATAGTCAAGAGTCATAAACATAGTCATGACCTTCCTGTTTTAGAATCATGGTCTTACCAAGTCCTGATGACCAAATGAAACCTCGCTCAATCCGGTGAACTCCTCGACCCAAACCCAAAATGATTCAAGATGTGTGAGCCCACACATGTAGACCCTCTTGGAGGCAATCTCCCGCGCCCGATGTAAACCATGCCATAACTCGAAAACCCCCGACACCGACCCTGGAAACACAAATCTAAGGCAAAGGAGAAAGAAGAGATCTATGTCACCGCGCTAAGAGAGCAATCAAAGAAGCATGCACGAATGAGAAAATGGCAAATCGAGGAGGAAAACAAAAGGACAAAACTTATTTCAACCACACCGGCTCAAATACACCCTTGAGAGGTTTCTCCCCTGTCGTTTCTTCCATGAATTTCTCGCTTACCGGAGTGATCAGTGGACTCCAGCGTCCGAATCGCGTCTGCGCCCAGTCCAGACAGAAGTGATGAGTTCTCAGGAACTCGGGAATTTTTTGAGGAAGAGACCTGACGCCGACACCATCGCCGCCACCGCCGAAACCCATCTTCCAACGACTCTCGTGTATCGTGGGACCGATCGCGAGGTGCTCGAGACTTGGCTTACAGTGGACAGAGATTTGCGGAAAGGCCCATTCGATGAACTTGGTCGCGTACTCTTTGATGGTGTAGTCGCCGACCTGGGAGTGGAGGCGGTTCTCGGGAAAGTTACGCACGTGCATGGTCTTGAGGCCCGCAAGGGCCGGGAGCGAGGTTTTGCGCAGCCTCACCATCTCGTCGCTCCAGGGGAAGCCCATGCCGAGCTGTTCCAGGTTCGGGCAGAGGCGTGCAATGTCGTCAATGGTGTCCACCCAGACATCCGACGAGTATCCGCCGGCACCAAAAGGTCGAGACGTGTCGAGGCCAAGGTGCTCGCGAGGCTGGATGCGCGCTTCAAGGACCAGTGTGCGCAGTGTAGGGCCGTGTCCGGCGATCAGAGTCGAAGGGCGCTCGAGGATGGTTGCATTTTCGAAGAGCAACGACAGCGTTTGGAGACCAGTGAATGAGGTGGTGAAGTGAACCAGGGCGTCTTTGAGCGCGGCCGTAGGACTTTCGTGCCGCAAGAAAAAGTGTTTCAGTGATGGAAGGGTGCGCGGGTTCTGAGGAGCATCTGGTGAGTGTGTCACCCAGCCAAAGCCCGTGGCTAATAGGTCGAGAAACTCGGCGGTGCCGGGACAAGACTCCAAGGAAAGGCGTTCGAGGCAGCAGAAGAACTCGATCTGAGGGATTGACGAGGGTCGAAGGGGAATCAAGTCAATGCCAGAGAGTGAGAGGTCGCGCAGGCGTGGCATGTTTCCCACAGCAAAAGCCGCGGTGAAGAATGTGTCCTTTGGCTGTGGGATCCGCTCCAAGGAGCCAAATCTGGAGCGGTGATAGCCCATCAGCAGCGGCTTTTCCTGTCCCAAGTATATCCTTTGCAAGGTATTTGTGTTTGCTGACATTATCTTCTCGACTCCCTCTCCATCGTTGATAGTCCTGCATTCAAGGCTGGTCAGGTTCGAGGGGACGACGGTCGGTTCCAGCGCCGAAGCGAGCTCGCAGAAAGCGAGAGACTGCAGAGTGGTCCCGTGGCGATGTATGAGGAGTTCCAGAGTCTGCGCCGTTAGGGCAGTATGATGGAGCAACCTGTCACCGTTAACCTCTACTCGTATCTGCAACTCTATCCCACTCACAAAAAGCTGATCAGTCGGCCTGCAGGTATGATGTCCAGCAACTGGTTCACCTGCTCATGCTGGGATGGACTCTCCGTGGCTCTCTTCCTCGTTCTCTCGTTCCTCAGCGTGATATGTCGAACAGATTGGGTCACTGGAGCCCGGAGAAGGGGTGTGCCCGAGGCTTTGGCTTCCGATAAACTCAGGTCCACATCGTGATAGAGGCGAGCCATGGTTGTGTCCTCGAGAGTACGACATGTTCTCGACACGTTGTAGAGATCCCTGCGCACATCGAGCTGATTGAGGTTAGTATGAAGCCTTGTCACGATGACAGTAGGATGCCTACATAGTTGACGATGTGCAGTTTCAACTCGTCTGGCAGGCTCAACAACCGGCAAGGCTGCGCTATGTCAGCAGCGGCCATTATTGACATTTCGACGCGTTAAGATACACGGCTTCCGGCAAAGACAGACACAATGTAAACCCTGCCTGCTTTCTGTGAGTTACATCGTCACAAGAGAACTCGAAGAAGCCATGCGAAGGAAGTCAATATTTCTCATAGTCATCGACAGGAATTGGTGCAAGGGGGCTTTTCTGGCATTACGGCCAGGAAATCAGCCCGATGGCGGTCCGCCACGAGTGATGCAACCATTTTGGCATGCTGAGCTTAAATCCAGCGGTGTGCACGAGCATGAATGGCGGAAAAGGGGCAAGGACTCCAGTGAGACCAGGGATACAATACGAAGGAGACAAAGGCGATAAGCGCATGGTGGAAAAATGTCCGGATTGAGGACCATGAAGGCTGCGTTTGGCGACGCAAGCGCTTATGAAAATAAGCGGTCCACATGGCGTCGGCACCCTAAATAATGCCAAGTTGCGTGCCGAGTGCACTAAACACGGGTTCTTGCACTAGTTAATTTGGTGGCGACTTACCTGCGTCGCGTAGCAGAACGCGTGGGCTTGCATACCTGTGAAATCTCATGAATCCATTCATTGATAATATTGAGGCCGTCGTCTTTCATATAAATGAGTCTGATATAGCCTTTTCATGGTGTTGCGATGGAGGATGAAGAGGAGATCGTAGGGTTCCTCACTCTAGTCCTCGCCGCCTCCGCCGTCCTTGATATCTATATAACAACGCCGTCTCTTCCTCGTCAACCCCGTTAACCAACTTATCGACTCCGCACCTGGCTAGAATATCCTCCTCTTTTCGAGCATTACATGAGAATATCTATCCCGACATTTAAAGAGGTGGTTCGGTTCTGCGGCGCGTATGGACTTAAGAGTTAATATTTATAGGCTGATAAGAGAGTTATAATCTTTCTATATCGCTATCATTATGGTGTTAGCTTTTCTGTTGTTGCGAAGATCTTTAAACACTCTAAATAAATAGTTTAGTATTGCTTTTATATAGTTCTAGAGACTCTCTCTTTATTGCACTCTATAGAGATTAAATAGATAGTGGCTCTTAATAAGTTATTGAATAGACTTAAGAAGGATTGATTTAAGTACTTTGATAGATATTATGGCGCTATTAATAGTATATATATCTCTATATTAATTTCTTATATAAAGTAAATTCTATTTCATAATTATAAGGATTAACTATCATAAAATATCTTTGCTGCTTGCTTCTTAAATAATCTCTTTATCTTTATTTACACAGAAATGGAAAGATTAACTTATAATATCGCTATTATAAAAGATATATTAGTATAAGATAAATTTTAGTCTCTAATAGGTCTATACTATCTCGTTAATATAGGCTTTTATAACTGTGATTTTATGCTTATTTTATACTTAAAAACTTGTTATTACTTATAGAAATAGTGCGGGATAGAGAATCTTTCTCAGAATAAGGAAGAACTCTTTAATATAAGGTATACCTCATTATAAAGTGCTATTAAGCGAATATTTAGCGTTCTTAAGAAGAAGTTTCAATGCCTTAAATAATAACTTAAAATCGTTTATTTAGTCGATAGGAAAGACTCAGAATGGCGAAACAGGCAAGCAAAGCTGACCAAATAGACTGTGATAGTCCAGCGGTAGTTATAACTTAAGCAACTCTATTTAATACCAATAACGCAGGCGAAGAGCCTGCAAAAGGCACCCGAAGCGCTCGTAATGGTGCTGGAGAGAAAAACGCGTCTGAGAAAGGCCCCGACGCGTCAAAACACGCTGCGAAACGCGTGATACTCGCCCGACAGAGTGGCACAGTAATATCACTGGAAAAGAGTGACAGTACAATTAAAGAAGACCTAAAGACGATTGTAGAAGGTCTCAAAGAGGAGGGAGTATAGTTCAAGTGGCTCAACACCCTTCATTAGATAGCCGAGAGAGTCCCGCAGACTATCAGCCCGCGATAAGTACTCGGGAATAAGGTTAAAAGGTGTCTTGAGGCCATTGAGAAATCTCTAGTAAAGCTTATAGCTAGCCCTAGGCTAGAAAAGACAACATGAGCAACAGTTATAGCGGGAGACATCTAGATCGCGGCTAAAACACAAGTATTAAGTAGTAGTCTCAACGCGAAACTAAATAGATATATTGTATGTGTCTCGATACTGACAGTGAAAGGCAAGCCAAACAAAGAAATACTAAATAAAGTTAAGAAGACTATTAGCGCTACAGTTATAATCCGTGTGCTACATAGCGACAATATAGACATGGTTATTCTGGACAAGACCACTAAGGATAGAGCACAAGCTCTACCAAGCACATAGAAACTACAGGTTCATAAAAGAGACTATCTAGTCTTGGTTAATAGACTCTCGCTCAGTATAAAACTTATATACAGAAAGTATATAGACAATATATATCTCGTAAGCCAGATCTATAAAAGGTTGAGAAATATAGCCTCGGGGATCTAGATCTCCCAAATTAAATGGCTCTATCTACAGCACTAAGTTCAATATATAAGAGACACAGGAAAAATATATAGTACCCTTATTATAGGCTTCTGTATAGAAAGTATAAGGAGAAATACTATTTAAGGTGACCTAATAATTAGGGTCTAGCTCTATAAGATAGCCTATTTCGATAGATCACTTCAGAAAAAGCAATACTTTAACTACCAGTAATAAGATCACACAGAAACAGTATATATAAAGTAGACAAGATACAGTAGATACGCTGAAGACTATTAAATAAGCGAGTGTAAGAAGATTAAGATATTATGCGCGGCCTACAGTAAAGCCTATACTGTGTGGTATAGATAAGAATACACTATCTATTAATAACACTATAATAAGATGATCTATAGATATCTCGTAGCGAGAGTATACATACTTAGTGTATAAGTTACACCTAACTAGGCAGTAATAGATACTTAGGGATAGACAATAATGTCTAATAAACACCCTTAAGAAGTCTCCTTAAAGCTAATAATCTTAAGAAAAGTTAGTAGGCCCATAACAATAAAAGTGATAGCACGCGACCCATAATAGAGTCGCATTAACTTCACTGAGAGCTAGATACTAGAAAAGATCCTAAAATTTAGCTCTTAAAATAAATAGACTAAAGATTATCTAATATAACTATAATAACTTAAATACATATACTATACACGCGCTATTTAATAACTTTACTTAATCACTTATCCTAGTAATTTAGGAACTAAGCTGAAATAAGTATATAAAATCGATATACTGCCTAAAGCCCTACTAGCTAGTGTACAAGGCAACGCTAGAGATAAAGATATACTTCATAATTAGGAGAGATATAAGTGTAATACACTAAAACTATAGATAATACAAACCAAATATAGCGAGGCTAGAACTAAGCCTTTAAAATAGAAGTATCTCAATCATTAATATCTATAACCCTTTAGACGACAGAATAAGGCTCTCTATATAGCCAGCGATTTAACAGACTATAGACCAAGCCCAGGGCTAGGTAATACTTCTAGACGACTTTAATACCCACCACCCTAAATGGGGAGAGAAAGAAACCGCTTACGACCAGTATACAAACCATCTACTCTAAGCTATAAAGACCAAGAAACTATAGCTACTTACAGAACAAGAGAACATTACCTAACAATAAGGAACCAGAAAATTAGTTATCGATCTTGTATTCATAGAGTAAGTGATTAGTATAAGAATAGTATACTATAGGACAATACTATAGTGGGCCTTAATAAGAGACTATATTCTAATCTATCTCCTTCTAGATATTGACCTAACAATACTGTAGATAAAAAGTAAGCGGTTTATACTTAATAAACTAGATATATATAGTTTGTAAAAAGACATTAAAGCTACATCACTAAAAGGCACTCTAGAAGATCTATAATAAATAATTATAAAGAGCCTAAAGAGACACTACCTCTTAACTAGGCCATTATAGAGAGCGAGGCCTAACTAGTCGTCAATAGTATCCGAATTACTAGCGAGCTCAAGATATATAAGGCGTAGATATATTATAATAGAAAACTAGAAGACACTATAAAAATTATATCACCTTACAGATAGACTAAAACAAGAACTAAGAAGAAACACAAGAGCCAACTAGCGTCAATATATCGAGGGCCTTACACAGAACAAGGGCAAAGACAATATCTAGAGAATAACTAAGTGAAGCAAAAGAGCTATATACATCACACATAAAAACTCTTACCTATTATCACTACACTATACATTAAAAGATAATCTAATTTATATAGATACCCAGAAAGATAAAATCCTTAGAGCGAAGTTCTTCCCTTCCCTAATAAGCAGGCAAAGAGAGTGCGAGGAGTACACAATAAACACGCTAAATATTCAGCAGAAAGTGATAATAGATAAAGTTCATAGCTTAATAGTTAAGCTCCTAAATTAAAAAGCCTCAGAATCTAATAAGATACTAAATAAAGTGCTAAAGCAACTCTCACTTATAATTAATGACCACTTAGCGCACACGATAAATAAGGCTCTCGCGTAAGAAGAGCTCTCTAGAGAGATAAAGAAGTCTATAACTCTCGCTCTAAGAAAGAAGAAGAAAAAAGACTACTCTCTCTTAGGTGTATATAAACTAATAGCCCTTAAGAATACCCTAGTGAAGCTCATAAAGAAAGCGCTAACTAACTATATAATAAATATCGCCAAGAAATATAACCTTCTTCCCTAAAACTAAATAAGTGAACATTAGAATAGATTAATACTCTTAGCCATTAGCCTTATAATAACTTATATAGAGCGTGTATAGTAAGCGTAACTAGGCTATATAATATTAATATTAAGCCTCAATATCATAAGGGCCTTTAATAATATATCTTATAACACACTACTTAATATTCTCACGAGAAAGAACTTCCCAAAATAGCTAGTCAAATCTATCTAAAGCTTCCTATTTAGGAGACATATATAGATTATATATACAGGGCACGAGAGTGACTAGATAAACACTAAAATAAGTATCCTATAGAGCTTCTCTCTATCATTAATTCTATTTCTCTTCTATATTTTAGGGCTCCTCGAAAGCCTTATCAATAGATAAGACAACACTATAGGCTTTAGCTTTATCGATAATATAAATATTATTGTATAGAGTCTAAGCGAGAAGTATAACTATTATAGACTAAATATAGTTTATTAAGAATATAAGAAATAGACAGAAAGTCACGAGACAAAATTCGCCCCAGAGAAATATTAGTTTATTCACTTTATAAAGAGTAGATAACTCACTGATGATCTATAAGTAAACAGTATTTAGATCGCAGAACAGGAAATTGCCTCAAAATAAAAGGCGATTAAGATCCTTAGTGTGTAGCTTAACCCAAAGCTTATATAAAAAGAGTATATTATATATACAGCTTATAAGGAACTTATAGTGTTAAAGGCGCTAACTCAGCTAGCTATATTAATCTGAGAACCATTAATATAAAATACTAAGCTTCTCTATATAGTGATAGTATAACTAATCCTTCTCTATAGCTCGCAGAAATAAAGTATATAAATCATGTAAAGATCGCTCTTAACCTCGTGTATTAGCCCACTAGCGAAGATATAGAATAAATACCTTTAAAGCATAATAAGGGGATATAAAAGAACCCTTTGAGCCGCCCTAAAGAGAGAGATATATATACCCCCACTCGATCTTATCGCCCTTACCCAGGCAAAAAGAAGTACATTGCGAACCGTATACAACCCGATTAAAAAGAGTATCTAGAAAGCGTTTAAGAGAGTATAGAATAGTCTTAGAATAAGATATTAACACCGAGTGAAGCTTTCACGCCTCACTAGGGAATATATCTAGAAGAAGATAGACACCTATATTAAAGAGAAGATAAGTCACCAGTGAACCTCACGCGAACAATATCATCATTACTATCTAGAAGTACCGTCATCAAAGAAGACAACTCTTTATAGAGCTATAGACCACAACTAGAAGACTAGATAAGAAAAGGCTAAAGCGACCTTAAGGGGTCCTAATCTCTCAACAACCTAGATAATTAACTAGAAGCTAGATAAACACACACTCTACGCAGGCCTCTCAAAAGCTGAAGCGATAACATTATTCCTTCTTAGGACAGAGATAATCAGGCTCAATGAGTGGCTAGCAAGAATCGACGTCCTAGGTATACTCTCGCTATACTTATACAGTCAATATATAGAAACAATACATTATGTTCTTCTACACTATCGAAAGTATAAATAAGAGGAGCTTCTCCAGGCTTACGAAACATAAAGAGTCAACGAGATACTTTCAAGGCCTAAGGCCGCGAAGCACGCGACTCGCTAACTGCTCGCATAAGGAGTGCTAAGATATCTATAACTTACGAGGGAGATAGAGAAGAAAGAGACATCAGAGTATACACCCCTAAGGGACTATCCTGAGTGATAAAACAAGACCTTCTATAAATTAAAGGAAAAGATAATTATAAAGCGACAGAAAGAGTAGCAAGAAAGGCGCCTATAAAATATAGACAGCTCAAGAGAGAGTCAAAGGTTTTCTTGAATCTTGATAAGATTTAGGTTTTTCCTTAAAAATTGCTAGAGTCTATATAGTCTCGAGAGAGAGCTAAATTAGACTATAATAGAACTTTATTATTATTATTAAATAATAACTTAAGATCGGTGTTTTAGTGTAGATAAGAGGTTAATATATCTATCACCTTATATATTAGCTAACTTTCTAGGTTTATCTAGTTTATGTTCTCACTACGCTTTTTAACTTTATTGCTTGTTATGATTAAGATCATAAATTCTTTAATGTAGATTTAGGCTCTAATGATAAATTGGACGCTGTCTTTATACATGAATAATTTATTTTAAATCCTTCTCCTTTATTAAATTGATTGGCGCTAACAAAAAAAGAGTTTTAGCAAAAAAAGAAAGATATAGCTAGTAAAAGAGATAAAATTACAGAAATATATTAAACTAATTAGATTAGTTAATGCTCTAGAGAAAGAGATAAAGTCTTAAGTCTATCTTAGATTATTATAGACTCTTTATAAGTTATATCTCTAATCACTCTATTTAATGATAAGTCTTAAGTAAGTAAAATATCTTAGGCGCCACTATCACTATCTCTATTATCTTAAGATATTTCTTTGTCTCTATATTATCTCTATATTTATTATCTAGTAAGTTAATTATATCTTACGACGTTTTTTTCTTTATTATCTTTTCACTAACTACTTTCACAACTTCTAATAACTCTTATTAATAGTGCTTAATTATTTTCTCTATCTTAACTCTTTAATATCGCGATGTTATAATAGGAGACTTATCTTTTCTTTTTATATCTCTTCTTGATAATGATTTCATTAAAGAGATATCTATTAATAATTCAATATCTAAAATCTTTTATCGCGACATAAGTCTAGATACAAGTAAAGAATTGTTAGGTCTATAGATATATTCTTCTATTGCTTAAGTCTTTAAGAAGATCTATTTAAGTTATTGTCTATATTTAAGAGGCCTCTTTTAAAAGCCTTTTATTTGACCTTTTAAATCCATAGTAATAGCTATCTCTTATGTTTCCTCACTTACTGTTAATATTCTAGTAGACTCATTAAATCCCTAGCCACTTACATAGTAAAGCTTATACTAGACGCGCTAAGTACTGCCTCATGAACTGCGCTTAGAGTTTAATTGCAAGGGAGTTAGCGGAGGTAGTTTCTTCGCCTTGAACTTCTCGATACAGAGAGTGGAAAAGGAAGGAGGCCATTGGTTGTTGATGTGCTTAGAAAGGTTATCTATAAGGAGAGATAAATAAAGGAGTTCACGCCTTTCATCCCATTGATATAAGGGCGCTTTCGACTTCACTGACAGTATATCGAGGCGATAGATATCGCGAAAATTATGCAAAAAGTATCGAGTTCTGTAAGCGTTGTAAGCGATATATATCGCTTAGCCAAAGTGGAGAGCGATTCTGGTTTTCTAATCTATCCTTTTGGCTAGTTTATATGCTAATGCACATACTAACCCTAGCGTGTGAGCGGACTTTGATCCACTCCTGGCAAGCACTTACTCGCTAAACGGTAGCGATTTTGGGGACCGCAAGCGCTTAGAAAATCGACTGCAAGCGCTTGCGGCCGTCGCCAAACGCAGCCGAAGACGGAAACACGAGGATGAGCCGGATGGTGGAGCCAATCGAGATTGACGTAAAGATGAGCCTTTCCGTGTGAATCAGAATCCGAAGATTGAGAATCGTAATCGTGATATTCGGCCAGGATGAGGGAAGATGGAAGCGTTGGGGCCGTTTATCGCAGCACGGCACACTCTTTCGCCATTGCTCGGACACACCAGCCGTCCTCGTATTCCTACCCGCGCGCTCAACACAATCCTCTCAAAGACATTATGCAAAGACGCAACGCCATCGAGCTCAGCAAACACCGAGTTTCCTGTTTCTTTTACAAATACTCGAGATCGAAATTGAGCAATGCTGACTACGCCCTGGACAATTCTCGAGAGATGAGCGGCTAGGATGGTTGTACGAGTCACTGGTTGTATTATGATGAGTCTGACTTCAGCTCGTCTAGTGCTGAATCAAACGCCCCTGGTCCCATGTCGCCCTCATTGGGGAATTTAATCCTTTCTTCTCTTGTACAGTAGGTTGTCTTAGAAATCATTGAGAACACCGATCTGCCACTACGGTCGTAGCATACGGTCGTAGCGAGTCACTCCGTGCGTTCGGTCGTAGGTGTGTGGAGTGCTAAACTTTTAGTCAATCACCGTCGGAGAGTCCGCTGTCCATAAGAAGACACACAGGGAACCGTATAAACCGTCTACCGTTTGAATTGACAAAATCGACGAATGGCCAGGTTTCGAAAGCTTCGCTTAACGGACTCTCTAACTACCATTTAAAGGGCCAGGATCCGTAGCTGTGTGCCTGATACTCTCTGGTGTCTCTTATTTGCATGGGCGAGCATTGCGTTCTTTTGAAAGTTGACAACTTGCACCACCGTATGCAAGTTCGTCCTCCGTATGCACCACCGTAGAGAATGTCCGTGGTCGGATCGGAATAATGTATCTCCTGATCCAAGTATTGTTTTAGCCTCACAATGACCACAATGACCACAATCCTCTACCTCTCCGTCTCTATACCTTCCTATTGAACTCACCGGACAGCTATCAGGAAGAAAACCTAGATACGACACCTTGTCTTGTCGATACTTGCTGTTGTGCCACCCACATAAATTACATGCGGCTCTTCAAACTCTTCGACTTTGTAAGCTTGATCGATGAGAGCTGCAACAAGAAAGGACGACTTCAAGATAACCAGGTCACTGTGCACAAAATGCGTTCCTCGTAGGAATCACAAGGTAAGAAAATGAAGTTGCAATATCGGTTCTGCATTGCAATGCACTTGATCTGATTGTCGCCGAGACATGGTGGGATGTTGACTTGCGCCCATGGCGACGACACCATTGCAACAACAAGATCAAGACGTGTCCCTGACACAGTTCTCATGTTTTGCCATTTGCTTGCTTTTCTGTCCCTTTGAGACCTCGCTTTTGGCACATCACGATCTCATGGGGTTTCAACTTCCTCGGCCAGCATGTCGGACTTGTATGTTTCTGCTACGTTGTGAACTCACGAGACTAATACCACTACAACCATAGCACTCCCAATGAAGAGTCATCCATAGGTTCACCAGCTCACAAAACATCCTCTCCCGGCTCTCCGCCGCGCCGCAATCTCGAACTGCTTTCTACAACTCCTCCCGGTTCGCCACCATCGCTCGCAGTAAGTGCCTCCTTCTCCCGCAAGATTTCTTTTTGAACACATGCTCTGCTACTTTCACACGTGTAAATTACTAAAGCCGTGAAGTTGAGCCTTCTTTCCGTTGACAAGCACGACACTGTCCAACCGGCCCCGAATCCCAGTAGCAAAGTTGAAGGAGGAGTCTTCACGATGGATAAAAAGCTGCGCCAGAACAAACCTCGGCTCCTGCTTATGGGACAGCGACGGTAGGTCTATTTGCGATGCACCTATTTCAGACGGTGGCTGACAGCTCGAAGGAGCGGGAAATCCTCAATTACTAGTGTGGTCTTCCACAAAATGCCCCCTCAAGAGACTCTCTTCCTCGAATCTACGACGCGTATTCAAAAAGACTCGGTCAGATCATTCATGGATTTCCAAGTCTGGGATTTTCCTGGCCAACTTGACTATTTCGATCCTACGTTCGACACCACAGAAATCTTCTCGGAAATCGGCGCTCTTGTCTGGGTCATTGACGCGCAGGATGACTACAGTGACTCTTTGAATCGGCTCACCACGACAATACTAAACCTCCAGAACGCGTTTCCGCACATCAATGTTGAGGTATTCGTCCACAAAATTGACAGCCTCAACGAAGAGTTACGCTCCGACATCTATCAGGACATTGTACAACGTGTCAACGACGATCTCAGCGACGCTGGATACATCAACCCCAACATCACCTATCACCTAACATCCATCTACGACCATTCCATCTTCGAAGCTTTCAGTAGGGTTATCCAGAAGCTCGTTCCCCAGCTCAACACCCTCGAAAACCTCCTCACCATTCTTGTCAACAACTGCGGAATGGCCAAAGCGTACCTATTCGACATTCTGAGCAAGATCTATGTCGCCAGTGATAGCGGACCAATCGATATGGAAGTCTACGAGATGTGTTCGGATTACATCGACGTCATTGTTGACATCACAGACATCTACGGATACGAACGCAGTCACAACAAGGTGCTCGGAGAACAGATGCAGGAAGCAGAATCTTCGGTCACGGTACATGATGGAACGATGATCTACTTGAAGGAGATGAATCGGTGAGACTTCATTGCCAGCCTTGCAAAGCACCGACCTTACTGATCAAACTACAGGTATCTATGCCTGGTGGCTGTTATCAAGAATGATGGGGCAAACGACAAAAAAGGCCTGATTGACTACAACTGCCACATCTTCCAGGACGCACTTAACGAGGTCTTTGCCCGAAACTGGGAGAAGGACAAGGCAGCGGCGAATGGAAATGGGGATCAACAAGCCGCCAATGCTGCTGAAGTGTAGAGCCTGATTCTGTATGGCGTTCTCATTCGGATCAATGAGTGACAGGCACAGTATTCTAGAAGTAACTAAAAACTGTCGCAAAAGGAAGATGAATTGTGTAGAGTCGGAGGCACAGTAGCTGTGAATCTTGAATCATGATACTGACAATTCCATTCCGCTCCGCTCTTCCTCACCGTACCATAGTCGCACTTGACCCTGACAAGCCGCAAGACGCTTTCGCCGACAATGGCGATTAAGACAATGGCATTGTCAATTGATCTGCCGACCCATTGAGTTCTCTTTGTTGACATGCAAGATTTGATGATCTGAATGACCCTCGTCATGTATCCGCCGGTCGTCACTCCGACGCTTCAGTCGATCTCGACGCCAAGACCAACATCAAGCTCCGTCAGACACGCATTTCTCAGTCACGATGGAAGCAAATTCCTTCACCTACATGCAGACGCGCTTCACGCCCGAAGCCAAAAATTCCCTCAGTCTTCTTGGTGATGTTGATGCCATAGATACAAGTGCTCAAGTGCCTCGACAGATCCAAGAGACCGATAGTGGCGCCGGAAACGTACCGCGACAATCACTAAACCCGCGCATCCAATTTTTGCGTCTTTCAGCAATTGTAAGAGGCAGACAGGGCGTCGCTGGTTCAACACCTCCATATCAACCGCTGCCACCATCGCTGCATCGTACAGTCTCCGACGGAGACGACGAAAGTCCCGATCATTTGTTCGAGCGTTTCTCAAGCTCGCCTCTGCGCAATCTCGCCTACTCAGTGCCATATCCGGGGCATGAGTCACCACCCAGTCTCACAAGTACCCGCCAACCCCGTCTGAAGAACTATCACAGAACTCGATCTCTCAGACCACGCAAGATGCCTCAGACCGGATTCCAAGCCCTTATCCTTTGCGGTCCAGGTATAGGCTTGAGCACATTCACCAGCACGCCCAATGAATTCCCTAAGGCTCTCGTCGAAGTAGGAAACCGGCCCATGATCTGGTATGTCCTAGATTGGTGCTACCGCATGGGCGTTACAGATATTACGCTGATCGCTCCACCATCGTCAAAAGAGCCCATTGCAGCCGCTCTCGCACAAAACCCCTACCTCACTTCTCTGCCTTCACCAAGTCCCGACCTCCTCGCACCACAAGACCTCGAATTCACAACCCCTACAGCCGAACTCATCCGACTTCCAGAGGTCCAGGAAGTGATCAAATCCGATTTTATACTCTTGCCATGCGACCTCATTTGCGCCATACCTGGAGAAAGCTTCCTCGAGACGTATCTCACCCGTCTGGGCGGACCTGGAGGCATCGGCCACAACCAAGATGCTGAGACGTCACGCAGTGAATTACTGGGTCTTGGTGGCGAGTCTCGCGGTCGTCGTGGCGGCTTGAGCATATGGTACAACACTCTCGATCGCGAGGAATCCGTCAAACATGAAGAATGCGACTTCATGTGCACCACGAAACTCGACCCGGAACAGGACATTCCTTCATCACTAAGCAAATCCTCTCTCGATCAAGGCATCCTCCGGAAACTCGTCTGGGCTATGCCCATGTCCGAACTCTGGGATCAATGCGAAGAGGACAAGGCTTGGAAGATCCGCCAGTCTCTACTCCGCAAGCACGGTGCGATAAAATGTCTTACCAAGTATCGCGACGCGCATATTTATTTCTTTCCTTTCTGGGTCAAGGACTTTGCGAATCTCAACGAGGACTTTGAGTCAGTCAGCGAAGATCTTGTCGGGACGTGGGCCAAAGCAGAGTGGCGGAAGCCTTCCTATCGTGCGCGTTTTGGTGCGAGAAAGATCTTCTCACCACAGCCAAAGAGCGATAGAGCGCCGCTACCTAACCACGAGATTCCCATTGAAGAAGAGATCGATCTGCTCAGCTTGAGTAGCACGCAAATCACCACGCCAGCACTAGCAAATTTGACGCCACATGTACGCACAGCCAGACTTGCCACGAGAGTCCACGCCGACCCTGACGATAGTATCCTCTCGCCCGGCGGCGGATCTCAAGACGACCACGAAGAAGGTCCAGTCCCGCTTGTCCCCCCAATCTTGTCATACATCCTTCCTTCTACTCCTGATGCTCCGCTGGTTCGACGAGTCGATACTACGCCTCTACTACTTTCAGTGTCACTCGCTCTTGCAAAGGTGCCCTCGGTGGAAGAGTCGATTGCGGCAAAGACACATGTATCACCGTTCGCCCACCAAGTCAAAGTGCACGCTACGACCACAATTGCGCCAAGAGTCACGATTTCCCGGTCAGACACTCTTATCGACAGCAACAGTACGATTGCCACGCAATGTGTGATCAAGTCTAGTGTAATCGGTGCGAGCGTGGCCATTGGCACTGGAAGTCGAATTACCGGATGTGTGATCATGGATGGTGCTACAATAGGAGATAAGTGCGTCCTCACAAACACTGTGGTGGGAAAGAAGGCCAAAATCGGCAACAAGAGCACACTCGTGGGCTGTGAGGTGCAAGATGGCAATGTTGTCGCTGACGGAACCGAGGGAAAGAACGAAAAGTATCTTGTTGGTGGGTTAGAGGATGAAATGGAAGACGATGAGATGGGGTTTGACGAGGGTGATGATACTGGCGATGGTGAAGGATTGAGTCTTGGAGACTAATGACGATTAGAGGATACGAATGGAAACAGCGACTTGTGTAAGAGGGTTTGAAAACTCGATGAAAATCAAGGCGTCCTGTACCTTTGGACGTTATACCTTAAAGTTAAGACTCGCGCGAGTAGTACGGAGTAATTATCTAAAGGGTTTCCTTTTGATGCCGAGAATCCTAACATGAAGTAGTCAGTAGTAAGGCGCGGGTAAAGAGTGATTGGTAGTAGCGTGATAATTTCTCCCAAAGGCCAAATTACTAATTCTAGAAATCATGTCCTGACAAATGAATTTGGGAAGTAATAACACTGCTACAACTTCAAATTCAACAAAACTGTCGGCAGAACTTGGAAGACTGATACTTGTTGAATCACTGCCTATTCATTGACGGCAAGTTATAGACCATAACAAAATTTTGGATCGAGGCTCAGGAGTCTGTAGTAGTGGCTATGCATAATCCTGTTAATGTTACTAGTGGCACACTAGTAGTAGTGCCCAATGTCTATCGCAAAGTTGAAAGCGATAAAGCCGTACTAAATTTTGTCTCAATAACAGTATCACTAAGAAGTCATTAGAGATATCTAACCTCGTTTTTTGAAATTTAAATTTTAAAGTAATGACCACTGCAAGTATTAAGTTTATATCTATAATTTGTAAGCAGTATTAGTATTATATACTACTAGTATTTCTTTATTCAATTAGAACTATATATAGTTAAGAGAATAAAATTAGATAATATAGTCTTGGCGCTGCTGATTCATTGTTCTAGCTTGTGTCTCCCTTCAGCTCTAAGTCTGACATTTGAATTCCTTTCAACTTCTACAATTTATTCGCGGCCAGTTTCTACTTTCCTCTCTAACTTACTCCCACCACGTTTTTAACCCTCTAAAAGACTGAATTAATACTTGTTTTTAAACGCTGCGCGGATCCACAGTTGGAATGTGTTTTGGCCCCAGGAGTCAAGTGGCGCCGTCAGCCTTCTTGACGCGATGGCAAATCTAATCTCCAAACGAAAACTCGCGGACGCCCTGGTAAGAGTTCAGTGCCTTAAGGACTATTTCCTTTTACCGTCAATTATTCAAGTTTCATTGTTGTGTTTTTGTTTCAACTTGAGATCATTTCATCTATTTATTGTTGTGATGCTTGTGTCGACCAGTTTACTCCGGCGCCGCGCGACGCGTCGAGCGTGGGTTCTGCTCGGTCGACCTGAACATCAACATATCTGTATGCTTGTTTTTGTCTCAAGGCCGCAAGGTTAACAAATTCCAGAGGTACAGGTCGAATATCATTTCACTTTCAGAGGAGTCTGAGGACGATGAGGTTGTAAGTCTACCTGCTCCAGGCGCTGACTAAGCACCCGATCTGGCACCTGCGTCTCCTCAGGAGACAAATGCAGTCAAACTCCCCTCGCTCCACCTTCATCTCTACCATCACCTATTCTTACGGTGGCAACGAGGACTCATTGCAGAGGACTGATTATTTTTTACCAGCTTGCCATAGAGCCACCTAAGAAGAGAACGAGGTCTACTTCACCAGTGCCTCGCACTGTCAGAAATCCTTCCTCTGCGTCTGCGACGAATAATGGTTCTCGCCATGGCGGTCCAAATGGCACATACAACAGCTACCGATCCCCGCCCTCTCCACCCCGGCATACTACACCCGTACAGCCATCTGCAAATCAGACGCAGAAATTGTCTCCTTGGGGGAAGCGGTCTCCATATGCGCACCGTATGAAAGAATCTAAGCTGCCACAGAACTCGGCACCCGAAACCATCCCACGCTCTTCGACTCAACGTTTGATATCCGTTGACATTCCTTCTAAGAATGTCCCATTCAGGCCCAGTCAAGGGCCAGCGAGCCCAACACATACCACCCCAAAGCAGGTGACAAATACCAAGCCTCGAATAGAGGTCGTTGTATCCCCATCCCGACGGCTTTTGGATTCATTTCGCGGACATAAGCCAGAGCCGATTCAACGACGCAGGAAGAATATGCTGAAAGAGTTGAAGAAAGGGCCAATTGCTGCGCTGAAGAATCCACAAGAGGCTCGTGAGCTCTTTGGCTCGTGTTTTCAGGATTTCAATCGGCCCAAATCAGATGATGTCCATGAGCAGAGGATGAAAGAGCTGGCCTCGAAAAAGGCACGAAAAGTGACCCGGACAAAGTTGCCATCTGACCAAGGCCTAGACCTTTCAATGAGAAAGCTGGGTCTGGGAGGTGAACTGGTTCATCCCGCGGAGGCCGCACAACAGATCCTCACAAGTCGATTCGAGGAATATATGAACCCTCCACTAACGTTTGTCAACGACGTTAATGAAAGACGACTGAACGGGAAATTTCAATTTGTCGATCGCTATGTGTTTAGTTGTCCAGGCATCAAAACAGCTCCACCGTCCACAAACTACGGGTGCGACTGTCTCAGTTGTCATTCTTCAGAATGTCTATGCTTTCGGAAGGATTGGAAAGACGAGGCCACGGGCCAGAAGTACACGAAGCAAGTCCGCACTTACACCAGACGTTCTGATGGCCTCGTCGTCCTTTCAGAAGAATACATCGACCGCGAGCTGGATCCCTCGGCAAGGCACTTCGAGATCACAGAGTGTAACGAACTTTGTAGATGCGGTCCTGGTTGCTATAACCGTGTGGTCGGCAACGGTCGAACACTTCCTCTAGAAATCTTTGAGACTGCCAATTGTGGCTTTGGAGTCCGCTCGACGAAGAATATTGCCAAAGGTCAGTTTATAGATCTTTATCTTGGCGAAGTAATTACGGAAGAAGAACTTCGCAACCGAGAGGACGCAGCGGCCGAAGACGAACCGAGCTACATCTACACCATGGACTGGTTTGGTGGAGATTCCTACCACATCGACGGCAAGAATTTCGGGTCTGCTATGCGATTCGCCAACCACAGCTGTAATCCCAATACCCGCAGTTTTATTGTCCAGATCCACAAGGGAGATAAACGAGTCTACTACCTTCCGTTCTTCGCAATCAAAGACATTGCCGCCGGTACTGAGATCACCATCGATTATAAGTCGAAAGACGATGACGACCATCTAAACGCCGAAGCCATTGCCGGGGTTGAGAGTGGTGATGCCGACTTGGCTGACGGCCTTATTCGATGCCACTGCGGCGAAAAGAATTGCCGAAAGTTCTTGTGGAAGCCAGGTGTTAAAGCAAGGAGGAGAAAGAGAAAGCCGGAATGAGCAAGCTGAAGTGGATGGATGAGATGAGTGTACATGGGTGCACTCCCGCAGGCTGTAGATGATTTCTGTTCTTTTTTTTGGGTCTTGTACGATTATGAATTGCGTCTTCAGCGAGGCGTTTCACGAGGGAGTTCTTTTTTTTTTTGAAGAACCATGAATACCCGATGGTAAGCGACGACGACGACGACAACAACAACGATGATGATGATGCTGCTGCTACGGCTGCTGCTACGGCTGCTGCACGAGGGGCAGACCGATGGCTTGCATGGGTCTTTCAAGATTCAGTCTATCTTGGTTGTTGGTGGTTCAGCGAAAGCGAAAGCGAACATGTCCTTTTTCTTGGATTGCTTATCAGAATACCCTTGCAGCCCCATGGAGAGGAGTCTATGTATGTTAGATACGTAATCAAGGAGGAACGATTGGAGCCGTTAGAGCTCAAGATAGAAATTAAGAAGATACTACGACTTTGGACTTTCGGAGATGGTAAATCTGGAAATGGACGGGAGGAAGGTGTCGGCGTCGATAGTAGATTTTTGTGTTGTTTATCTCCAGATGAACTGAAGGTTGGAGGTTGGACGACTCAGGGGGGAGAATAAGGGCGGAGATAGCCGTTGCGCTCTATCCCATCATCCACTGCAGATATCTGTCGTATCTGTTTGAGGAGGACAAGACAATCATTGAGGAGAGAATACAGGAGAAGTATAAAGAAGTTTAAATAGTACGACAAGAAGACTTACCGAGTCTCGTCACAGTCTGATCGGTGATATATTTTTCAAGGTCGAATCAGTTCAGTTGGTCACCATGACGGTATCAACGCCCAAGATTCAACGCCTCGGTCGGTCCGATACACAGGGCATCATCGACGCCATTGCCAAAGATGGGTGTTGCGTGGTGAAGGGGTTCGCAGACCCGGAAACCGTCGAGACGGTGAACAACGAGGTTCGGCCGTATCTCGACGCCGATAAGCCATGGAAGGTGAGTGAATGATTGAATATTCAGAAATACCTGCCTGAGTACGGAGTACTACATCCGTGTATATGATCCAACACTGCATCGAACGAAGAAAGAGAGAGAGAGAGAGAGAGAGAGAAAGAAAGAAAGGCATCGTTTAGGAGTGCCCAGTATTCTTGATTTTGATTTTATTCCATTTTATTCGATTTTATTCGGGCTGCTGTGGCAGTTGAACAATGTAATTGATGCTGTTCATTCCTTGAGAGCATTCAAGAATCACCCCGGCAGGTCGGGGTTTGGTGGTTTTGGCACTTTCTGATATTTGCGTATCGTTCAATACTGTTCAAACGCCTGGTTGGTGTCCTTTTGGTGCTCTCAGTTTTTGTACTACTCGTGTCTTGTTTTGTATCATTCGATGCTGCCATCGACACGAAGGAGACCTGGGCTAGAAGAGGATATACGGCCGAACAGACTACAAGTTGCTGACCAGATTCTTTTTTCTTTTTTTTTTACAAAAAAAAAAAACCTTATTGTCCTTTGGTGATATTGATGTATATCTGTCGAGATCATACACCCGAGGTTGTCATCCAACTAACTCGGGGGTTGTTGAATATCTTATCTAGGGCGACTTGTTCCCGCCGGAAACACGACGATGTTCCAACCTCGTGGGACGCAGCAAGACGGCGCGGGAGACGTGGTTCGTCGACCCCCTGATCCGGTCGGTCAACGCGGCCTTCATCGACAAGACGACGTCCAACTACTACGGCGAGACGAAGCACACGTACACGTCGGAGGCGGTGTGCACGATCGCGCTCACGTTCGACATCGGACCGGGGGCGCAGGCGCAGAGGCTGCACCGGGACGACAAGAACTACCACGTCGACCACGTCGACCAGACGGCGACGGGGTACCGCAACGGGTCCGACGTGCTGATCGGGTTCCTGATCGCGGGCGTGCACACGTCGTTCGAGAACGGCGCGACGCTCGCCATCCCGGGGAGCCACCTGTGGGACGCGGCCCGCGTGCCGCACCGCCACGAGGCCACCTACGCCGCCCTCGACCCGGGCGACATGTGGATCATGCTGGGCAGCCTGTACCACGCCGGCGGCGCCAACGTCACCGCCTCCGAGCACCGCGTCGTCCACGGCTTCTTCTACGTGCGCGGCTACATCAGGCAGGAGGAGAACGCCTACCTCATCAACAGCCCCGAGGACGTCCTCGGGTGGTCCCCCGAGGTGCAGAAGTCCATGGGTTACACCCTGTCGAGTCCCAACGTCGGCGCCGTCTTCTTCAGGCCGCCTCTGCAGTACATGAGCGGCGACGACGCCGAGTTTCTGGGCGATTTTGATCCGAGTCAGGAAGGCCGGAAGTGAATCCAAAGGGGTTTTTTTTTTTAAAAAAAAAAAAATCCCTGGAGGATGCAACTCAAACTTCAACCCACTGGCCATTTTTCACGTACGAGGTACCTACTGTAGACATGTGCCATGAGATTTCAGGACTGCGAGGGGCTGGGAGGACTGTGAGTGGGAGTCGACCGATGAGATCGGAGGGTTGTTGCTAACACAAGGGTGTATGTATGGTAGTGTATACAACAATGGGACGTTCAATGACATTGGTTGCGAACAGGTGTGGGAACAAGAGGGAATAAAGGGATAAAAGGGGGGGGATCACGGGGTGTCCTGAGATACTAGGCGTAGCCCTGCAGAAAGGGGACGAGTGAGTGAGTGCGTGGTTAAGCTAGTTACGTAGGGAATGGTAATGCGAAAGTTGCATGATGATGATGATGATGATGATGAAGAGTGCAATTCAGATAGTCTTATTAGCTTTTAATGGGTTTTGTGATTTTGCAAATCTCTTGTGTGTGTACACACTGACTAGAGTGCTCAAGCAAAGGCAGTGAACAACTTAAAATAGCTGGGGAAGAGGTTATGCCCACGTGTGAGAAGACTTGAACTACTCAGCGCGTAGCGGTAGTCAGGAACAGATAATCAAAAAGTTTGTATTCAAGGCGATAATTCATTCTTGAGCACCTGTAGGAGTATGTATCTCCAATATCATTAATACCACATGTGTCGGACATTCCCAAGACAGTCAAGTCAATAACCACAAACGAGCATCAACAAGCACAGAGACCTCCGCAACTACTTAGAAACCCTCTTGCAAGCTTATAGCCAAAGCCTTGTCCACTGTCTCCTTCCTAAATCCAGGAGCACGTCCGAGACAAGCACTGTCCTGAACCATATGTTCAAGGAACGCCTCGACGTCAAACGTGATGGGTGGCTTCGTGCGACTCAACCCGCCAAACGTCGCCCACGGGTTGTCATCACTTCTCCCCATGCCCAATTTGCCCGCGAGGCCAAATTCAATCGACTCCGAATCCAGAGCAGGATAGTTGTTGCGAGTGCTCGCACTATCGGCGTACAGCAACTCCTCAAACTCCGCAGCTAGATACGGATCGCGGGCGTTGGAGTTATGATGGCCACGGTCGCTGTTGTTGTTGTTGTTGTTGCCGTCGACAACGCCCATCGGTAGCGAGAGCGGGCTTGGAGTGCGGATGTTCACCTCGTCCGACGGCGTAACACCCGCACTTGACATAACCGTAGATGTCGATATGTCACCAGCACCGTCGCTCAAGCCAGGCCCTGTCACTGTCGACGTGACCGTACTACTCGGTTCAATTACTTCGACAAACGACGTCTGACCGTCGAGATAAATTCCCTTGGTTTTAAGGTACTCCTCGACATCGTGCGAATCGTACCACTCGCCGCCGAATCCGATGGCTTCGAGCATTTGCTGAGTTCCCGCATCTTCAGACTGAGGCGTCTCGACCTCGATAAAAGGCTGGGGTCCCACAAACGCGCGTCGCGGGCTGATTATATTCGGCGGGTATATCGGGTTGCCGTCATCGTCGCGGCGAGGGAAGTGTAGTCCAGCCCCGCCGATGTGGAAATACGGGACGTTCCAGTTCTCGAGCGACTCGCCGGCCTTGCGCTTCAACATCTCCTGGAACCGACCGAGCATGCGTTTGCGGTTGCTGAAGCAGAAGGTGAAGCGGAACCTGCGGTTGACTTCCGCTGGGTCGACGTGAGGGCTCGTAAGCGCCTGGAACCCGCGTTCCAGGCATAGTCTGTGCAAGCGGCGAGCAAACGTCGTTTCCTGGAAGCTATACGTATAATTGCCGCTGTACTCGGCTGGTTTGAGAGGGCGTTCGACCAACGATGGACCCAAGCTACGTTTCTGTTCGTTCGAGAGTAATATTGACGCGGGATCTTCGTTGAAATTGAATTCTGGAATCGTAGCGTTGAATGACAATAGATCGTCGAGTCCGTGGAGGTTGGAATTGTCCTCAAAGACGCCCTGGACAACAGAGAAAGCGTTGCTGTCACCATTGCGGTTGGACTCTGTGCGGTTTACGGCGGCCACCTGGAGTTCTTCCACATCGGCATCCCCTTCGATCGATGTGCGGTCAAGGCTGGCCCCTCTTCGGTCTACGCGACCATTCCTTCTCGGCTGTGATGTGGGTCCGGGTTCTTGTGAAGCTTGGGCATCGTCATTTTCTTTCATAAAGTTGGAAATCTTCTCTTCCTCGTCATCAGACTCGGTCGCCGTGATCTTGGCCAAGGCGACAAACTCCTCGGTCGCGGCCTGGAGTTGCCGGCCTAGAGTATAGTGCGAAGTGAGAATACCAGCTTCGACCATATTATCGTGAAAGGTCAGAAATGTCTTGTTCATCTGATCGATGGTGTTCTCAAGCGCCGTCACCTTCTCCTTGAGCGCTGAGATGGTGGTCTCTTTGCGGTGTCGGTAGGCCCGCTGGGCTAGGCGAATCTGGGTCCGGCGACGGTCTGCAGCCGTTTCATCATGTGTGTCAAGTCGAGGCCGACCTCGTTGCTTTTTGCCTTCAGTTTGCTGACCATCAGTGTCGACCGACACTCGCTTGGCGGTTTTCTTTTTCTTGTGTGAAGACACTTGTTCTGGCTCTACCAAGGACGAGTGGTTGCTCTCGCTGACTACTTCGGTGAATGAAGGGCGATGCCATGTTTGGTCTCTCGAAGACACCTTCCGTTTGCGAGTGCTTGATGATGGCTTCTGGTAAGGTTCCATGAGGGCTTGAGGGTACTGAGAAGCAGACAAGATTCCGTCTAGCCCCTGGCCAGGCATCGGTCGATCGATGGACGCAGCAGAGGAGATAAGGTTGTCAGTGGGGTTATCCAGGATTGACTCCAGGGAGGTATACGTTCTTTCACCATACTGGAGCCTTGCATATGCTTGTAAACTCGTAGTGGTCGCCATGGTTGTTCGGACGAGATGATTCGATGTGCTGACAACACCCGAGAGGAGAAATACCGATTACTCAACCTGACTTTTTGCCGCAGAAGACAAGGCTGGAGGACAGTGTTTATTGTCGCTAGGATGCAACTTTTTATTGATTACACGATTCCCGATGCCGAGTCGTGGGGGTTCGGATCAAGCGCCAACAGCAATCAGGTAGGGAGATAATGGTGAGTGGTTAGCCTTGAGCAGTACCTTTGCCCACCGTTGGCGGTCCTCGTTCTTCAACCAGGAGCAAGACCACGGTTCGACGGCAAGGGTACCAGTCTCTGTTGACGGTTTCCACGGCCGCTTCTTGAGAATACGAGTAAAGGGCTCAGGTTCAAAAGTGGATTCGAAACCGAAAGGCTCTGAACGACGCGAGGGCGTTGTAATAGTATGGACTGGGCCCGGATTGCTGCTTTAACAGGACTTTGCAATCACCGGGGAGAATTAGTCAGGCCCCAGGAAAGTATATTGCTGACTTGAGACCCCGATCGTCGTCAGTAGATGACGGCCAGACACTTCGAGGTTACAAGCGATCAGACCAGCTGCGTCACGAGTAGGCAGAAGGAGTAAGACGCACGATTCCCTTCGGCCTAATAGAATACCCGGAGCGAGAAGCTGTAGCTCTGGTCTTTGCCCAAGGGTGAGGTTGAGAAGCCATGGCAGGAGATGTACTCAACAGACGGAGGGAGGATGGAGCGCTGAGACCAATCTTCTAACCGCAAGAGGCCAAACGCGTGAGTTGAGTGAATAGTAATCATTTAATCCGAGGCTCAATTGTCCTCCGGCTGCGGTCGGCGACTCGAGCCTACGCCCGTACGAGGTCTCAGGCTCTAAGCTGAGGTAACCTTCTTCTGGTCTCGCTGCGCCCTACTGGCTATGATCACCTACCCGATGGATCAGAGGAAACTCGCCATTTTACAGCAGAGAGAACATCCGGCTCAGCGAATCCAGGAGTCATCCCACGGGAGGGTCTCCCTCCAGAATCCCCGTGGTCTGTGAGGCCGGATTTCGATACGACGAATACGAAAAGGAGGAGCATTTGAAGCGGAAACGAAACCCTTGTGGAGCTTGGAGTATGGAAGCGTTCGTTTTCGTGTTTGAACATTCAGTAGCAGACTCATTGTGCTGCTCTCAGGTCTATCTGAGGCTAGAATTCATCTCGCTTTTCGCCGCTATTAAATAATGGTATATGGTATCCTATGTCTAAACCCAGACCCCGTGAACCGTCCTTCCCAAGTACCAGCCGAAAGTAACCGTCCAAAAATAAATCCCCTTCTCTTCAGTCATCGCATATTTTCATAAATCTCGTCCGAGTTGATGTTGTTGTGTAGAATGAATAAACAAATGGAGGAATGGCCACACTCACCATCCCCCTCCAGGCCGCTAAAAAAACGGTGGCATATTTTCGATGGTCGCGAATAGATGATCTCTCCCTGCCACCATGCGCCTCCTTATCCTCCCATCCACTCGATGTATGCCTCATCTGCCAAAAAATGTTTTATGCACGCTCCATGACTTCGAAAATGCCATCAAGAACCACTGGCGTCTGCACGGACTCGCTCATGAATTCCATCATGGAGCATTGAGAGGACGAGACGGAAGAAGTGGTGTTTGCTCTGGGTCTTGGTTCCAACAGTCCAAGCCCAATGAGCTCGACGGGGTCGGCATATTTCTCCTCCTCCAGCGCCATGTCAATAGCCGATGGCTGTCGACGGATGAAGTTTGTAGAGTTTGAGATCGACAGGGAAGGAGAGATGGAGTTGTTTAGGCTTTCGAGGGCCTGTGTCCGGCCCCTGGTCCCGAAACTGCTGAAGGAGGAGCTGGGGGACGACTTGACCGAGGACGCAGCCGTAGAGCAGTTCATGCTGCCTGAGCGCTTCGATGACCGGTGCAAAGGATTGTGACTGAAGAACGTTTGGAGGGACAGGCGAACGCGTGATGAGGGAGATAAGGAGGATGAGGCGGATGTGTGAGACCGCAGGCTTCTAGGTACACGTTTAACAAGTAGTTCTTGGTGAGTGATTGATTCGTAGTAATGGACTAACTGTGCAACAGTCATCTTGTTTCCAGAGACGTGAGCGAGGGATAAATTCTTTATGTTCAAAAAACGAATGACGGGTAGTTGGTATTATGCCCTCGCGTAGCTCTCGACGTTGTCCAGCACGTTGTCGAGGAAGCAGCAATGGCGAGAATGCGATCAGTGTGTCAAGGTGCCCGTACAGAGGTATCGTAGGCAAGGAAAAGAGTGTATAATCGTCGTCGCTATCGTGCTGGGACCGATGTTGCCTGGGGAATCAAGAGCTATTGAAGTGTTCCAACATGGAAGGGAAGAAAAGGTCAATGCGGACAGAAGAGAAGAAGCTGAGAGGTCAGTGAGACATTCCTATCCAGAGGGTCAGTGTCAAAACTGTCTCCCGGAGAGATTATGTATGTAGACAGGTGTATCGCGGGAACCCAGTTGAAGCATGGACCATCTGATCCTCCATGGTCATTGATAGGCACTGCCGACCGGTGTCACCAGATTCTCCCTTCCCAGAGTCTCGCAGGGGTCTGAGAAGCTGTGCCAGAGTGAGCAGGATCGTCAAACGCGAGGGGTCCCGGACTGGACCTTGTCAAGACGGGGATGAGAGTATGTCCTCCTATGTCCTCCTATGTCCTGACGGGCCAAGGGTGGATGGACAAAGGAAGCTTTAAGATTCAGTGTGCCGTGTCTTAACGAAACGCCACCAAGTGTCATGCATCAGACGTGCTCGTGGGGGTCCGAGTAGGAGAGGCTTACGCAGTATCCAAACTAACCTTAGATCACCATTCGTATGTTGTACAGGGACAGTATTACGGATCTCGCCAAAAGGCGCAATACAAGCCCTCATCGCGAGCACGAGTAAAGGAGGACATATGAGGCACCGGTGAAGCATGGGTCTGACACCAGAGGCCCCATCAGCGGCCATGACAACTATTCGCAGCAGGTGTTTGGTGCTACTGTGCTCCGTCCCAAGGAGAAGTCGTCTCGGAACTTGTATTACTGTCCTCCGTGCCCGTTGGAGGTGTTTGTCCTCGTAGGCGAAGGATCGAGCTATTGTATCTCACTGTCACTCCCAAACGATGTTGGCCAGGGATCGACTCCTCGCTGATTGGGATCTTCAACTGAAACGCGTCTCGCACCGGACCTGAGATGAGCCAAGCAGGGATCATTGGATCAAGGAGCCACGGGGCCCATGGAGCCTTTCGCCGTCGCGTCAGTTTCGGAGCCCACGTCGCTTGCATGGAAGCGGAAAAGCCCAGAACACGTCGCTGATCCCAGTCTTCAGGGTTCAAAGCTTCTGGGTCTCCGTCCTGGTCCCTGGTGGACGAGCACTGGCCACTGCGCACCGTTCAGATTGCCGTAACAACGCCTGGTCAGTGTGTGCCAGGGCCCTGTGTTCGGTGCCCTAGTTATATGATACCATGTATATCAACGGGCGACGAGCAAGACACGGCCAGATCAAGGAGCCCATGAGATTTTGTGCAACGGCACCAGGATGTTGATGCTGCCATCCCCTGGTGCCTTGTGGTAGTGACACACATAGCGATGAAACTAGTTCTGGAACTGATGGAATTTTGACACTGTACTCTGTACCTGCTACCCGAGCATGTAAATGTAATACAAGAGTCCTAGTATTCGCGTACAATAGTACCATCTTGCACTCAAGTCTCCATTGCACGCGAAAGATGCAAGATTAGCCTACCGTCACATTGGGCAGCTTTAATCGACACTCGCTGAAGCCTACAGTACATATCATTATGGGACTCGTTTCACATGATCCTGATTCCGAGATTGAGAGTCTAGCTCGTGATTCATGAATCGTTCTCGGTATGAACAGAGTGCCAATACAGATGAACATGGGCGCAAAAAGAGGAACCTCGTGAGCTGAAACAATCGGTAGACAGTCCTCACGGACAAGCAGTAGCTACCGTGCCTTTTCTGTCAGATGAAGAAACAAATCTTGGTCATTACGGGCTTCAACTGCCACTTCATCTCCAACGTAAAAAGCATGGAGGCTTTGGGTGCCTTTCACTAGCAATGCATATATACACACATGTCACCCATCGAGCCATCACTGCGTGGTCTTATAAAACGCCCTCGCTATGTTCAACGAACCCTTCCCCAAATATGTACAAACAGTGTCGTGTCAATCGTCATTCCTCGTCGCATATACTCCCTCCGTGCTTGTGGGCTCAATCGAGGTCATCCCGTGATCTCCTGGTGGTAAAACTTCGTCGTAGACTCTCTCCCCATGCTGAGGCATCAAAATCTTCCATGACACCTTGTCCACCCATCCCATTAGCTGTGCTACCGTGGCGGCTGTGGCTCAATGTTGGCGTTGTAGGTGACGATCTATGTGCGCCATGATACGATGTATCCACCGACCCCAATCTCGTCCTAGTCGGGCTGGCTCTGGGTGACTCGTCGAAGCTGAATCCGGACGGGCTCTGCAGCGAGTCACCGGCCTGGAATGATGTGTCGATAGGTGGAAGATGTGTGATTGTTTTCTTCGGTGTGTATGAGGGCGTTGATGCTGTAAAGTCTCGCGGTTCAGTACTGCTGCTGCTCTCAAGATTATCATCCGGGTTCTCGATGAAAATCTCCGGCACAGGAATCGCTGGAGGGGCAGCAAGACGTGATTTCCGTCGCCGTTCGACAGCTCTCCTGAATTCTCGCGACCAATAGACGGTGTCGAAGAAGCCAACCACAGTATTGCGTCGAATAGTTTCTTGAACCCTCTGCAAACGTGCTCTCCGTCGTAAAAATTCTTCCAGCCGCAAGCTTCGCGAATCCGTGATGACGTTGTAATGGGTCAGAAGAAAGAGACATGCTGTGAAAGGAATCCCGCGACCCGGATCAGCCGTGAGCAAGGCTTCTTCGTAAAACACGTTCATTCGTTCCCTTCTCTTCCGGATTTCATCGACCGGGATTTGGCTGACTCTTTCAGATAACCTAGTTAAGTCCATCCCTTCGAATATTCTACTACCCGGCGCAACAGGGTCTCCGGGTTGGAAGCAGCAGTCCTCTTTAATACGCTGCACGGAAAAATCGCCGTCATAGATGCGCATCGAGAAGACACCGGAGAGTTCCTGTTGATGTCAGCTCTGGTAATTTGCGCAAGGATGTCACACTTACCCCTAGCAGGCGAGGGAATTGTTCCTTGGAGATGAAGCCGGTGCCATTCGGGTCAAAGTCTGCCCAGGCTTGTTTGAAACGTCTGATCTCATCGCGGCTTACGATAGACATGCCGCTGCTCTGTTGATAGACGTAGGAGAAGCTTTCGAAAATCAACGAGACGAACAATGATACGAAGAGGTACATGCTGATAATGTTCCAAGAGATGAACAGGGTTCTTGCCCAGGCCGAACTGCCACAGTCGCTGTCGAAGAAACTATCTCCTTGAACACAAAAAGGAGGTTCAATCCCGGCAAAATCCTCCATGATTTGGTTCCATCCTTCGCCGATGCTTGTCCTGAACAGGAGTATCAAAGCTTTCGGCACGGTGCGGAAATTGACATTGTTGCTTTCATTGTCCCCAAAACGTGTCAAGGCGAATGCTTGCGTGAATGCAATCGCATACACCAAGAAAAGCACAAACCATGTTGCAAGGAGATTGGCAATCAGTGGCAGCGACGCCGCCGCAGTTTTGAATAATTGGTCGAGCTGATTGTTGCGTGGGATGAGTAGAAAAGTGGCTGAAACTAACAAGAGCTTGTGGACTTGTTCAAAGCTGCTGCTTTTAACATTGGAAAGCCTCGTAAGAGAAGTCCCCAGGATCCCTGAGAGAACCAAGATCGAGTACATGTCCCAAGAGCTTCTTCTGAACCGATTCCAGGATAGCCCGATGATCCTGATCACGACATTGGTGATGAGTATGACGGCAAAGCCCAGGAATATCCATTCTCGCAATGTCTCCCACCAGACCGGCTCGGGGTAGTAGTCCACCATAAGAAGAATCAAATGCAGGACCAGGATGGTGGTGATGAACCGTTGCCATTTCCCTCGTTTCTTGATTGACAAGTCATAGCACAGCTTTCTAAGACGGGATGTCTTCTCCCCGATTGACCGTTTGGAGGGCGAGATTTGCCGCAAAAGTTTCCGCAATTCCAGCCAGGAACGTTGCTCGGCGGTCAAAAAAGCGACGCCGGTCTGCTCGGTATAATTGCGCATGAAGACTGATATGAACAATGTCAACACGAAGACAGCTCCTAGAAGGTTAAAGACGATGAAGTAGACAGCATTCCCCTGGGATGCAAATGCCCGAGGTTGTAATCCCTTACCAGTGATACTCATGCCAGACCACATAACAGTGGTCCATCCTTCCTGAGAAACAATCTGGAAAAGGATGAACAGAGCACTGCCGAAATCGTCAAAAGAGTACCACGGGTTTGACACCTGCCTGGGAGCCAATACCGGCCAGTTGAAGGGTGTCGAGTTGAATTCACCAACACAATTGGTCAAAGAGTTGTAACCAAAATTGCTGTCGTTGCATGCCTTCATCTCACCGTTGAATAGATTGACACCTAGAATGGCGAACGGGACCAAAAGACTCATCGATACGAATGCTGCGGCTATAAGTTTGTATCCGCCAATGATGATGACGGAATAAAATGTTTCTCGGGCAGTATCGCTGATATTGAGCAGTCGCAACGCCCTTAAAGCTTTGAAGGCACCGACAGCTCGAGAGACGCCATCGTCCCGATACAATGTGGTGATGACATTGATCCATAGTGTCATCAAGACCACGGCATCGATGAAACCCCAGACACTTCTGAAGTAGGCATGCGGGGTAAAGAAGAACCCATCAGCAATGGCCTTAATTGCTGCTTCTGCAGTGAAAAGAACTGCGAAGCCCAAATCGGTCCAAACGAACCAATTAGTGAAATTCACGTCATGGTCCAGGAAGTAGTCGCGTTGATATAGCGGCGTCGTGATGCAGGCTAGAATCACCATAGCAACTATGGCGGCATAAATGAAAGCCGAAAAGGCATACCAGGCAGGTCTGTACGGCGACACACCTTCAACTCGCTCTGATCCTCGCCCTGGCCCGACCAGGTATTGACAAAGCTTTCGAAGTCGGTTGTTGGGTTTGAAAATGAAGAGTGACACGTTGTACTTTGGGTGCTTCTGCAAATATTGACGCTGAGCGCGCCGTCGGTTCTCAGTGGTCATGACGACCCTTTTTGCAGCTGCCCGAGGGTCGAACTCTTCATTAGCCCGTGTGATGGTGGCATTGGAATAGAACGGATTTGGTTCATGGTGCTTGCTGAGGCCGACAAGCTTACCCCAATACTTTGACAGGAGGCCTACCTTCACTGCTCCAGCATCGGGCAGATGCATCGAAGGGGGTCGCTTCGACAGTCCTTCCTGCTGTTCATCCAAGAAATCTGTGACGACAGCCTCCTTTAACAATTGCTCGACAGTAGCGGAGCCGTATTCCAAGGCATCGCGATGTCTGAGTGAATCTCGTCCCATCTTGAATACTGCGGCAAGTGACAAATTGCCAGGGGCCGAGCCACTGATTTCTTTCTGCGTAAGGAAAGCCTTCACCTGCTGCAATCTTTTCTCGTCCTCAGACACATCAAAACTCTCTTGGATGACAGCAATAAACATATTGAGTACGATTAAGTTTGAGATGATAAACCACAGAATGAAAAACATCGCACTTAGCCATGCTGTATCCCATATGAGGTTGTACTCGGTGGCGTTATACATGAGAGAGGTCCAGTTCTCGCTTGAAAAAACTTGGTACATGCCGACAAATGAATTCCAAATGTTGAAAAAGGTCACTTCGATTGTGTCCCCAGCATTATCCTCGGCAGGGATGTCTCCTCTCAGCAATTGGGATGCTAGAATGGCTGCCATGAAGGTGAACAAGAAGACGAAGAGTATCAGGTTGAGTAAACCACCGATGTTGCTGAACACAAGCATCACCAATTCTCTGGTAACCCTGACCGCCAAGACGACTCGATAGACACGGGCAATCTGGAAGGCTGTGAGCCACGCATAAGGCTTGCCGGAATGTCGAATTGCTGGGATCTGCATGATGGAAGTGACAACGGCAAGGAGAAGATCAATGCAATTACGTTTGCCTCGAAAGAAATTTCGCCAGTCACAAAGGAAGCGAAGAATGATCTCAACGAGAAGGAGTAGTGTGACGATTGTCTCGGAGTTCATGATGAAGTCTTCACGAGAGTCGCTCATGTGCGCGCTGCGCAAGCTTTGCACCACCAGCCCATAGACAATGACAATAACCCAGAACATATGAGTCTTGTCAAAGATCTTCTTCAGCTGGCTTCGTTTGGTCATCGGATCGTCTGCAAGTACTGGCTGGTCGATGTTGTCCGCGGTAAATGCGCTTTGACGACTCTCTTCGCGAATAATCTGGAAGGAAGAGGTGATGACAGCCACCAACAAGTTGACCATCCACAAACTGAGAACGACAATACCAGCCGCAAAGAAAAGCGCTGCTGCCAAGTAATCGGAGTCGGTGAGGTAGTATAGCAGATCGGAGAAGGTATTGGAACTGATGATGACGAACACGAGCTCCAGGGATTGGACGATGTTGTCGAAACTGACAGTACCATTGTAAGGGCCCTGAGAGCCTTCCACGCATAAGGAATTTTGTGGACAGAAATAACCTTTGGGACTGCGTGTGCCATTTTGCCCGTCGAGCTTCAGCCATGGCATGGGTTCTGCTGTGACTGCGTCCAGGTAACCTCCGCAAAACTGTACATTCTCAGGAGCGACGTTAAGTGTGTAGTTCTGACCAGAGCCATCGTCTCCAACCCAGACGCAGGTCCGTCGAAGACTTGATTTGAAGCTCTGGACTCCAACGATACCAAAAATGAGCCAGAAGAAACCGATCAGAAATGCAACATGAACCAGGAGAGGGGCCGCTTTCTTCAGACTACGAAGAATGACCGAAGTTCCTGCTGTCAGGCCAAGCAAGCGTAGGATTCGTAAACTGCTCAACATGTTGAAGACGTAGACGTGGGTACTGCTCTCTATCAGCGTCGTCTGCATAGAGAACGAAATCCAGTACGACACAACAGCCACAAAATCGAGCCGATTGAAAGAATGTCTGAGGAAAGCACGCCGAGCAAGGCGCATCCTCTGCTGGTGTTTGCGATGACCGGGGGCGCCGGGACCCGGGACACCAGTGAAAGTACGTACGATGGAGGGATTTGGAGTATCGGTCTTTGCAGGTGGCATATCTTGTAATTGCTGTCCGGAAAAGAGTGTGTGGGCCTTTTGTAGCACCGCTCTCTTGAGACCTAGTTCTCGATTGATCGTACTATGCTCGCGTGGGTTCGAGATGAAGCCTGAGACGATGGTACGGGCGACCAGTTCCAAAGTGTAGATTACGAAAAGCCCAAAGATAGCATAATCGAAGCCTGTGCCCCATCGCTTGGTCCTTGTCTGCAGGTACACAGCATCAGAGGCAGCATTCACTGCCAGCAGCACGGCTTGAGTAATGATCAACACCAGGATTAAGGGTTCAGTGAGCGGATGCACAAGGACCTCGAGCAGCCACTTCCGTAGCGGATTCTCCGGTCCAAAGACGCCCCACGACTTGCCTAGCAGAGGGTTTGGGTAATGAACAGGCATGAACGGTGCGGGTGATGCGTCGACAGAAGGGACCTTCTCCAGTGGCGAGGGCATTCCGGATGCTTCTTCCTCATCTGGTGTTGGCTGTCCGATAGGGGTCGATGTACTTGGTCGCCTCTGATCTCGTACTGAGGATTTTCGACGAATCTTCTGATCAACCATATCTGAGTCGTTACTCAAATTGACGACACGCTGAGATATCTCTCGCAGCATCGAGTTCGCTCTTGCCATGGGAGAAGGAGACGGTGACTGTGAGCGGGATCGTTCTCCGGACTCTGCTCTTTCGGGTGTTAGACCAGCCATGGTGCTACCAGTGCTCAATTTTCGACGTAGAGCGGTGCTTGTATTGAGGGTGGGTAGGTCATCTCCAAGCCTTGAGCCCCGACCGCGAGAGACTGAAGGAGGTTCTCCTTCTGCCCAGTGCACGCTGGACAGTCTTCCCTGTCTATCGTGCCTCTGTCCTCGAGATAATGAGCCAGATGTCTTCAGAGACGATGTGTATCCACGTCCTTCGGTTAATGGTGTTGTATCAGTATCCGGGGGGGAGAATATGTCGGTCTCAAAATGATCTCCCTCGGCGGGATCAGCTGGAGTGGTGATGATTGTCGGCCTCCTCGTGCTCGCGCTTGGGGGTGTAGATGGGAGGTTCAGATCCAGACCGACCGTAGCTGCTGCGAAGCCTTCTATATCCTCAACAGGAGAGTCATTGTCGTCGTGTCTTCGTGCGCCCACGCCGGCGCGCCCCCATCCACTCCCCCCTCTTGTAGGCGATTCTTCATCCAGACGTGCATAGGTTGGGGTTCGACGACCGGCGAGAAGCGAGCGAGTGCGACTATGTCGATGAAAGTGACTACTTGAACCAGCGCTGTGTCCTTGTGTCCCATTCGAACCTGCGAAGGAATCATCGGGGCCTCTTGAGAGATCTTGTAAAGGGATTGACTGCCGAGGCGCCGCTTTCGGCGGCGTTCTGTCGCGAGAAGACATCGGTAGTAGGGGTGGTATGGAATCAAGGCCGGAGCGCAAAGATGCGTCTACGTGAACAAAGTGAATTCCATGTCGATTACTGTGAGTGCCGAAGTTGTTTCAGCAACGTCTGATCGCGAGGGAGGCGGTGCCTCCCGTGCCCGGGGAATAGAGGCGTATCGAGGACACTCAGATGCGCTTTTGCAATTCCGTTGAGAAGCTATCGACAGCAGTCAGAATCGCTAGAATGAGGATTGGTTGTATCAAAGGCTCGAACGAGTGACAGAAATGGTCATCTATGGCCTGCAAAAGCTGAATGAAGTGTGGGTGAGTTTGTTGAAATCTAAAACATGTGGTGCTCGTATTCTGGGTGCCTTTGCTCTCTTTCTCTGACGCGCGGCGACTCACTAGCCTGCGAGACACCCTAGGCGTGCTTCTAGGCTGTAATAGGCCTGGCGGATCTCCCTACAGCGCCGCCGGAGTGCACACGGTCCTCCGCCCCCAGGCTACAACCGCTAGTTCCTTTGACTGGTCCAACGCCTGGAACAGTTCTCACTCAGGGGTCGCTCGTAGCTGAAGTGGCTGAATGAAACCTGTGACATCAACAGAGCCTCTGACAGGTTGGTGGCTTACACAGTACATTGGTGATCCGTACGAGACGACTCCGTTCTACTCTTATCCAGTAAATCGTTTATCAAAGCACACGTCAGCATCACTAGTCAAGCTTCACTTAGGTACGCATAGTCCCACGGAGTACGAAGGACGATCTGAGCGTTGGGAATTATGTGTGAGCTTGTAGACCGCGGCAAGCGACTTGAAGAGGCCCTACAATACAATCTTTGAAGACTCTTTCTATCGTTTGTCGCTGTCCTGGTAGCAGTAGCCAGGACAGCTCATGAACCGGATGTCTTGTAGCCCAACATGACATCCTCCACAACATCCGGCACCCATAAAGTCAACGCCAGGCGAGTCTTGTTGTCCTCAATAAACGTTTGACCTGCTCTGGCACGAGGTCTCTCGTTCTCAGACTCATCTTGCGAAGCATCTCCATCCTCTTGTTCTTGGACAGAACATCATCCCACAGGGGTTCCCGCAGGCATTCGATCTCCATCTTCTCGTCTGTTGGCGACAACACCAAGGGAACATCCATGACTTCTTCCTGTTTCTCCTTCCAGCGGTCATCGCCTGCGATGCGAGTCAATGGAGCCAATGCATCATCCCATGTTCCCGACCTCAAATGGCATTGATCAAACCGAAATTCATGCAGGACTTTGCGGTGTGACATGATGAAGCCCGCTGCCTGGTCAGCGTCAAGACTAGCATTGCTGAGATGCATCGTTTTCAGATGGCGGAATTTCAGAGGCCGGAAGGATGACTTGGAACTCGAGTTTGGACAGGCATTCGGACAGGGGAGGGAAGTGGGTCGCGAAGTACAGGGCTCGATATGGAGTGCCAATGGGCAAGGCCCCTTATGTCCAAGCCACCTGAAATTAAAATGCTCAAGGGATTTCAAAGCTTGCAGGTAGCTGTGAAGGATTTTGAGATGGTCTGCTGGCTGATCACGGCCATACTCGAAGCTGTCCATTTCCATGTCGAGCCTTTTGATCCGTCTCCAGACTCGTGACGAGGCTGGCGAAGAGCCAAAGGTCAAGTGTGGCCGCAGGTAGAGTACCGTTCCGGGATGCACAGGTGCCAGGGTTAGCATCTCGAGTTGAGTGGGATTCGCAGCTTCCATGGCAATGCGGAGGGAGATCAAGGCGTAGTCAACAATATCCTTTCGGTATCTCTGTCCTGCCGGTTGACCTGGACACGAGACTTGCAGATGCCGTAAGTTCGGCATGGCGCATACCGCGCGGGAGAAAGATTCGACATTGGTTGCGGCATGGAACAAGGGGGGGTATTGTTTGACCAGTAAGTCACTCATTTCCCAGGATCCGTATTTGGAATTCGAGCCGGAAGTCGACGAGCTGCCAGACGACGTTGGTCTTGACGGGAATAAATGAGGCTCATAGATAAAAGTAACTTCTTCCAAGGTGTCCGGCACCAAGAGTGGTGGGAGGAATGTCTCGGGCTGATGAGGCATCACGAACGAGAGTTTCCGAACATAGCCACCAATCCTCTCCAATGCCGACATTCGCGCTCTGCGCGTAAAGGTATTGGCGGTAAAGTGGACGTGAAGGGTTTTGAACAAGACAGGGGCAATGTCTTTGGAGTACTCCTTGCAAACAAGTCTCAGAGAGCCAAGATCATCCTTGGGGAGGATAGACAAGAAGCATTCGCGAGTCAGGTCTGTTTGCCAGAATCTGGCAGAAGCCGTTGAAGACATTTCTGGCCAGGGGCATCGCTCGAAGCGAAGGCAGATAAAATGGATGCTGTGGTTTGCCTCAACACTGTTGGTCGGAGAAGAGCAATGACGGTTCTCTTCAGATGGCCACTCTTTGTCACGGAATCGATACTATTAGAGTGGAGATTCAAAAAGAAGTACAAATGGGAAAAAGAATCCAACTATCGCATAATGTACAAAGAAAATTTTGGCAGCAAAGTATTTGGGTGGCTGCAGCGACAGACGCACTGCGCTGGGTTGGTCAGGAGGAAGACGAAGGGTCGCAGAGGAGGTGGACGACGATGGGATTTTCATTGTCTTTTCGAAGCGAGAGCGAGTGATGGGTAACAAAGGACGAGACTGATGAAGCTGAGGGGGAAATGCAAGGTGGTCCTCGTTTGCTCTGGTTCTATCGCGAGTTTGGCGCGGTCGTGAATGTGTGAAAATCCGAAAACAACGTGATCATAGGTAGCGCCTGGTGTTGAGTGTGACGGTTGGACTTGAAGCTGCAGGATGATGCATGATGCATGATGCTAATACAGAACGTGGATGATACGCGCCCAACGCCGACTACAAGCGCGTCAGTCGGTCGCCAGATACGCGAAGGTCGTGTTTCTGGATTGTTTGTCGTCAGAGTCTTGCTTTGGACAAGTGCGTTTGGAGAGGCGTAGCGTGGACTTGTCTAGAGTGAAGCATTAGCATCGAGAGACTCCTTACCTTACGGAGTGATCGTCTATGCCGCGGATGGTTGGAGCCATTGACGATGTTGCGCCCTCGGGGCACTTTCTTGATTTGGCGCGTCTTGAGGGCGCGCCTTCCATATTTGTTACTAGCATAGATAATATAGATTCCTCCTGCGCCATCAGACCTAGACACTTACAACCACCTAATACATAATACATAATATTACCAACTGTCAGATCATTTGTCTTTTGACCCCAAGCCCCCGTCAACGATGATGGCCGCCGTCAAGGATATCGGCTCGACCCGACGCGTCAAGCTCGCACGCCAGGGAGCATGAAGCCCAAGAATGCTGGACACGGCAACGATGAGAAATCATAAAATCCAGATTGTTGTAGTGTAAAGAGTACTGGGTAAGACCTGAAGAGAGGATCACGGTCTAACTCAGTATCGGTACCGTGTACTCCGTAAACGGTCAAGATATGGCCTGGGAGATGCTGGACACTGTCGAAACCGCGTTGTGCCAACCACCACACGTGCATCGTGCCGGTCAAATATCATCACGTGATCTGGCAGTTAACCTCGGCTCGTGTGCTCGTATTCGTATCTGTATTCGTGTTAATTCGAGAACGAGGCTGTGCAGCGAGTCGGAGGGATTTTACTCTTCCCGGGCTTGCCTTCCGATCTCCGTCCCCAGCGGCGAAAAGACTGCACAAGTTTTTCTGCGCAATGATCGAATCGTGGACATTCCTTCTTGGCCACAGTAACCGAATTCACATGCTCTCCGTGCCTTCAAGAACCCAATCCAATGGGTCCATGCCACTGACATCAATGCTACCCTCGTATCTTACCCTTGGAGGAATAGGTACTCGAAGTCTGTGCCTATCATGATGAAGTCGTCAAGGTCGCAGAAAATCGAAAACCTTCTGCAGAATAAAGTAGCTGAGCACGCGAGTTCTTTTGTTTTTTCCACAACACCTTCATTTCTTCATTTCCAGACTTTACTCCATATACCACACACACACACTGCACATTATTTCCTCACACATCGTGTTCCTAGTCCTTGTCGCCCGCGCTCCACTCGTCCAGACCTCCGCCATCTTGTTATCATTCACCGACTCCATTGCCCGAATCTTGTGCGTTGTATTCGAGCAGACCAATTTGATTCTCGGCACGAGACCAGTTTCCCGATTCTCTCGAGTGCGAAGACAAATTCCTGCCAGGATGATACCATCCTACCTCAACCCGATTCCGTCTCTGCCCAAGCCTCTGGGACCGCACAAGGTCGGGACGACAGAGCTCGAGATTCCAGTATCGGAAATCCCGTCGTCATCACCAGTGCCCGATCAGAGAGTTGCCACCGTCAAATTCCGAGTTTTCTATCCTGCCACAGAATCAGCGACCTTGAAGAAATCCTCAGTGCCCTGGTTGCCGCGGCCACAGCGAACCTGGCAGCAAGCGTACGCCAGCTTTCTAGGGGCCAATCCACGCGTCTCGTCCTTCTTCTCCTATCTACCATTCACCATCAACTACACTACTCTCCCAGCACTGGCCGATGCGCCGCTGTTATCCAGGGATTCGCCCACCCTGTTCCCTATGGCCATCTTCTCCCACGGCCTGGGTGGCAATTTCAACACTTACAGCTCAATATGTACGTCCCTGGCTAGCTTTGGCGTAGTATGTGTCGCTCCAGAACACCGAGATGGAAGTGCGCCAACGTCTCTCATACGATCTGCGGACGGTTCGACCACTGCGATCCCGTACCAGAAGCTCGCTCATAGCCCGACGGCCGAAGTCTTGAATGCGCGCAATGCACAGCTCCGAATCCGCTTGTGGGAGCTTGAGCTTCTCTTCACCGCACTGACGGGGCTGAATGAAGGCAAAGAATTCACAAACTACGCTAGCTCAGACACCACCGTGCCCGAGGAGATGCCTTCCTTTGAGAACAAACTCAATCTCCGACCTGGCCAAGTAAGCTGGGTTGGCCACTCTTTCGGCGCCGCAACGATCGTCCAGTTCATCAAGTCAGTCTACTACCATGAATCGCTTCCCTCGCTGAAAGGCACACCGTACGAGAACGACATGGACTGGCGACCTTTGTACAAGCCGGCGGCCAACCATGACCTCGTGCGGCAAATAACACCGTCCTCACCAGTTGGACTGCTCGACTTATGGACGATGCCTCTACGTGGAGAAGTGACGCAGTGGTTGTGGGAAAGACCGCTCCCCTGTTACGACCGCAAAGCCGACGACAGCACCACACCGAATGTTGTCGCAATTGTGACGGCCGAGTTTTACAAGTATACCGACCTGCTGAACCGAATGAAAGCCTCGCTGTCGGCAGACCCCGTCGAATCCATGCACTCTTTCGACTCTCGAAAGTCGTCATCACCATCCGACACTTCCATCGGGGTTGAGCCCACCGTGTCTCCACCACTCGACAAAGCCGCATTGGAACCAGAGCTCAGTACCGAAAGAGTCGGAAGCGCCGCCGCATCAGATGGTGTTGAGTCACAATCGCCATCGCCTCTCTCAAGCCGGACCTCGACCCCGAGTAATGAGTCGATGTCAAAAGAACGAGACTCGAGTGCGTCCAGCTCCATGACTTCATTCACACCCATGGTTGAGTCGCAGGACGGCATTACGCCGAAGCTGTTCCTCATACCAAACAGTGCGCACCTCTCGCAGTCGGACTTTGGTGTCCTGTTCCCCCGACTGACGCGGTACCTGATGAATGCCCAAGAGCCAGAGGAGACACTGAACCTGAACGTACGAGCAGTATTGGCCGTGATGAGAGGTGCCGGTCTAGATACCGCTGCCTATCGCTCCGGGGAAGATAGCAATACTGAAATCGACACCATTCTGACACACCGGTGTACCGAGAAGAGATTCGTTCCTGTACCACTTACTTCATGATCGAGTGATATGTGGCAAGATGAAAACTGGTACTCCCACGCTACGTTACGCCTATGACGAGTTGCGACGACAAGGAAATGGAATGTCTAGACACGACTAGAATTGCGATTACAGCGATACTGTTACTATTGGTGTTTGGGTCTGTGTTGAAGCAAACTTGAGTTCGTCCCATTTTCACAACTGGAGTTTGGGGAGAGATAGCTTTCCTTGTCATTGAACAAAAGGAATCATGGCCACTGTGGAGCCTTGGGGCATTGCATTGCATAGAATAGAAAAACATAGCATAGAATAGCGTGGTGTAGAGTCGGAAACATGATACAGTAATTGTACAACCAGAGATTCATCGTCATCGTCATCGTCATCGTCAACATCAACATCAGCATTGTCCATCATACAAAAACTTTCGACAGTGGCGAACAGGCAAGGTGCTTGCTGTGCCATCACTGTCACGAGGGTGGTACCTCCAATGCGAAAACCCCCGACTTCACGGAGCCGACAACCTTGTATCGTTTCTGGAAGTACGTGTGCCATTCATCCAGGACGGTCCTGTACTTGTACTCGAGGTCGTACCATTCCGGTACACAGTCCTCGGGGTCCCTGCTGGACAGGGCCAGGGCGCGAGAAGGATCTTTGCCAGCGTAGACTAAAGACGCGTTTGACATATCGCAAAACGTTAGCCGAGACAATGCACTCTTGCTATTGATCCATGTTGTTGTGTGACGGTGAGTGCTTGGGATCCGTTGTCCAAAATGTGAGATGCAGACAAGGACAGGAGGAGGTAGGTGGAAAGAGGAAGAGAGCGGAGGCAGGATGAATGAATGAGTGGGCGGGCATACCATGATACGCTCCGCCGGGACGGTACGCGGTGTTGCGCGACACGTCAAAGACCGTTCCCTTGATGGCGACGAGAATGGGTTTAGAGTCGTCGGTGCCTGTTGGTTTTGGTCGCCATGTCACCGCAAAAATCAGTCATGATTTCAATCCCAGTTAAGATCCCAGTGTTGAATATCGATGATGGCTCTCGCTGGTACTTACCGTCATACTTGGTCAGTTCGTCATGAGTGAAGACGATTTGCTCAACAGGCTCGGTGGGTTGGACGGCGGCCGCGTCGTCCTCCGAATTGAAGCGTGCAGGAGTCTCATAATGATGACGAGGTAAGGTATGGGCGAGCATCATGGCGGCGTCGTTGTTGGGTTCGGTGTTGAAGGACCTATCACTGAGAGAAGTCGACGGTGTGCTTGTGTTCATCTCAGACCATAACATTTCCACACGCGACAAAAACGAAACCTCTATACACGTCCGTACCTACCAGCCCGGTTTTATATCATTTCGTCGTAGGATCTACCACGCGTACTTTACCGGCGAACCGGTGTTCCCCATGGAGCAGTCCACGGAACGAGATTCGCTCGCAGCTCGCAGACTCGGATGAACTCATAAGCCCGACGCAAGTAATCAGAACAGAAAGCAAGCAAGCAAGCCACGTCTCGCGACGCTGGGAGGGGGCTGTGTAAATTTCGTGAGGCACCCGAAAATAAGCGTCCAAGCGCTGTTCGTGTCCTTCTGGTCGTCGAATACTTTCGCACCCCCATGCTCGACTGGCAAACGGGAGGAGGTGTTGCGGGCTGCCAAGGAACTGCATTACGCATGCAACTGCTAAGCGAGGCTCCGTGAGGGAATGGGAGGTCTGCTGCGAGGGAGGCTCCGGTTGTTCTCAGAGACGATGGACCTCTTCGCGATATGACCCACGTCAGGTGAAGCTCGTATCATACCGTGAACGACCCATATAGGCCTCCGACGTAAAAGGGCTTCGAAGATCTTGCATAATTACCGACATGATGCGGTGAATGTCATCTGCTGGACGGCGGGGTTTGACAGCCTCGCCCCGCCCCGTAGAGATTGGATATGCAGCGTGCCGGTCTTACCTAAATAAACCCCGTTGTCGAGTCCAACCTTGCCAGCCTTGCATGAGGCCAAGAGCGGACGGAGCACGCCTAGGTGGGACTCTTCTCTAGAATACCTCTATATTGAAACAGCAGTCAAGGCCATGATTGGACGAGACGTGGAGTTGACCAGGTTCTGCCATATAAGTCTTCCTGTACTCTCGTCACTATAGGATAAGACAGGCAGGTATAAAAGGAAACGAAAGGTGCTGGGACTCGCCATGGGGACCTCATAACCGCACCGCCTTCTGCGTCTTTTTGACCACTGAACCATACGGTCCTCTGCCGCCATCATACATCTTCTTGTGAATTCAAAACAATTCAAATGGCCCCTGCGAACCAATTGGCTACCCGCGAATTGGGTAAAGGTGGCCCTCAGGTCCCAGCACCAGGTCTAGGGCTGTTGGGTCTGAGCGCAGGGTATGGTAAAGCGCTGTGAGTGCGACACCCGAGCCTCTGTAGATGATTGCAGCGACATGCTGACCACACATTCAGCCCAGATGAGGAACGTTTCAAATTTCTTGATCGAGCCTGGGAACTGGGTGCAACGTTTTGGGACACCGCTGCCGGTTATGGAGACAGCGAGGTCTTGCTCGGCAAATGGTTTGCGATGCATCCAGAACGCCGCAAGGATATCTTCCTCGCCACCAAGTTTGGTCTTGGCTGGACCATAGGGGAAGATGGGAAAGTCAGCTTGTTCGTGGACAGTTCACCGGCGAATTGCAAAGCTGCTTGCGAGCAAAGCCTGCAAAAGTTGGGCATCGACAGCATCGACCTCTTCTACGTCCATCGGTTCGACAAGGTTACGCCGGTTGAGAAGACGATGGAAGCCCTCGTGGAGTTGAAGAGGTAAGTTGCGCACCATGAACCCGAGTCGCACAACGCTTACACTTGGAAGGGAGGGCAAAATCAAGTACATCGGATTTTCAGAGTGTTCATCGGACACCCTTCGACGCGGATACGCTGTACACCCCGTATCTGCCGTCCAGATTGAATACAACCCGTGGACGTTGGACATTGAGGGAGACAGCGGCACCAATCTCCTGCGCACTTGTCGAGAACTTGGCGTGGCGGTGGTGACATATTCACCCTTGGGCCGAGGGTTCTTGACCGGCAACATCAAATCCATCGACGACCTGGACGAAAAGGACGCCCGCCGTCATCTGCCACGATTCAGTGCCGAGAATTTCTCCAAGAACCTGGATCTAGTCAAGACCATCGAGAGGCTGGCTCTCAAAAAAGGCTGTACGACCACGGAGCTTGTCCTTGCTTGGATCATGGCGCAGGGCCCAGACTTCATCCCAATCCCTGGCACCAGAACGATCAAATACTTGGAACAGAACGTCAAGGCCAGTGCAATTGATGTCACCGATGAGGAAAACAAGCACATCAGAGACGCCATCAACGCCATGGGAGGCCCAAGTGGGGATCGAAGCACCGATACCAGCAATTACTATGCAGACACTCCGCCTTTGTAGTTATAGTTTGAAGAGCGCGGGCATCAGCGGAGGAGGTTTGTGTTGAACAGGCCGAGTTGTGGATTACTTTGTCGCCAACGTCTCTCAGCTGCTACACCTTGCCTCTCAGCAAGATATCTATTTCAGACAAACCTTAAGTGAACCTGGCAAATCACCGCCTCTATTGCTGCCTACAATTCCCAGTGTATTATGAAGCAAAGGTTGGTGAAGGAAAATCGTGGTCGAGGCGCCCAAAAGAATCGCCCCTCGTGGCTGCTGCCATAAGCCCAGGGGCCTGCTAGAAGCTTTCGTGCATACTTTGCATTCTCTCGAAAGGAATTAATCTCCTTGGAGATAGCCGGCTTCTAGGAGAGCCTCGAATTCCTCATCGGTGACGGGGCAGTAATCCATGAGTTTGCTGACGATACGCTTCGAAGCAGTTCGCTCCATCGTCGCTCCTGTTTCGGCTGCTGTATCGGTCGCCCTGGGGGGCTCTTCTAGCCTATCCGTCCGTGGATGTTTGCGCACGCTTTCTGTTGTTCTGTACGTTGGGAGCATGCTGCTGTCAAAAGTTCCCGAATCAATACTAAGGGCCAACTCTGCGTCAGTGAGCCAGTCACCACGAGCGAGCACCACCTTTCGGTCGTCTTCCTGAGTCTCTACGCCTCTCTTGCGCTTTAAAAATCGGCGTGGCATATGGAGGGCATCACCTCTGTGGATCACGGTGGCCGGGCCGACGTCCTCGGCACTGGGCTTCCAACCTTGCCGCAGTTTTTCTTGCAGCTCAGCCATCCCTTCGTCAGTTGTCTTATCTCGCCGTTGCTCGCTCCATAATCCCGCTCGGCCAGCAACCTTAGGTTGGGCGAAGAGACATATGATGAGCTTAGCATTATATTTCCTCGCGACAAGACAGTCTGCCAATTTTCGTGCATGATCGTAAGTGTCAGAAGGATCTGAAGTGACTACCCAATGACCTAGCGGGTGCTTCAAGTTGTCTCGCATGTGGGGAGGTAGTTCTCTTGTTGCGTGATAAGTTGGGTGACGTGCAACTTTGGTGTTGGTGTTGGGCATCCGCTGGTATTTCTGGAGAATTCCAAGGTCTCGAAACTGCGTCTGGAGCTGTTGAGACATGATCGAAAGGGTTGGAATCGGATCTGCAACAAAATCAACGTTCCACTCAATTTGGGAGCCAGAAAGGCCTTTCCGTTGACTGGTTTGTACCACGAAGTACGAGCCCAACAAGTTTGAGCCTAGCCGGAACGCTTGTGGGCCCGGAACATCGTCCATCACATAGACACAAAGGTTCGTATCCACGTTGTTGGCTACTTTGTCTGAGCCTAGAAGAACACATAATGCTCCCTCATGGATGGGAAGGTCATCCACCTCCCAAACGGAGGGCATATCTTGACAGCTCCACGGTGTGCTATCGTACGTGCTCGACATCCTCAAGAATGACTCGTCGGGCTCCCTCATACCCCTCTTGCAATGACTGTAAATCGCAGCAACAAGCTGTCGTGTCTTAGATTTCTGATCAGGCAACATTGTTACGTCCAGGCGGTATCGCACTCCCCGCTCAAAAGGCTCCTTTGCAACAAGGAAGAAACTATCCGGGAAATCACGCTCGCGAGCAAGGCGACTGGACAAACAACGTCGCCTCATCGCGGCATGAAGTCTAGACCTAGCAGAGCCGTGCCGAAAATGTCGGAAATACCCAAGTAAATGTTCTTGCTGGACATGTGGTAGTTCCGAAGGGTACACATGGATTGGCTGCTGTAAATCGACATATTCTTTGAGGTCATTAAGAGCATTCTCGGCGATAGCGATGTATGTCAATTCAGTAACTTGCTCCCAATCCGATAAGAAGTATGCCGCGACAGTGAAAACTGCGCAAAAGCTCTGTGGCGCCCCATAGAGATCAGGGTCCTCTCGGTGGGTACCTGTCCACATAAACTCAAGCGCTTCAAGAGCATCTGGACTAACTTTCCAGGCTTCTCGAAAAAGTCTCAAAAGATCCCGTGCGCATTTTCTTGACACTGTGTCAGTGGGAAGAGATTGTAACAGTGTCTTCAAGTTCTCTGTTGTAATGTAAAGCGCCGAAATACGAGCATGAGCCCAGCATATACTGCGAAAAACGCAATGCTCCGAGTCGAGCCATCGGTACATCGCAGCGCCTTGCGGGTAGAGACTTTCGGAATCTATTCGGTTTTCCATCGGACGCTGCTCCAAATCTGCTTCGAAAAAGCGGCGCATTGGGTCCCCTAGAGAGGGAATCTCACTATCGCCTGCAATGCTGACCGCCTCCCGGCCTGTAAGTATTCGAAGCTCATTTAAGACAGCTTCACGCTGAAAGTCCCGAGCCCAGTCAAAGATATAGTCTATGATCAGCAGGAGCTGAAGCGCAGCGTCTTTCGCTCGTATGCTGCCGCCCCATAAGTGATAGACATGCTACAAAAACGTCAGTCGTGTACTTGTAAGAGTTTCATCAGGTATTCCTTACGTAATGGGTTATCTTGTCTTGTATTTCCACATAGGCTGCTGCCACCCGCCAATCATCTCCACGATTAGAGAGAAACCAGACCAGAGGTCCTGATTGCCATTGACTTCTTTCACCAGTTAGTAATCGTAGTTTGAGTTGTATGTCCAGAAGCTTCTTAATCGCATGTGCGGTTTGGATCTCGATGTCGTCAAAAGAGTTCCCAGTCTCGCTCTTTGCCTCAACAACTAAGAAAGGAAAGAGGACTTCATCTCTCATGTCATTAAATGGGCTGCATTCCACAACGTCTCGTAATTCCTGGCGCTCAAAAGGGGGGTGTGAAATCTCTTCCTCAAGGAAGCGGCTAAATCGGCTAGTCTTGCGGAAGCCATATACTCGATCAGGCCTCTGCCCCTTCGGAAATATATCGGAAATCGGATCGCTTTTCGACTGCTTGACCACCTTATCTGCCCTGTCGTGAAATATTCGACATATTCCAGGGTCATCTCTGGGACATAAAACTTAGCCGGACATTGGATTTGTCGAAGGTTTCGGTTCTGCCTACCGGTCAAGACATCTTTGCATCTCGCTGCAGGAACAAGGTCTTCGGTTTGCTTGCCTGGTTTTGAGATCGAGTATATCCCCAAAGTTGTCGGATGGATTTGTCGAGACCTCGACCTCTGATCGCCATAATTTAGACGAGCACCGCTTGCTGTATTATTACTGTTAGAGCAAGAAGAAAACTGATGAAAGGATGATGGCCCGACCACGTAACTTCTGTGCCGAACCGAGCAAGAATTTCAGGTTCGAGTTTCAGTCTCCAACCCATCTCATTTTGTCCAGCACGGCGACAATTCTCGACAAGGCAGACAAGACGTTCGACTTTTTGCTTGACCTTGGCTCGCCATGGCTTCTGGTGAGCCTCGTAAGTAAAGTTGTGGACATATTGGTCGAATTTGTAGCTGCTGATTTCACGAATGGCACTGAAGACTTGCGCATGGTTCCCAGGGCGACATTCGCTCGGACCATGGAAGTGAATCCTTTCCTTTTCAATCAAACGAATGAGCTTGGGCTTCTGTTCCGGTTTCATACTGACTGCCGCCAGAACTTTCAAAGTCAAGATCTAGTTTGGAGCACAAGTGATGCTATTTAATATGACGAACAAGCTTGGCCTACCTCGCTGCCTGCAGCGGAGCAGGCAGCCGACCTTTGAAAGTTACAAAAGTACAGACGCGTAAGTCTACACACAAAACGCGGGTTTCATCTTTTCGCGTTTTACGCGACTTCAGCCCTTAAATTGCAACCACTATGTCAACACTACGCAGGCCTCTGGAGAGGTCTCTGGCAATAGCCAGCACCAGAAAGAACTCCCTCCTTTCTAGAGAGCAAAAATGGGAGGGCGCCGCGCGAGGAACGAGACCCTCATATACCGAGTATCAAAGCTGGCGATGGAGGTCAATCATCAACACTCAGTCGTACGTGAAGTTGATGCTCTGCTAGCCTCTATCGACAACCAATAACGACGTGCAAGAATCACAGCTTGTATGACGACCCATTTGAGTCCAGCTCAGCGCAAAACTCGCGCTTTAAATGACCCGTCAGACAAATAGATATTTTCCTTGGCACCCTTATTACACCATATCAAAAGCCAGGCACCAGCAGCGAAGCCGATCGCAGGCGAAAGTGGTGCCACATCTTCTGTTTAGTCCCCAAGAACACTCCGGGCGCCGTTGGCACGTTCAATGCATTGTTGCTCGAATCTCCTGATCGTCTTAGTCCGATTATTGGCTTTTCAAGGCCGCGCAGAGGGCGACTTATTCCCATTGCGCTCGTACCGGCCGCCGGCGTCTTACTCAACCCTGGACGCCGAACGTACCTAGTGGGACAGTGCGAGATCGGTCCCATTGGCTTACACAGTAACAATGGAGGGGCCACGGTCGGATTCAAAGAGGCCCCGAGGACGACAGAGCTGCGACCTGTGTCGGAAGATGAAAGTGAGTCTAGACCCTCTCTGCCTTTGATCAGAACCAAGCGCGGCGAAGGCCTTGATGTCTGTGTCTATCCAAACCCCTTTTGTCAGCAACTGAATCGGTGCTGGTGTTTTGTTTTGTTTTGCTCGACCATAAGAGTCACGCCAGTTATCAACATGGAATACAGACTCGACCTATCGATTCGATCGCATACTCACGATGGATAGATACGTTGCGATCGTCAAAATGATCAACCCTGCTCGAGCTGCAGAGCTCGCGGACTGGCGTGTGTTGTCACCCCTGCGCCGAAGAGAACCAAAGAGAAAAGGTAACAGCCGATGCTTCCCCACGAGACTTGTCTACCTTGAACGCCTCTAAGCTTCAAAGGGCCCAGTTCCTTCACTCCATCGAAGGGCGCATCGAGAGAATGGAGGCTCTCCTCCAGAGTGGTCTGTCGAACAAGGCAAGACCGCCTCCCGCAGATCATTTTGCGACCCCGGCGGCGCGGCCAACCATGACAGCCCTTGAGAAAGATATGTCGAACCTTGTTGTAGGTGATACCGGAGAACAAAAGTACATTGGTAAGCCGTCAACCCGATTCCACCATGAAGATGGGTCTTCTCACGCGTGTCATGTCATGGCCAGGGCCTTCGTCTGGGTTCAGCGTGTTTTCCCCGCGTTCACTAGCTTGGGTAAGTGAGTCCTGAGAACCGAAAATGCTGGAGGCGCTTTTCAACGCGTCTTTGTTGCCATGTCGAAGTTATTATGCCTGACCAGAGTGCAGATGAGCCATAAACTAGGCAATCCACGAATGTACAATCTGTTCTCACAACTACATAAAACAGGCTCCATTTGGCCAACAGCACGCTTTCAGGGGAGGTTGGATGGACAATTGAGGCGGTCTTCATTACCATCAAAACAGGTAGCTGTATATCTTGTGGATCGTATGTGGTGACTCTTCGTCTTCCTCTTCTTTCTCCTCCCCTACAGTTCCCACACATTGACCCTGACTCGATAGGATTCTTCTCAACCTTTAACAAGATCTATCCACTCTTCCGCCGAGATACCTTTCAAGTTCTCTTTGACCGCCAATATTCGGCCGAAAGCCACCAACAAGGATCCTCTTTTGCCGCTCTAAATATCGTTCTTGCAATTGGGTGCTACATGACACCGGAATCATCCCGAGCGAATATTCAGATGGTCGACCCGTCCAGCACCGAGAGCCTGACCGATATGTCCTGGAGATTCTTTCAGAATGCGTATTCAATGTTCTTCAACATACTGTTCCTCCAGTTCGATCTTCTGTCAGTGCAAACATTGATCGCGATGGTAAGCCAAGTCCGCTCTACTCAGCGTCTACACGAGACTAATCCTTTCAAAAAGGCCTTCTTTCTGCAAGCAACATTCAATGGTGAAGGATCCTTTTTGCTGGTCGGAGCTGCCGCTCGCATCGCCACATCCCTGGGCCTCCACAGGAAGCTGGACGGCTTCGGACTTGGGCAGGCGGAACTCGAACAGCGACAGCGAGTCTTTTGGATTCTGTATGTCTTTGAAAAAGATTTCTGCATGCGGATTGGCAGGCCTTCTGCCATCGATGACTGTGATGTTGGCTTAAGCCTTCCGACGGAACCGTGCGACGAGGAGATTGCCGTTTCGATCGCGTCTCGTGGCGAGACCGTCACTTTCTATCCATTCCGACACATGTGTGCCTTCGCTGTCATACAAAGCAAGGTCTATCGCGAGCTATATGCCGTCCATTCGCGGATCGGCACAACCAGCGAGAGGCTCGAGTCGATAAGCAAACTCGACGCCGAGCTTCAGCGATGGAAAGAGCAAATACCACTGGACGCCAGACCAGAGCATCCGATTGTTTGCGAGAAGGGCAGTGAATTTGCCATTGTCATTCTCCACATCAACTACTATCACTGTTTAATAGGCATTCACCGCGTCCACGCACAGCACGAGCTCTGGGTCGCCCAGCAGGCAGAAGTCGAAGGTTTCGACAAAACAACTCCAGATTCTTCAATGCTCTCGGACCAGGAGCAGTCGGCCCCACAGCAGCAGTCGTCCTATGAATTGGTCCTGGCGGCGGCGAGGTCCATTTTGTATCTCGCAGCTAGCCATCTCGACGGCAATGAGATGGAGCACAAGCTCCTATGGCTGCCGACTTATTTTCCAATGATGGCATTTCTGACTTTATTTATGCATATTCTCCAGCGCCCGCTGAGTGAAAGGTCCGATTCCGACCTCGCAATCATGGCCAGTTGCTATGGTTGCCTGAGAAGTATAATGTCCAAGGAAGAGGCATTGCTTTGCCAGTTCGCCGAGACAATTCTCGGTGAGACTCTGAGTTCAGCGGAGCAATACGTACAAGAGGCGCGTGCTCGGGATCTAGAATTCGCCGGAAGAAGCGCATTCCAGCCGCCTGCCCCTGCACAGTTCGAAACATCAGCGACGACGCCTGCAGATGGAGTTATGGGTCGAAACCTAGGTGGATCAGAAAGTTACCCAACCGGCTTTGCGGTTACCGAGCCAGCATTCAACCCGCTGCAGAATATGGATACCTCCAATCCTGGCGGCTCGAACATGATGAACCCGATGGCTAACCCAGGGGACAACTATATGAATGCTTTCGCAGGTCAAGATGATCTCCTAGCCTCGTATATGCCGGGCTTGTACCCGGGTGACTTTTCTCTGCCATTGTTGCTAAACCCATTCGAATCCGAGCAGTGTGGGCTGATGAGCTTGGACGAGCCCTTCCCTTTCGTGGACTATGGAGGCTGGAGCAGCACTCCAGATCAATGAGCCGACCCCCCATGTGGTGGATCGCCAAAGTAATTCAATACATCTTGAGGTAAATATTCTAGCCATGGAATCATATCGCTGCTAGAAAAGTCAAAGTCGAGTGCATCTCCATCCATGTCGACGTCCTGCGAGGTGACAAACATGTTGTTGAAATCTTGATTATAGGCAGTGAAACTTTGCTGTTGTTGCTCTGGGGTTGTAGAGGAGACTGGTGGCCCTTGCGGACCCAAAGCGTTCGGTGCCTGAGGCCCAGGAACAGTGCCGTTCGACGCTTCGCGGGAATAAGGACCCTGCAGCCCGAGTAACAGGTCTGCCTCAGTTGTAGAAACTGGGTCATAGGGTAATGACGTTGTCCCGTTCCTCGCAGCTGATGCCGATTGTTCCTGTTTCGGATATGTGGGATGACCATTTAACGAAGTTTGTATGTCATAGGATGATTGCCTGCCATTCGCCGCGTTTTGTTGATGCAGAAACTGCTGATTGCGAGCGACAAGACCTGGCATGGCACTGACACTATTAGCATGGACGGGTCCCTGACCATTCTCACCACCCGTGTTCGGGTATAAAAAGCTAAAACTAGGTGCCGGAGAGTTCGCCGTGCCCGTCAACGACCACCCGATGACTTGACCAAAATCCATTGTTGGGGACAGCGCGATATGTTTTCGTAGAGCAGTACGGTAGGCTCCTAGCGAGGAGCTAAGAGAATTGGTTCTCCGCCACCCGGGAGTGGTAAATGCAATTTCAGTTGATGGCATATCACCATCAACATCTTCAGCAGTGAACAAAAGAGGACTCATGAGACCCTTTGCCTTTCCGTCAAGCGCCGTCAAGATATAGCGAGAACCGGCCCAGTAGGAATCGAGAGTCTTGAGGCCCTTATAACACCTTTGGTAGTTTTGGTTTGCTGCTGTCGCAAGCAAGGTGTGGCGAGCAGATGCTGCCTTTTGTTCTGAGATCGCCTTTTGAGAGTTTACTTCTTGCTGGACGTGTGACAAATGAGAGCTCGGAGGTGACCCTGTACGAGAGGGCGGTTGCGAGGTATGAGCGGCAGCTTCTGCAAGAAATGCACATGCAGCCACGTCTGATACCGTTAGTGAACCAAAAGCTTGTGGTGAAAAGAACAGGGACTTGGAAGATACGCAGGGCAACAGCAACGGTCATTAGGGAGGACATACACATTGGTTGACTGGTGAAGGGATTGCCTGCAAAACTCCTCACATCAATAAGTTCGGCAAATGCGATGATATCCGCGATAGTTTTCGCTGAAGACATTGACAATTCCCTGCTGTCGGGAAACAGCTGCTGAATCCGACCTTCAAAAGAATGCAAGAGCGTCGGCTGATGCACCAGCACAATCAAAGTATGGAACCAGAAATGGAGCAGGACAAAGTTTGTGCCATGCCCTGATTTGACATAATGCTGGAAATTCGTCGCATTGAAATGCAGTTTAGGAGAAAGACGTTGGTATATACCTATGTGGGTGAGTTCAAGGCCGTATCAGAACGGATGTGCCACTTACCCGTTAGATCTTTTTCCATGCTGGCCAGCCGCTTCAACACTGCTGGAGTTACCTGACTCACGTCTTTTATGCTGTTTAGTACATCTGCTACCCGTCCGTACATGTGTACGATCTTTATCATGGGTGGGAACGGGTCGGGATAACCATCGATCATTGTTCCATCTGGACGATAGGGAAACGATATCTCAATGTCTTTGTCTCGCCATGACACTGGTCTACCCACTCCGGACGAGATGGCTCGATCGAGGAAGAAAATTGCCCAAAAGGTGTCAATACGCTCTTGCTCGTTGGCCTTTCTCTCTTGCATTTGTACAGGATCGTGCTGCGCGAAATCACGCAAGAGCTCCTGCTGTTGTTCGAACCTTCTTTGCTCCTCGGCTTTGCCTTCTTGACCGTGTTTTGCGGTGCTTGGTGTAGGCCCTATGCGACCCTCGAGTTGCAAGCCGTCCAGCTTCTGAATACCAAGGTCCTGCGCCATTCGTATGGCAGTACCCAAGTACATCCACAGGCCGCTGTCGTGATCGAGTCCGAACTCTTCGTAGGCCAGCAACAAACAGGCTTGAGTGACTGCCATAGTGGGACATGAGAATGTGTCAATGACTGCAGCTATGGCCCGTTGACCGAAAGGAAGACCACGGAATGGTCTTCTGACTTTGTTTTCGCCGTCCCGGGGAATGGATGGGTCATTTGAATGGCATAGTACGGTGTCTGATGAGAACCGAGCTGCAACGGCACAAACAGCGTCCACGAGAATCGCATCTACCTTCTTGTCTTCCAAATCCTTTAGAAACCTTTCACGCTGTAAAAAGGGGAAGTTGCAGCCAAGATAAGTGAAGAAAGTCTCGCACAGGTGAGTGATCAAGGGTGCATTCGGCTCGGGATCGGTGGCATCATAGAACGGAATGTCAACAGGTGCACTCTCTCCAATAAGTACAGGCGTTGAGTCGAGTCGTTGTCCAGCCGAGGGGGAGTCCACTGAATTTGTCTGGGTCCCTTGCCTGTGATCTTTGACTTGGACCACCATCTGCTTGAAGCCAGGGACGATCGCAGTAGGGCCGAAATAACGAAAGTAAGGCACTCGATTCCTTGAGGATGAGATACTGTTTCCTGTTTGACTGCTACCAGGACTCTTTATCTCACCGCCGTCAGCCTGGACTCGCGCCATAACCGCAGAGCTCTGAGGAGGATGGGCATCTGGGGCACCCATGCTGCTTCTTGGATATACCGTCGTTTCCACATCTTCTGACAGTTTCTGGATGGCAGTATTGCTGGTGAGAGTCTCCTCCTCACCATCATGGTCGGTCTTATCACCGTCTCCTTGTCCTCCACGATCTATGTAACCTGAGCATGCGTGACCGTTTTCGGTACATGTCTTACACAGCGGTCGCTCCCCCGAACACCGCGTTTTCCTTCTGCGACATGTCAAGCACGCGGCGTTGATGCGTCTTCTCTTCGCGTGTGGTTGCCCGTCGGTGGACACGAAGCGGATCTGACGAGGTGGAGGGAGGAGGCTTGCCGAGCTTGTTTGTCGTGTTGGGAGCTCTGAAGTCGGGGTGTTGCTGAGGCTCATGCTTCGCGAAAGAGGGTCACGTTGCGAGCTTTGTGCGGCAACATGGCTCTCAGAGCGTCCAGTCCCGAATGTTGCTGGCTCAATCGCAAAATAAGTAGGTAGTTGGAGGGATTGCTGTCAGAGTCGCATCGAGGAATCCTTCACACTTGGTTGACGCAAGATGAAGGAGACTGGTTGATTGATGCCGAACTATTGTACTCGTATAGGGAGCGCCTAAGCAACCGAGTTGAAATGAACGACTGTCACCGGCGTCACGATTATCTCCTGACCGTCGAATTGTACAATTGAAATCAGAGGCGATTTTTGTGCGAAGTTGCGCGGGGTCGCAGGCGAGCCCTCTATAGAGCACAAGGACGGAGTACTACCTTAAGCGTCTTAGGTGCGGAGTGCCCATAACGGGCTAGCGGGCTGCCCAGATTTCGGGGCTTGAGGCCTCGAGCCATGGGGATTCATTAGTTAGACCGCCTAACTTAGTGTGCCCCAGTGGAGGGTTTAACTGACGGAGGCTGTCTATTGGCCTTGCCTGTTAACTACAGGTCGCCACCTTATCACGGAGTATTGCACGTTGACGAGGAGTGGACATTGCTGGAGTCTAGATCACGATTCCATGCAGTTGCTTCTTCGATCTACCATGGAGCTCCTCGCTCCCTCGCTCTACGACTCAAATTTTACACATGAGGACAAATCGCAGCAGCGTGACCCCATATTTTCCACCTACGATATGAACTCCCCTCTGGTCGCCAGATCATACCAGCGGGCTCTGTCTGGTGCTTCCTTATGCTTCATTTGCATACTGGTCATCCAGTCCCTGACAGTGCTCCGATGTCACGCTTGAAATCTTATCGTAGGGGGACTCGAGCGTCCAGATAACGTCGTACCTTTGACGGTTCTGAGCCACGGAGAAAAGACTGCGGATACCATGATACTGACCGATCATCAGGATAGGCTGGCGCATCTACCACGCCGATTGCGCTTGCAATGTCCGTGAGATGATGATGCTCCCAGCATATCAAGACGTTTCCTGTTCCTGTATACCCCAATGCTGCTTGGGCTACCTTGTCCGCATCGTCGCGGTGAATTTCGTGGTTGAAGTCGACATGCGGTTTGAGTGACTCGGCGAGCGGGCTCACAGTAAGGTACGGTCTATTTTGACTGCCATCTAACAGCCGTCAATTTGGATTGCCCGGAGTACCATTTGTGATCTTACCTTTCTTAGGGTGTTGTGCGATGATGTAGCCAATGTTGTATTTACTCTCTCGGGAAAATACATTGACAAGTGCCTGAGCACGACTGAGACCGAGAGCAGACAGACCATCCTCGTCGTCGCCATTGGGGGATTTAGGTGGCTTCTCACCATGGCGGATGAGATATATTGTCGGGGCTTGAGACTGCGGCTTGGACGACTGAAAGTTAGACTGGACCTTGGTTGATGGCTCAAGAGGACTGCTTTACCATTCTGTGGGTGTCAATTCGTGATTGAAGTAAGATCGCCAGGCGGACGGAGAAGTGTCTAGCCATGCCAGCTTACTCCTGCGCATGGTCATCTCCTTATGAACATGATCTCCTGCTCAGCTCTGCTGGCGATCGTGTAAGGTGCAAAACATGGCGGAGACTAGCCGAGCTGAATTGCATCCTTTGCAACCTTTTGATTCGAAGGGAATATCAGTCAGCCGCATATGCGCCTCTCAGCTCCAGAAGCACTGTCGACGGCAATATTGAGCTGATAATGTAGTTGTAATTGCCATTGGCCCATCTTTCGAGCTAATTGAGCCTTCAACTTACCTCACCAACGAGGACAGACAGCGTGACCTAGGTTGCTTACTGAGCTTTCAAGTCACTCTGGCCACAAAGAGTGACGATGGCCTTCGCCAGCTGACATACGCGCCTTGAAAGACCGTATGGGCTGATTCTCGCGAGGAGCATTCATGGACGAACACAACCAAGGGAAGTCTTGGAGAGAAAAGTGCAAAGAGGAGTCCTTAACAGTTTTCGGGAAGTTCGTAAGTCCTGGGATGTGATGCAAATGGGGTTGAGTGGTTCTGGCGATGGGCACGCACTGTATGTAAATGTTCTTTACTGGCGCCATTCTCGCCGGAAACATTATTCAATGTCCCCCGCGTCGGCAATCGCTGTTAGCACATTCAGTTGCCGACCCCGTACAGTACCACGCAGAATCGGCTTCTTTGCCGCATAGTCCCACAGTGAGGCTCTGGAGAAGCGTAGTGCAGGTCGACTGTCGACTTCCACATGACACGAAGCTGCCCAAAAATCTTCCATGTCTTGACGAAGCTTCCCACTCCAGGGTTCTCGAAGATTTGGACTTGGTCTGCCAACATGGATGCCTTAGCGAAGATGTTCTCGCTCGCCGGAAAGACAGCAGTGGTTACAGGTAGGCGCCACCAGACTAGATCTTGTAGGTATATTGCTGACGAACAGCCAGGAGGTACAAGAGGGATTGGAGCAGCTATGGCACTGGCGCTGGCCGAGGCGGGTGCAGATATCATCCTTATCCAAGTAAGTAAAGCACCATGGGAGAAGCCACGAACACCGGCCGGCGGAGAAGATGAGGTAAACTAACGCAGTTCATAGAGGGATGAAAGTAATACAAATACCTATCACGCAATCCAGGAGCTTGGAAGGAAAGCCACGATAGTCACAGCAGACCTGTCAGATCAATCGTCGGTGTCCAAGATCATACCAGACCTGGTCAATGCAGGACACGACATGCATATCCTGCTTACATGCGCCGGTATCCAGAAGAGACATCCGGCTCACCAATTTCCTTTGGAGGACTGGGATGCTGTATTGCAGGTCAATTTGACCACAGTCTTCACGCTATGTCGCGATTTCGGAGCATATCTCCTGTCCAAGCCAGAACCCCGATCGGGTTCCAGAGGGAGTATCATCAATGTGGCTTCTCTTCTCACCTTCCAAGGTGGCATAACAGTTCCAGCCTATGCGGCGTCGAAGGGTGGCGTGGGGCAACTTACGAAGGCCCTTAGCAACGAGTGGGCAGCGAAGGGCATTAATGTCAATGCTGTGGCCCCTGGATACATTTCTACGGATATGAACGAAGCCTTGATCGCCAACGAGACGAGGGCGAAACAAATCCTGGAGAGGATACCGGCTGGCAGATGGGGGAAGCCAGAAGACTTCAAAGGGGCAGTCGTCTTTCTGGCCAGTAATGCGAGCGCGTACATAAATGGGGAGGTGCTGACCATAGACGGAGGTTGGATGGGTCGATGAAAAGTCTACGCTGGGGATGAATAGGTCAAGGGTGTTCGCGACTCGCGAGAATAGTGTCGACTCTGGAGTAAAGCATGTATTTTTTGTCTTACCTATGTACATACCTCGGGTTGCGCCAAAACTCTGAAGATATGAGCAGCTGTCCAGGGAAATCAAAAGACGACAATATACGCAGAGGGTGTCATTTGAAATAGAGCTAAAGTTGTCTCCCTCTCCGAGCGCCATCACTGCTAATAAGACAGTTCCATCTCTGCTCCGTACCTGAAGGCAGAATTCTATGCTGTGGCGAGACGTAGACTGGCAGCACATCAGTCTCTATGGCCGAACAACTCTGCCCTTTGACAAAAGATGTGGCGGGCATTTCGTGAACTGCACTGATACTGCTCTCCTCCCTGCAGTAGCCATTGAGAAGAACGGCATTGACGAGATTGGAGGTAGGCCACCGACATTCTCTCTGATGCCAAAGGCTCCGGTAGAGTGCCGTGGCTGCAACAGAAGCAGCCTACGCCACGTTGCCGCCTTGTGCTTGGGCAGTCTCTTGTCAATAAGTGAATAGGATTTTATTCAGAACACGTCTCAACACCACTCACCTCCCTCCATCACTACGGCGTCCCATAAAGGCTGTCAGATCTCTTATTGAGTTATTGGCATCATATTTATTGAGATCACGATGACTGAAGCTAATAATGAACCGTCATTGTGCAATGACAAAACTGAACACAAGGATGTTGCATCTATTCGTTGGACTTATCCCAACGCTTCTTTGTCTCTGCACAGGATTACTATCCCTTTGTCCTTTTGGCATAGCGACGTTCCTTTCTTCGAGACCCCAGTCTCCCAGCATCGTTTGGACAAAGTCGTCTTTGTCTAGAACTATTCTGGTAGGGACAAAGTACTCGGATATCTACACTTTCGACCTGAAAGACAATCTTGACATACAAGGCCCTCCTCGCAGCAGTCAGCGATCAGCGATTTGAATACAACACCGATATGGAGACCAGCAGAATGATCTCGACAACTCCGGACGTGCTGGACACGACCTATGAACCCTTTCAGAACACGAGTTTGCCTTTGTCTGAGCTCATTACTCTATCCCGTAGTCGGATTGCGAGAGGTTTACATGGTGGCACTTTGAGACCGTCCAATATCACCCTTCAGCCCACGAAGAATGGAACACTCCATAACCTCACCATCGTCAGTCCCCCAAGAACGCCACCTTTCTACACTGGACTTCACGGGGTCAACCTAGTGATGGATAGTCAACTGGTTAAGATGCTGTGGCTCTCCATATGTGTTGCAGTTGCCATAATCTTTGTACTTCGACTGGCACAGCTTTTTGTGTCGTATGTCCGGAACATCTCTTGCATGACGGCAAATTCTGAGCAGCAACGATACTATGCGGTCGACCACAACGTCATCTGGCCATGGCTAAAGAAGCACATTGTCTACGCTCCTCTGTGGAGGAAGCGGCACAACCGAGAATTCCAGATGTCGAGCGCCCACAATTACGGAACCCTTCCCGGACGCATCCACTTTCTAATGTTACTCTTCTACGGAGCCTCGAACATGGCATACTGCTTGATTTTGGATTATAACCCTCCACAGAAGGGTGCCCTGATGGCTGAGCTCCGTGGACGCAGCGGCGTCCTAGCAACAGTCAATCTGATTCCCCTGGTCATCTTAGCCTCGAGGAACAATGTTGCTATTCGGGTGCTACGGGTCAGTTTCGATACTTTCAATCTCTTCCATCGCTGGATTGGGAGAATTGTTGTTGTGGAGGCCAGTGTACACTTCTTCGCATGGATGGCGGCCTACACCCAAGCCGAGGGCCCTCGGGCATCACCAAAAGCATTCGACCATAATCCCTTTCTTCTCTATGGACTCCTCGGCCTGCTCGCGATGTTGGTCATGGCGTTTCATTCATTCTCGGTGCTCCGACATGCCTTCTACGAAACCTTCTTGCACATACACCAGGCTTGTGCTTTGCTGGCTCTGCTCGGAGTTTACGTCCACCTAAATGTAGCCAAGCTACCCGCGTACCCTTCGGTCCTGGCTGCTGTGTTGTTGTTGGTGTCCGAGCACGTATGGCGTCTGGGCCGACTGCTGTATCTCAATTTCTCTCGCAAGGGAGGTGTCACCACAGCACTTGTGGAGGCTTTACCGGGTGAAGCATGCCGAGTAACGTTTCAGCTGCCGCGCCATGTTACCATCCGACCGGGAAGCCATGTCTATGCATATCTTCCATCGATATCGTTGTGGATGTCTCACCCTTTTTCGGTGGCATGGACGAACGTCGAGTCAGAACCTGAGATTATGAATTACCGGCTCAGCCTGCCAAAGACGCCCAACTCGCTTGAGAGGCAGTCGTTGTCGTGCCCAGGCCCCCACTCACTTGCACCAACGAGTGTTTCTCTTGTCATGGCAGCACGCAGTGGTATGACCAGAAAGCTCTACCAGGCAGCTCGAGCAGAGTCAAACAACACGTTGCAGCTTAAGGGGTTCCTGGAAGGGCCTTATGCTGGGCATGATTCGCTCGAGAGCTACGGCACCGTCATCATGTTTGCTGGCGGCGCTGGCATCACACACCATCTCATCCAGATCCGGCACTTACTGGCAGGCGCGCGTTTTCAAACCGTAGCAACACGGAAGATTGTTCTGATTTGGTCTATTCGAGATACTGACCAGATGGAATGGGTGAAGCCATGGATGAATTCAATTCTCAAAATGGAAGGTCGTCGAGAAGTGCTCAGAATTGTTGTGCACGTCAGCAAACCAACGCAACCCATCAACCCAAAGAAGAGCAAGCCGACGATGCAGGTGGTGAGAGGACGAGTTGATCCGGCGTCTGTTCTGGACGAAGTGATTCCTACTCGGGTTGGCACTACGATGGTCAGTGTCTGCGGCCCAGGAGCTTTGGCAGACGAGGTGAGAGCAGCAGTCCGGAATAGGATACACCTGGCTGCGATAGACATGAATGAGGAGAGTTTTACTTGGTAGACCGAAGAACCAGCCAGATAGACAGACTTGAATTTATGATATTTTGGACAAGCAGATACATACTGTACGTACATGATCTCGGGGGTTCTACCCTAGCGGCTACTAGCATCTGTTCGAGCTGGCCTTGCGAGCCAGGTATCGAGTCTCGCCAGCAAGACGACAAAGAACAAGATGTAAGGCGGTCGACGTAGCACACAGCCTCTGTCGTTGGCTAGAATTGGCACGAGTTGGTGCATCGGTCTGGGCGGATGACGACCACGCCAAAGGCCCGCTAAGGACGCACAGCTGGAGCATGCGCTTCCATCAGATCTCGGAGTCAGTGCTGACGAAGAGCTCTCGATGGCCAAGGCGAAGAATGCGCGGCTGACCACAGTTGGCTTCATCGCTACCTAATGCATTGACGCGGCTTTTTCGCCTTCTCAGGTCGAAGAGACACCTTAAAGGGTGCGTTGTCCGCAGGTTTGTTCGATTCTGCAAACTAGTCGCGAGTCTGCATTCTTTGTTTCATCTCATCGTCCCTGCGTTTGCCATCTCTGCGCCAAAGTGGCCGCTGTCACTGCTAAGCGACCCTGAGAGCCCGGGATCTGAAACCCTGGATTATTGCGCCCGCGCCCGCGGGTGATCTTCATCTCCAGCTCCATTTCCAGCGTCGTCATATTGACTCCCTGAGTTCTTATCCACAGTCAGTGCAGCGCCAGATCGAGTTACGCGCCTTACCTCGCTGTTTACTTAGTCCCAAAGGTGGTTTAAGTCTGTCTTCTTCATAGCCGCCTGTTCCCTTCTGTCTTGCATAACTTGCAGAACCCCCTCCAATCTGTGAGGAAAGTAGGCTGTCAAGATGAAGAAATTGCTGGGAAACATCAAGAAGAAAAATGACAGTACGTGGTTGCTGAGATCACTGGTGCTCTGAATACAATCTGACTTCGAAGGCGTAGGTCCGGAACGAAATGGCAGCTCACCGGTGGTGCTTCCACAAGGCGACTCACCAGAAGCAGTGGTTGTACGGGAGATGGTAACTTTCACCAGGGCGGCTCTACTATATGATCACGCTGACATTCCCAGACCGCCTTCTGCGAATCTGGCGCGCCCAACTCTTCAAGCGCAGGCGACGAATACCTCCACCTGCCGGCTATTGTCGATGCCGCAGAGTCAAGTCCTACAGCCGCCAAAGAGGCCGCCGCTACCCTCCGACGATTCCTGTCCAAAGAGAACTACCCCAGGGGCTACGCACAGTACAATGCGGTTATGCTGGCCCGAATTCTAACCGACAACCCAGGTCCTGTCTTCACGCAGAATTTCGACGCCAAATTCGTTCATACGGTGAAAGAGCTACTCCGCGATGGCAGAGACAAGAGCGTACAGCAGATTCTACGGGAGACCCTTGACTACTTCGAGTTCGAGAAGGCGCCTGGGAATGACACCCTCGGTCCATTGATGGAAATGTGGCGGAAAGAGAAGGGAAAGCGGAATACCATTCGTCCTTCGGTAGGTTGGGCTTCTATGGAAGCTGTTGGCCCTGATCATCTCGCTGATGGCCAACAGAATTACCGTGTGCCTCCTCCTCCACTCGCCGGACAGTACCAATACCAGCATCACGGCAATGGCCACAGACGTGAAGACTTCCTGCCGCCCCCTGAAGAGCTGGCGGCGCGTATTGAGGAGGCGAAGACGACTGCCCGTCTACTGGTTCAGACCGTCCAATCCACACCGCAGTCTGAGCTGCTCGCAAACGAGCTTGTCACGGAATTTGCAGACAGAGCGAAGAATGCGCAGAGGAGCATTCAGAAGATCATGAATTGCCAGAACCCGGCGCCTGACCCAGATACAATGCTCACGCTGATAGAGACAAACGACCAGCTCAACATAGCCATGTCCAAACACCAGAGAGCCATACTTCAAGCACGAAGGTCCAGTGGCCTGGCAACGCCTAGTCCTCATGCTGAGACTCCGCAGAGTTCTGCAGCAATGCCACAGCACAACCTAGGCCAAAACGTCTACAGCAGCGGTTCCCTACATGACAACAGACCATATCCAACATCCCCGCCGCGCCGTCAGGATACTGTACCAAGTCCAGTCAGTCCTCCTCGGCAAGAAACACCGGAGCATTTTGAGCCACCCCCAGGACCTCCTTCTGGGTTCCGTGGCCCAGTCAGAGCTCCGCCTCCGTCGACTGAGTATGATTATGCCGACGCCTACTCTGCTCCTGAACAAGCACCGCCAATTCCGCAACGAGTGCGACCACAGTCACAGTCCTATGCGTACGGTGTACCCGAGAATCCATTCACAGACGACGCATATGGCCAGACGGGAGTTCAACAGCAGCCCAGTCGCAACTTGATCGATCTTGGCGAAGACACGCCGTCGACTCAACCACAGGGAAACCAGTTCTCGAACGAGTCCTCAGTTGCACAATCAAGACCAGGCCCGTACGGAACAGATTACCAGCCGACACAGAGTTACATGGCTAGGCAGGACTCTTCAGCTGCGCATCTGACCATGCATGGTGGCACTCCTCCTTCTAGTGCTGGCAACCAGACTCAGACCAATGGAGCCTACGGAAGTAGCCCTGTTAGCCCAGTAGATGAGCGAGAGACGGTTGGACGACGAATGAATGATATGCGGATTTGATTAGCAGATGCAAGCCTTGGATATTCTGTCATTAGATACCCTCATGTATTCGATGCGAGCCCTTGTGAGGCTGAAATGGTAATCTACGATATCCTAGGTACTTGTGCATACGCTTCGGTGTCGAGAACCGGTATGGTTTCCGCCGTTTCATCCCTTCGCAGGGTCCCTGGCCAGCATCATCATTAGAATATATTTAGCGGGTCAACCAGCCTAATCCTAGAAAACAACGCAGCACGCTCTACAGTCGCCCATCGTCTTGGTGACACTTTTTCTCCCTCTTGAATGACTTTTGCATGTTGACATCTCCCCAAAAGGTTCACAAGCTAGAACCACATACGGTTCTCATGTTGTAGACCGACTCGGCTCCCTCACTGGACCAAGACATGAACTCGAGTTTCGAACATGACTACCCTCACACCCCGCACGCCGTATTCGAAGGAAGAGCTCGACAAGCTCTACCCGAAGGGCCTTGAACTGCGACTTGTCCAGGTTCTCCTTCGCCATGGTGAACGCGCGCCTGTGTCTGCACGTTTCGGCAATGTAAGTGCAACATCCCAATCTACCTGCGGTAGGCATATAACCCTCGGCTCACGAGAGATCCCAGGCAGGCCTACCCGCCTACTGGCCGTATTGCAATGCCGCCCAACGCTTGCGGTCGGTCACCATGACCACCGACGTGTCTCAATGGGACAGTCTACAGTGGCGGAGGAGACTCGAAACATTTGGTAACGATGACGGCCCACTGGTCGCTGCTGGACCAGCTGGCGAGGTTGACGGCATTTGGTACGTTCTGCTTCATGGGTTCCTTATGGTCATGCAGGTACAAGGCGACGGTGACTGACTGCACGCTGTGGTTCAGCCAATTTGGTGAGCTCACCGACAAAGGGCGACAGACAACCTACGAACTCGGCCGCCGCTTGAGGCATCTTTACATAGATCAGCTTCAGTTTATGCCTAAGCTCATCGCCAACGCAGACCTGATCTATCTGCGCGCGACTCCACTCCCTCGGGCTCTCGAGTCTGTCCAGCAGACTTTCTGGGGCATGTATCCGCTGACCGCGCGAACTGCATCTTTCCCTCCGCCTACGATTGTTACACGTACTCCCGCCGACGAAACGCTCTTTCCAAACGATGGCAATTGCAGGCGCTTCGCGCAGCTGTCACGGGCTTTTGCCCAGCGAGCAGCAGACCGCTGGAATGAGACGGACGATATGAAATATCTCACCAAGTTGATGGGCAAATGGATGCCAGAAAGCAGTCCCGAAGTCGCAGTGGACTCACATCCTAGATTATCAGGCATAATGGACACCATTAACAGCACCCTCGCCCACGGGCGTGAGACGAGGTTGCCCAAAGAGTTCTACGATCCGAAAGCCAGGGATATCATCGACAGAATTGGCGTGGAGGAATGGTTTGCCGGCTACAACGAGAACAGGGAGTACCGCACGCTCGGAATTGGAAGCTTGATGGGGGATATCGTCGAAAGGATGACGAGCAAGATCGAAGGTGCAGGGCTCAGTATCAACGAAATTGGAGGTGAGAACGGAAGGCTAGGGAAGGGAAGAGGAGGAGAAATGGGCATTCGATTCGCAATGAGCGGCTGCCATGATACCACTTTAGCCGGAGTCCTAACCAGCTTGGGCGCGTTCAATGGCGAGAAGTGGCCGCCTTACACGAGTCATATTGCGTTCGAGCTATTTCGAGCGCGCAATGACGCAGAGAGAGATGACTCGGAGAAAGACGCAGAGTTTCTTACACCGACGACTCCGGTGAGCACTGAACCCAAAGCCAGGGAGACAAAACCGGGTCTCTTTGCTAGTCTGTTGGGCTTGAGAGGTACAGGCGCACAGCCTCCACCAGCAGACGGATCAAGCAGTCCACTCTCAACACCAAAACTTAGTCGTGGCTCGGGTATTGCAACAAGCATCCCGCCCAAGGACCTGGTTGCGAGGTCGCCCTGGAGTGAACTATCGGAGAAGCAGAAGGAACGGCTTGATGGATATTATGTGCGTGTCAGATACAACGACAAGGTGATGAGGGTGCCAGCATGCGCGAAAGAGGGCCACAACTACCAGGGTGACGACACTCTGTGTACCTTTGAGGCATTCAAACGGGTTTGCGACAGCTACACCCCCAAGAACTGGAAGGTCCAATGCGGGCAGAATTTGGATCGGCCGGTCGATGGGCTTGGAAGCCCGGCTCAAATGGCTGGACAGATCGAGAATGGATTCTGAGACGAAGACAGGTAAAACAAGGGGACAAGAATATGACTAGGTGGTTGGCTCAAAGAGCAATCTGCATGGATAGGACCAAGAAACGGCATCACTGGACCATGATTGATAGATAAAAATCACAAAGAGGAGTTCACTGGTGAAGGTAGAGCCTCCTCGCCGTATCCGCAGATCGGTTGTAGCATATACATGTCCTCTGGATGATCTCGTAGCATACAAGGTGAAGTCTTCTCTCCAGACCCCTCCTGGGCCCGAGACGAATCGCCTCTACAGGTTCGGCACACCCACTTTCTCTGGCAATAGAAGATCAGCTTGTCAATCACAGTTCCACGTATGTGACAAAACAACGTGTGATAGCACGTTCCATCGCATTGCCAATACCAGTGATCTTTCCCTGTATCTGCAAAGGCACAGAGAGCCCTCTCAGGTAATCACGGGGACACCCGCCTCAAGCGCGTCTCGCTTCCTTACTCAGACCGCGAGATCAACGCGTCTTCATTTATCATGTTGACGTTCGACGAAACGTCAATTTAAAGAGCAACAACGTTATGATATATATCAGGAACCCCTTCTAGGGGACAAATGCCGATCGCGGCTGTTCAAAACTATGGCATTCGCCATCATGGAAGAGAACATCGCCTTTGTTGGAAACTGTGAGTCTCATAAAGCCGTTCACAACAAAACATCCCAGATTTGTCCTTCCCTTCTGTCTACGCGACACCATGCTAATTTGCGACGTGGGATCAGCTCTACAGAGGCCTGTTCTCTCCCCTGATGGACGGCTTCTGGCCGCTATCTCCACGGATCAGAAGATCCATCTTGTTGATCTTGCTGCGGCCACAAATGGTCACAGGTCCATCACGGTAATCAAAATACCGCAGTCGGCACGATCATTTCTCAGAGAATGCGCCATAATACGATGGTCTCCAGAAACGATGTGGATGTCGGAGGAGGTAGCAGATACACTCTCGACCACCACATCCGAGTGTGAATTCGGTCGGACGTGGCTCTTGCTCTCAGACGGCGACCGTCTGATTGCGCTAAGCACAGAGCTGAGGTCGCCGAGAGCCATGCGTGGCATCGGAGACGAGACTTTGACAAAATCAAATATACTCTCCGACTACAAGTTCGGAAAGTACTTTGGCAAACTCAGCCTTGCCGAGTTTGTCTTCAACCACCGACACGTACTGGTATTCTTTGAGCGGGGGACCAACGCTGCCATTCTAAGCATGACGAAACCACAGCGAGAAGACATACCACATGTCAAATTCTCGGACAGCCGGAGCCTGGGTATTGGTCCTGGCGCGCGGTACTTTGCCTTACTTAGGCGAGACCGGGGACAGGACAGAGTTACCGTGTTTGAACTCGGCCAAAGCAACGACATAACGTACAAATCATTCGATTCGAATACTGCAGATGCACAGAGCATGGCGTGGTGTCCGGCAGGCAGTCCGGTGATAGCTGTTTGCGACTCGGCGGCACATGGTGCAAGAATTTCCTTTTTCACTGCGCAAGGTCATTATTTAAAGCAGCTCGACATCACGCCCACTTCATTCGGACAAAGTATCGAGCTCGTGGATGGCCTCGGGGTGACTCATTTCCAATGGATACGGACACAGGAAAAGGGCGACAGCAAAACAGTCCAGATAGTAACGACTGCACAGGCACATATGGTGATGCGATACCACAGCACAAAGAGCATTCGAGTCAGCACAATTGCGGCCTTCAAACACACGCACATCGTCGACGGGGCCCGCACGACTATCTGGCAGGAAACCCTCCCGGCACAAGGCCCTTCTTTGACGCTTTTCGTGCGACAGACGGGCACATTCGATGCATTGAAAGAGAAGCAGAATGAGACGAGAAAACCATCCACGTCCGCTTCCACATCCACGTCTACCATAGCAGATTCGAATTCGATCGACATTACATCTCTCAACTGCGATCAGAGCCTCCTAGCCACAAGAATCCGCGTATCTCCTCGCACCCTATTTCTCTGGAAATCGGAAGATATCGCACCTAATACTGGCGTAGCCGCTCACCCGCATGTTGTCCTCCTTTTCTCTCACCCCATCAAGCAAGTCCTCTGGCACCCGCGACGACCAGACATCCTCCTTGTCCTGACCACGAATAAGACTCCCATACTGTACGCCTGGACCGACGACCTTCTTAGTCCACCTACTAGCGGATTGATTCCCTTCGAGACTGTCACCACTACGGATACGAATATTCACCTAAACATGAACAGAAGCACGAACTACTCTGCTTCCTGGCTCGGAGAATGTATTAAAAACGAGGAAGGAGGAGATGGATGTCGCGTGCCCATCCTCTTAACGTCCAAGTTCGCCTATGAGGCAGGCTATCTCTCCGAACAGGGCGGCGAACTAGTATTCAAAAGTATCATTACCGACCCGCCCCTAGGGCCACTTGAGATGAGCTCGCTGAGCGTGACGGAGGAGATTGACACTCCCAGTCGTAGACCAGAGGGCTCGAAGAAGGCGAGGTTCACTGTCGAAGCGAACCCCAAGACGGATAAGGATGATCCTATCTTTGCGGAGGCCGGGTGGAGGAAGGCGCACTGGTAGGGAGAGACAAGGAAGAACAGCACGGGTTATCAATATGAGTACGTAATGAAACAACGAATGTGATGAAAACGAGGTGGCCGTCGTGAGGAGTATAAGGCAGAGAGAACATCGCGATTCAATCAACAACACTGGCGTGATCCTCCTGCGTAGTGACAATCTCCTTTCTACCTTTGTCTTTATTCAAATGAATGTATGCGCCCTGCAAGTCGCTGGTGAACGCAGCGACGCTCTAGTGTGTATTTCCTGGGCAGGATTCATTGCAGATGGTGGCTTCTTCAGCTACATCTCCTTTGCAGCCTCGTCCCGAACATGAGCGGGTGACGATCCCAAAGCCAATGACGTCGCAATCCGGGGAACTGGATTTATTTCTTGCGCCGCCTCCATCGTCCACAAGAATTCGCATTGAGAACACCACATCCGCTTTGTTGCACGCCTCCTGTACTACGTGTATCCCCCGACCTGTTGGCGTCATGAACAGTCCTTTTGCTCGTCAGATCGGCTCCCGATTGAATCTTGGAAGCAAGACTCCTCGCGGCACTTTTTGCAATGCCTACCACAGCGCGGCCACCCCGAAGCCTCTGCGTCGGAAGCAGCAATGCAATATTTCTCGAATGCAGACTAGAACCGCCAAAACATACACCAGACCACCGAATCGATTCGAGAAGATGGTGATCGACGCCCGAGTGCAACACCCTATCCTCTTTCCTTTCCTTCTGATCGGTTGCTTCGGCTCGGTGTCGATGCTTTTGGTGATGGCATACAACGAGTACAAGAAAGATAAACTCCACACAACAGACTACCCCCCCGAGGTCGAGGAGAGACTACGTCTTGCCCTACACTACACACATATCCAGCCTGATCCAGAGGCGTCGGCGAAGTATTTCCTGCAGGCCATTCAAAAAGCAGAAGAGGCCGGCATGGATCCGTTCAAGCCCGATGCGTTAGGAATTCGGATACGCTTCTCGCAGATGTGGGAAAACTTTGGACATGTCAAGTCTGCAATCGAGATTCTCGATGGCATGATTAAGGATGTGGAGCAGAAACTGGCTGAGATCGATGAAGAACGGGCCGGAAGTCCGACCAAGGCAAGCGAAGAGGAGGATGCAATGAGGAGAACTCTTTTACGGGCGACTATCCAGGCAAAGGTCAAGGTGGCATCATTATATGAAAGCGACTATATGCAAGACCGGTCAATGGCTAAACAGGTCCTCTCCGATGCCGTTGGACTTGTGGTGAAGGAGACAAAAGACCCTCAGACGAATGGCTTCACCAATGACAATAGTGCAGGCATGACGACTGGCGAGATCGCCGCAATGCTTTCACAAATGGGCGATCTCTATGCTACCACTGGCGAGGAAGCCAATGCCTTGCAAGTCTACATGCTGACTCTGCAGCCTCTACGAGCCTCGTGCAACGGTACAAGATCCTGTAAAGAAGCCCAAGTGCTCAGCAACATTGCCTCAACGATGGATCTAGCACTCAAGAAACCGGATGCAAAGATCAATGGCAGACCCGCGACAAAGAATTCCTTAGATGCTGCCAGAAAAGCAGCCATCAACTGGGCAGACCAGGCTATTGCAACAACAGAGGCTGTCGAGCCCGAAAATCGAGACGATATCTGCGAGTTGGCTTCCCTATCCGCGCGGATGACTCGAGCAGACCTGCTGTTGGAGAGTGGCGACAAGGCCAAGTCGTATGAAGCCTTTTCGAATCTACTGCCAATTTTGAAAGAGAAGAATCTCCTGCCACTCATCCAGGTAGCGGAGGAGGGCCTGAAAAGAGCCACAGCTTGAGAGATTGGCCTCAGCGTTCTTGGCCTTTTTCATGAAACCTCACCTTCCTTCGCAACCTACATACCTGTAGAAATAAAATTAAAGGGCGTGATAAACGTCATGCGGGCAACGTGTCCCTCTCAGCCGGTTTGCGATTTGAGAAGTGCTTGCAAGGCGTACCTTGTGGTCCTAGGTACTGATTGAGCTTCAGTACAAGAAAAAACCCGTAAAGTCCACACTAGTCTTCGTATAGACGGGCCGAGGAATACGAAAGCCTCTTCTGTGTGAACCCGATGGCGAAGCGAGCTGTTGATGTGATTGATTTCCGATAGGACAATTGGAGATCACGTCAAAGACATAAACACGACTCCATCGTACCAGAGCCTTGTATCCACTGCGCAGACTCATTCAGGAGTAGTATTTCCCCTTTGAGCGACCAATACGGTGTGTCATCTTTCCGCCGCGTATGTCGGATCTTCTTCTGGGCTTATCTTGTCCCTGGGCACGTTGTCTCTGGTGGTCCGGCGGACCATGTCGTTTCTTCGTCCGAGTGGTTCGCAATGCCTCCGGTGGCCGGTTCCATCTCCAGCACGGGTGGTTTCAGGGCAACTGGCGTTTCATGAGCGACTCTCTGGCAGTATTGCTGGCCAACGTTCTGAGAAAGGCACATGCAAAAAGATCTCGCGAAGTCCCCCCTTCAGTATTGATAAAGCAGGGCTGTCTCTTCACGAGATGAGGACCGATGTCAACAAGAGCTTGGGACCTGTTTATTCTCACCAGAGGCACCGAGAAACTAGAGACAAGGCTAAAATTAGAGCCTTCCAGGATCTCCAACCGCACGCCAAACAGCCTCGCTACGACTCCTGATTGGTGCTCGCGTTCCTCGTCAATGAACTGTGGGTTACTGTACCTCTGCATGGCTTTGTCGATGGGTGCGTATGCAAAAAAAACCATGGGTACCTGAATGCACAAAATCGTGAACTCCGGAACGGAGCTTAGCGGGAACATTGCCCGTTAACACCAGATATGGCAGTTCTCCTTTCAGGGGAAAAGCTTGTCTCATGGCTGATGCAAAGAACGAACGTGCTGGCAGGACGCTATGCACTTTTTGAGTAATCGTCGCGAAATTCGACAACACGTTTATGCAAGACCATACCGAGGGAACTAGGCGCCAACCAACATTCTCCCCTGGCTGCTGATATATCTGCAGGATCTTCGCGCGGGCACAGCCTCAAACAAACATGGCCAGGCTGATTGACCTGCAAGATGTTGTGTCAGATATCAGGAGGGGCGGTTCCTTTCTCGACATCGTGGGAATAGAAGGATGGTATAAGAGCATGCGCTCCCGTTGCAGAGATACATATACACCCCCTTCGAAAGCCTACGACGATCCGTATCGATACTTGACTGATACCACTCATCTTTCTTAGCCAATTTCGAGAATGCCGGACAAAAACCCCTACCACAGCTATGTGCCCTCAGTCCCGGCTGCCATAATTGCGGCGCTGGTGTTTATTGTACTGAGCATAGGCCATACCTACCTGCTGATCCGATCGAGGAAATGGTTCGCCTCTGCAATCATCATTGGTGGTCTTTGTAGGTTCAGCAACTCCGCTGCCCTCCGCCAGGTAAAACATTTCGGACGGTCTGACCTTGTTCGCAGTTGAGGTTATCGGTTTCGCCGCACGGGCGTACAATCATTCTCATCTCGACGAGTCGGGTCCATTCATTATACAAACGCTTCTCATCCTGCTTGCACCGATCCTCTTCGCTGCTTCCGTCTACATGTTCCTAGGCCGCCTGATCAATGCCGCTGGAGGACAAAAATACTCCATCATCCGCACCACCTGGCTGACGAAGATCTTTGTTGTCGGCGATGTGTTGTGCTTCTTGATCCAGGCGGGTGGTGCTGGAATTTTGGTCAATGCCGACACGAAAGAGGAAAACGACAAAGCCTCCAACATTATTCTTGCTGGCCTGGCACTCCAAGTGCTCTTCTTCGCGCTCTTCGTCCTGGCAGCCGTTCTCTTTCATGTGCGGGCCAGATCCAGGGCACTGTGGCAGCACGCCGCGTCGTCAGGTCTCTATCTCGGTCGGGTGTTGGCGTCGCTCTATGCCGTTGGCGTCCTCATCACTTTACGAAACATTTACCGCTTTGCCGAATTTAAGGAAGGCCAGGATGGGTACCTTCTCGAACATGAGTGGCCAGTATATGCGTTCGACGCGGCTCTGATGGCCATAGTCATGGCCATCACGCTTTATTGGTACGGCGTGCCGTTGAATCCCAAGGGCGGGGAAGAGGGTTATCAACTGAACGACGAGGACTCGTACAACAACCAGTACCAAACTCCATATCAGAACACGTACCCAAACGCGAATTGAGGAAGAGAAGTAAAGAGAAGAGAAGAGAAGAGGAACAAAAGACATGAACCGATTTTGCTCTGACTGCTTGCAGCTGCGGCTGGCGGGTTTCAAATGACGCCAGACAGAGATAGTGGCTCATTTCGCTGTTCAAAATCCTGAACGAAGCTCTACGAGAATGTTACAATTGCCATAGTGGGAGAACCTTTGCTCCCAGACGGCGTCTGTCCTGATCGGCTCTAATGATGTGTTTAGCGGGATATTGTTGTGTACTATATATCACCGGCGTTCAGGTTCATTATCGGTAGACAGATTGACTGGAATAATAGATGGATAGATGGGCCACGCTTGATTTCTGGAAACTCGGCGCAGCCTCGCAAGACAGGTCCTGTAGATAGGTTTGCGAATGTTCTTCAGTCCAGGGTCCAGCATTCCTATATAGCCCACCATCTTCGTAGAAACGATATATCTAGATAACCTAGTCAAGTCGCGCGCGGAGCAGCTTACGGTAATCTTCCAGTTTTACTTGCAGTGCTGCTCTCCAAAGGCGCCTAGCTGTCCAAAGTGGTGCTTCTGTATATCGGGCTGGACAAAACGGCACTTGTCCGAGAGCGAATCATTGCTTCGGGAGTCATTGTCAGAGTGTAATTAATGGCTGTTTTGCGATCTGGCGATGCATAGTCATGGCGATTGCCCTCGTTGCCTACAGCTGATTGGTGAGCCCGAGTCGATCTCCACCACCGACTGTCGTCGCTGGCTTCGCCGCATCAGGCATAGCTTGCCAAGCACCACTTGGGCATGTCTACCATGACTTCGCGGCCAGCAGTTCGCTCTCTGTAACATGTATTCCTTTTTGATGCTTGTTCGCTTTCGAACACGGCTTGACGGCGCTTTGATGAGGTAACATGACAGTGCCTGGAGCAATGGCGGTGTCCACGCTGATCAGATGTCGACAAATGCTGACCTGGACCACTACATGATCATCTGAACTGGTTGATGATGCGTCTTTGGCTTTTGTCACCTCTCTAGCATCCTATTGATAAAGGACGATTTCTCTCCACGAAGTCATAATGAAGTGCTGCTTTGTCCAATTTGGGACACAAGGGAACGCCTTACTTCCCCGAATCTGTTCTTTCACTCCACCAACCACTCCGCGTGTTTGTCTACTGCTGCTGCAATAAGAAGAGAGACATGAACGCTCTACACCCTCACACGATACATCCACGGACTGGCCATGATGGAATAACGTACTACTTCTCGGAGGATATATCATATACCAACAGCGAGCTCTTGATCAATCACGATGAGAGGACGGTTGAGGATGCTATTCATGCCCCTCTGACCATCACGATGGAAGGAACTCGATTGTATCTTCGAGGATCGTCTTTTTATGCCAGTATTGTTTCCGGTCTGCTGTGGGATTGTTCGGGTATGGTATGCTCTTATTCTTCGACCTTGCACGTCTCTCCTTCAACAAATTGAACAAGTCCTGACTCAATAGGTTGCGATATGGCAGCCTTCTTCTACCGATCTCTACGTGGTAATACCACTGAGCTCCCGCACCAGCTTTCCTGCAGAGTGTTGACCGGACGCATGGCTATCAGCGCATCACTCGAGTCACCCACGCTCATGACAAAGCTTCCTTATCAAACAATGGGCCTTTTGTCCAGCAACCACAACGCCGATTGTCAGTCAAGAGAAACAAACACTTCACACAGCATACTGTAAATGACAAGGCGACATTGTATTGCCTTGTCACTATACCTCCTCACCGATGAGGCAGCGATAGAAAGGCCGTCGCTTGGCGCTTCTATGGTCGAGGATTTATTTGTCGCCGAAGAGACTTGTTTGCTGGGGTTTCCTGTACAAATTGCTTGACAACAAACATCAAACTTGTCTTCAGTCGGCGCAGGAGTTCTCTCAACGTAAATATGTCTCACTCTAGCAACGAAATTGAAGCGGCAGATGGACTGTTGTTGCTATCACAGGGGCAACAGGACCACTACTACGACGACGAAGAAACAGACGAGGAGACGGAGATGCGAGACGCCGCCAGAATCCTCGTCAGCATGAAAGACGCCGCCGGTCCAAATCCAATGCCGAATGTCGGTCCCACTCCCGCACCAGCGACCGCAGCCACAACGCCATCCACATGGTTCCATGACCTCCTAGCTCGACGTCCATTGAGTAAATTTGTGAGACTCGGACTGACCACGGCTTCCCTTGATGAGCGGGCCGAACTGCAGATCCAAGCTGTTCTTGAGGTCATGACGACTCGCAGCTGCGTGCAAGAGGCGATGTGGTATCTGGACGCCAACAGCTGGGACGAAGAGGCGGCGATTGAGCAGTACCAGGAAGACGAACAGAAGAGATCCACGACTCCGGGGCAAACATACCGCCAGTTGAACCAGCAGGCGAACACGGTGACGGCGGCGAACTTTAAACCGGACATGCTCACCTTCACCATCAGCGGAGTGTCAGAGTCAGGGCGACGGCGCATTGTGCGGTTCCCCGGCTGGGAGGCGTTCGACGTGAACGATGCAAATCAGCTGCGGGCGTTGAACCAGTGGAGGAACGACGCGTCGCGGATCTACGACGGACCTCCCGCGGTCCCGGACCATCTCCAGCGAACCCGGCACAGCGAGCACGAATTCCGCCTCATCCGCAACCAGTTCGCAGACCGGATCGACGATTTCAAGATGGACGCCCAGCCGCAGCACGGCAAGATGATCGCCTTCTACAACCAGGTTTTCCAGGGCCGGTACCTCCCCGGGGAGACCAACCCGTGCCTGGAGCGGAAGGGGAACTTTGTCGCGTCGTACATGCATCGCAAGTTCAAATCCAAGAACCCAAACGGGGCCGGGAAGGCTCTGGGCAACTACGAGACCGCGCTCGTGATCCAGGGCCTGCGACGACAGGAACAGAGAGACTACGATGCCCGACGAAGAACCGGCGACGAGACCGAGAGTGAGCCGTCGTCTGTGGATGAGATGGACGTTGATTGAAAAGGAACATCGAATGGTGGGGACGTGGAGAGGAAGTCGTGAATAATGACTGTCGGTCGAGCAGCCAATCCGACGCTGGGCGTTGGTGAAGGTAAGAAGACGTCTATCGGTGCCTCATCTGCAAATGACAGCGGGAGGGGGGCTGATGGACGAGGGTGAAGTCTAGAAGAATGTAAGTGCAACCTTGAGATTTGTTGATGATCTTATATCTTTTGGAAGGGGCTGATGGTCGTTTCTGTTAGTGCTATAAACAGAACATATCTGGTTTCTTTCTGACGGATTTTTTTCCCTTTTTGAACTCTTTTGCTTGAATGGTCCGTTTCTATTTCTTTTTGACTCTTCTGGTTGTATGACCTGTTGACTTAGTACTACTTTCTACTGATTGCGCATGTTCCATAAAACTACCTCGATACAATGTCATATCCTCTTCCGACATACATGATTACCAAGCATGTCTGGTCATCATGAACAAACCATCGTCGAGCCCGACCAAATCGTTCGACAGCAACGCCGCGGAAGAAGAGAGGGATGGCTTCATAGTGGGAACCCCTGGGTTCTGCAAATGGACATGTTCACATATCGGACCGACTCCCGTTACCCATTACCGTTACTCACGATGCCAGATGGTTATCTGCGACACCTCACCAGGACCTGAAGCCAGACCACCATACCCCAAGGTCCACTATACTCCAGCACGGTCAGCAGATGTCGTCGATGAGGCGTTCAATGACACCATCGGGAGATTACTAGATATCACTCTGTTGGTCCTTGTCTTGTGAGCATCAACCTCACCGGGCCGGTACGGAGGGTGAGTGCACACATGACTACATACTACTCGGGGCGTGCACCTGCGTCGGCGTCGGACGATGTCACTGCTGCTGCTGCTGCAGGAGTGGGAGAAGGGGGAGCGACCGAGCCACGCACCAGAGTCGACGAAGTCAGAGACATCATGAGATATGAACTCGATTCTCCCTGTGGGGTGGGGGGGGAAAGGGCAAAAGCTCGTCCCGGATATCACAAGATATGACCGACTACAGGATGGAGCCAGGCAAGAATGTTTCAAAATATCACTCCATCACTCCATCGCTCCGCCACACGCGACTCGACTCGACATCTGAGACATTCCACTCTTGGTCACTCGGCCGTGTAACAATACATCCTTGACGATATACAGAGCTTCCCGAAACGTGCCTATACATTCGGACACATCTGCAACTTTCTTTCATGATACATACTTACGCAACAACAGTGAAGCGAAGGGTTGGTTATGGCTGCAAGACAAATCACACTAGCCATGATTTATGGCCAGTTTGGCCGTGCCATTTCAAATCTGGTCAAGCCCTTATGCAGCATATGGTAAGATCTGCGAACAACACTCATACTGAACAATCATCTCTCCTCTGTACCACGTCATTCATTCAACCCGTGCTCCTGGCATATGGTCAGCACTTTGGACCTCTTGATCTGAGTCAGTATCACTGCCCGTGCTCAGCCATGCCACCAAAGTATTCGCTACCCTTTGGGTGTTAGGGTGCGAAGGACCGAGTACCTTCTCCATCATTTCTCTGCAGGAAGTCATCAGCTGGGTAGCTTTCTCATCATGGCCTTGGTCTTTGAGCGTGTGGGCCAGGTTATTCATACTGGTCAGCGTGTCGGGATGCTTCGGCCCTAGCACTCTTGAACATATATCTAATCCTTTGGTCTGCAGAACTTCTGCATCCTTCCATCGACCTTGATTCGAGTACGTCGCGGCCAGGTTAGCCATGCCGGTCAGCGTGTCGGGATGCTCCGGCCCTAGCACTCTTGAACATATATCTAATTCTTTGGTCTGCAGAACTTCTGCGTCCTTCCATCGACCCTGATGCAAGTATGTCATGGCCAGGTTAGCCATGCTGGTCAGCGTCGAGGGATCCTCTGCCCCAACTACTTCCTTCAGTCTCTGGAGAGCCTGCTGAAGGTACTTCTCTGCTGTACGGTGATCACCCTCCCAGTTCAATGCCTCGCCAAGGTAATTGTAGGCCCGTAATGTCTCCTTATCGGACGATCCCAACGTGCGCTCCCTCCAATGCACTACAGCGGCATGTGCGTTCACAGCTTCACTGTACTTGCCATCGGCAAAGAGACACCGACCCATCTTTTGGAGGAGCTTGTACTGCTCAGGTAGATCTTCAATCAAGCTATCTCCACAGAGTCTCTGAGCGTGCGGCAAATAAGCCGTCCAAACATCTTTGTACTGATGGTCTCCCGCAGGAAACAGCTCGGCGAGTCGTGCAACACTGGACCTCTTCCAATCACCAAGGGTACCTTCTTTCCTCAGCCAATTTCGTGCAGCAAGATGTACTAGGCGGTGCATGTCATAGAACGACTCATGGTTCATCCCGCCTTTGCTTCCTGTCTGCTTCGTCACAAAGGAATAGCTCTTCAGCGTGGCAAGAGCTTCAACAGCATCCTTCCTTGAGTCGACCTCCGGCAGTAGAGACTCTGGAATATTCTTTTCATGAAGGCAAGCCATGGAACTGAGAAACCGCGCAGCTAATGGGTGGTATGCGCGAATATGATTGAACGAGATGAGCCAGGTGGTGGCGACCGGATTGCGGGCACTAGAATATCGAGATCGATCGCCGAAATCTTCGCTGAGTAACCTGATCAGTTCTTCTTCAGGTGCATTCATGAGTTCCAGGTAAGTCTTTAAAGGTTCTTGAGTCATATTCATGTAAGAGGCAGCCTGGAAGATGGCCAGTGGGAGGTAAGTTAGTTTGTCAAGCAAGACGGAAGTGTCGTTCTCATCCGCGGCCATGTCTGGTTTCTCCAAAGCATTTCTAAACATTGTCCTCGCTTCATCCAGTGACATCGCCCGCAATTTGGTCACCTCTTTTCCTGCAAGGTGGCTAGCCACCCATCGGGATCGGGTGGTGATGATGGTGGCGCCATTAGTTGGGTTTGGTAACCATTCCGCGAGTGTGGAGTTCTCATCGGTGGGATCCGATCTCTTTCCCCATAATGCCTCATCGTCGGCGCTATCGAGGATCAAGAGCCATCTGTCCTGTGAAGAATTGTTAAGCCGTTGCATAACTAGCGTTTTGACGTCGGCGCTGGCGGCTTCAATCCCCGGAATTTTGAGCTGCTTCCCGATCTCGAGCATATCCCTTTCAAATGTAAACCGATCTGTGGCTTCGATCCAGAAAAGCGAATACTGTGGGTGATCTGAACGGATTTGGTAGACTAGCTCCAGCGCCAAACGACTTTTGCCAACGCCTCCTAAACCGAGGATGGATACGATTTGGCTGCTGCCGAATTCCTCAATCTTTCCTTGGAGATGATGCAGTTCATCTGTACGGCCAACAAATTCTGATGTTTGGCGAAAAGGGACATGCCATATCGGGCCAGTATCATTGGCACTGGATACCTTGCTCGAATCGACCTTACTCCCCGACCCCCGATCGATCTCGCCTTGCAGTCGAATGAAAGCGTTCTCTCCTTCGCCGTACATCGGAGGCATAAACACGCTAAAAATCCCCAGTAGGCAATATGCCTTGTCTTCCTTTCTTTTGGTGTTCCGTTTCGCTGCCCATCGCATCCGCTCCTCCACACTGAACGTAAGTAAAGGAACGCCGCGGAGCGCAGTGAGGGGAATCTGGGTCGCCTCGTGGATCAACCGCTCCAGCGTGTGTTTATCACCAAGCCATGCTCCTCTTCGGGCAAAGAACTCTACTGACTTCGGAGCAAGGAGTTCTTGAAGCGTCCATCCCCGTGTAAACCACCGGCTCTTCCGAAAGTCTGCTTCCCATGTTCGCTCGGTTTGAAGGTTGTCGTCAACCAGCCCCACCAAAACATCCTCGAGATATACGTAGCACTTTTCCGCGCTACGGTACCAGGCATACATCGAGATAATAGCTTCTGCGAGTTCGGTATGATTGGCTTTGTCGATACAGCATGTGTCCACCCAGAAATAATGCAGGTTGTCTTTCTGGGCTTGTTCTCCACATAACCGAATCTTTTCATACCCGGCCTTGCTCTTGCCAGATCCATCTTTCAGATCTTGAAAGGTGACTTCTTCATCATCTGCTCCCCACGTATGGGAAAGGATCGCGTAGCGTGGAATGTCGTCGATCAAGTCTTTGGTCAGGCTCAGCTCACCATGAGCGTCGAATTTCAAAAGTCGCATATCGTCTGAACCTCAGGTCTCAGGACAGGTTGAGGGGCATCTGCTGTACAGAGAGGAGCATTATCGCTCGCATTACTGACAAATGCTTGTTGCCTGTTGATAGATTTTTCTTTTCTCCTAGAGTATGTCAGGTTCACGAGGGCTGTCGCACCCAGAGCGGAGTTCGATCCGGACGTGGTCTGCAGCCCGAGTGGTTGCCTCCTGACTTGGGTTGAGAGAGGACAACCGCGAGTCTGCAGCCGGGATACAATAGGTAGCTCAAGCCGTGGCCACAGCAGCCCAGTTGGACATGGGAGTCCATGTTGAAGAGTGTTCGATCAGGCTGAAGAGCGGAATGGAGTAAATTAGCAGGTGTGTCACTGGAGGGCAACCTCCAAATTATCATGTGACTAAATTGTTGTGATAGAGTTGATCGGCCCGTGGGGGCCACCAAAGTTGACTCCGTACTCCGTATGGGGGGGTGTCTCAATTGCGGTCTGCCAGAATACGGAAGTCTTACATGAAGTTATTGTCGTACAAATGAAAATACTCTTCGGTTTCGTCTTGAGGAATACCATGATCATGTTTCTATTCCAAGATTCCTACTCGTATGCTTCTAAAATTACCATGAAAATTATCAATACCAAGTATATACAAAACTCAATTACTACACTATTTGTCTCCCGCCTTTTCGCATTCAAATGCCATCGCTATGCAACCAAGAGGTATGCAATCAGTACTGTGCCACCGCTATGCTATGCTGTGAGATGATATGCCAATGCCAATGCCATGCTATGCCAAAAAAAACCAATAAGGAAACTCGTCAAGGATAGTCGGTGGGTCGGGAAGTAATTAAGTGAATCAGTAAACAGGGGTTGGAGAGCTTTTGTTCAAAGGAGGAATTTTCGAGGTCGCACACTAGCGTCCTTTTACCACACTGTCGTAGCGCTGGTGGTCGAGACTGGAGCAGATGTGGTAGTGACTGCGGATGTGGTTGTCACTGCTGGCGTGGTAGTTGTGGCTGCCGACGTAGTGCTCGTGGTCACTGGTGCACTTGTCGAAGTTGTGGAAGTTGTAGGGGCGCTGGATGTGGTGGTAGAGGCGGATGTGGTGGATGCAGAGGTGGTCGTCGAAGCAGAGGTGGATGATGCGGATGTGGTTGTTGAAGCAGAGGTGCTGGATGCGGATGTGGTGGTGCAAGAAGTGGATGTGGTTGACGCAGACGTGGTGGTCGAGACAGAAGAAGAAGACGTGGTCAAAGTGCTAGAAGCAGATGTCGTGGTTGTAGACTTGTGATGCTTCTTCGTGGTGGTGCTTGTGCTGGTGGATGTCGGGGCCGCAGTGGTCGTTGGCTTCTGGGTAGACGTGACGACAGTGGTGAGCGTGGTCGTGGTTGGTGCAGGAGGGTTTGGAATGGCGATTGTGCAGGTGATACCCCAGACATCAATGTAAGTGATGGTCTGGCAGTGGTTGCATTGTGCTGGTGGGTAGTAAGTTCCAGAACCGCCATTGCTAGGAGGCTGGGTCACGGTCACAGTCACGGTCTTGGTCACTGCAGGAGGGCAGACAGGAGCTGTCGTGATTTGGGCGGGAGGAGTTGAAGTTGGCTTTGGGTGCCATGGAGTTGTGATAGGGTAGCATGTGGTGGTGGTGTAGGTCTCGGCAGTGACCCAGGTCGTGTAAATTGTGGTTGCGCCTTGAGTCGCCACCGGGGTAGAGCATGGAACAAATTTGGTCTTTGTAATCCATTCCGTGGTGGTGATGGTGGTCCAAATCGTCGCAGGGGTGGTTGTGGTTGCAGGAACGCTGGTTGTGGTTGTGGCAACGCTTGTGGTCGTTGTCTTGTGCGGTTTCTTGGTCGTCGTGCTCGAAGTGGAGGCGGTTGTCGAGGTTGTCGGCTTCAACGATGTCGTGGTGCACGAAGTCGAGCTCGTCGTTGGGACTGAGCTGGTGGAGGTGCTGGAGCTATGCGACTTTGTGGAGCAGGATGTTGAGCTCGAGGTGCTGGTGCTCACGCTGCTGGTTGAAGCACTCGTCGTCGTCGTCGACACCAATGTGGTGCTGCTCGACAGAGAAGTCGTGCTCGTGGTGGTTGAGTTGCTTCCCCATCCTTGGGCATAAGGATGTGCAAGGGAACTGCCCGTGAGGGCTGCAACGAGCAAGATGATCGGAGAACGCATTTTGCTGGTGGAGAGGGTCGATGTGTCAAGGGTAAGATGTGTAGAGGTGGTAAGTGTAGTTCAGGGAGATGTGTATTGGGCTGGAGCGAATGTATAAGGAGTAACGAGTGTCCTTGTGCAATCAGCGAGTGTAGATTGTGTTGTTGGTTGTTTGTATGCTTTGATGATGATGATGATGGAAAGAATAAAACCTCTGGAGCCTGAGAGACTTGGAATTACTTATACCTGTATCGATGGTTCTCGAAATAGATTGAGACATGGCTAGACTGACTGTTGGATGATGCACAGATTGAGCGTAGTATCTGCTCGTGGTGGACATGGTATTGGCCATGCTACCGTCACTGGTGGTGTGCACAAGGCTAGACAATCGAGGGTCTCGCGACCTGAGAAGGCTGTGCCTTGCAGTTGCAGTCATGCGAGGAAAAATGGGAAAATGGCGCACAGTGCATGTAAGTGGCTGAGCTAGACCGAGTAGAGAAGGAGAGACACGCTGCTTCAACGACGGCATAGCAAGCAAGTCCTGTGATTCCGCTAAAAAACCACCCAGGCTCGCATGGCTAAAGGCGGCGGGGTTACCTCTGCCGCATCTCAGCTTCTGGCCACTCACTATTTTTAGGGCCGGCCAAAGCTAAAGCCACCTGTGGCGTCGAGGAAGACACCTGGAGAGACCCAGAAAACACCCAGAGAGAGACATCTGAAGCTACCCTGCCATACGGCTCTCCCGGCCACTTGGACCACGTTACCTTGAAGCGCGGTGGGGTTTGCCATGGTCTTTCGATGACGCTCTTGCGGCAGCTTCAACTCCCACCCTTCCAGCTTGGCCATTGTCTGTCTCGGCGTTTTACAGAAGCACAAGCCTCTAACAATAGATTCAATAGATTTCGCATCGGATCACCTGTGGATGTTTCCAAAGTACGTTTTTCATGCGAGGCCGAGATCGAGCTGGCCTGTCCACACTAGGCGGGTTCATCCAAACCTTGTCGTAGACTCTACACTGCAACAGTCCAATGCCAAATCCACATCTCAAATTCATACACTAGATTTGCCGCAAACGGGTTTCGTGGATTACCAAGATTTCCTAAGCAGGCGAAAGATGAGAACCTTTCTAAACCGTCCCATTCTATGTCCTAGGTAATCAAAGTCTAACCCATAACAGAGGAACGACAGCCTCGTGCATGAGGTACAAATCCACAGCGAATGACCAGAACTCGATAGTGTGTCTCAGTATCCGCAAAGACCTAATTTAGACATGCTCTGGATCTCATGTCATGTCACCGCCGGCCCATGCGATTGATCCAATTCATAGCAGTGACATGATTCCCCAATTACTATTCGCCTTGTGTCTCGGTATTCATATCTAGTCATCTTCATGAGAAGCCAACCGAAGTTCAAAGAGTCTCGTTCTCTACTTGAGAAAGAACGGTGCTCATTGAAAGGCTCGCCACTGAGTGGAGTGCAAACAGTCAGGTGGACGGCAGTCGCTGACTGTAGCAAGAAAACTGTCCTTGGATGCTCAGGTGCCGGCAGCCCACACTGTGGGCTGGTCTGGGGTGGTCAGTGACTGCTGGATATCATCTTCTGAGACAGAGCCGTGACAGTCACACCATGTCCCGCCCTGGCAACCTCCTCCAAAGTATGAGTCGCCATGTTCGGCTCATTCGCAAACATGTTGATGATTTAGGGTGAGAACTCCGGCTGTTCCATTAATAGCAGTTGATGTGCAGTAAAGACTTTCGTGAAAGTCCCTTCGATTCTCATGTGGGTAATCTGAACTGGAATAACGAAAGTTACTTCCATCGCAAATCACCAAGTTCTCCAGTCGTGGACGGTGGCGTGGCATTCGCAGTCACACAGCGACCGAGGGTCCTGGACGAGTCGACGCCTCTCTAAGAATAACTCAGCATGTGGTCATGAAAGTCAACATGAAGAAGATACACCAGAACTGAACTTCAGACAAAATAGAGAAGATGTTTGTTGGCTGGTTTTGTAGGCATTGCACCGAAAGCCCAGAGTTGAAGTCATGAGATCCAACCACTGAACCCGAGTGCTTCTCTGGCCCCAGCGGCCTCATCATACGTAAGGAGATGTAAAATGATAGACTGACCTTGTGTTCGCGTCAACTCCTCCTCTAAACCGAACAAGTAAAAGACTTCCGGCGCAGACGTGGTTCAACCCTGAGGTTTGGCCCTTCGTTGTCTCATCTCCTCCACCTTCCTCTTATCCTCTTCAAACTTCTTCAACATCTCCGCGTGCTCCTCTTTCCTCTTCTCGCGCATCTGGAACCGGTAAAAATCTTCCAGGCCCTTGTTCTTCTCCTTCTGTCGCTCTGCAAGTGCCTTGGCCTCGTCACTTCGAACAGCGCCTCTGGATGCTCTGGTAACAGTGATAAAACCGTCTTCATCCGGCTCTTGTCGTTTTCGAGCATTCTCCCGACTTCGTGCCTCCTCCATCTGTGCATACGCCGTCATGAAGCCATTGACCGACCGGAGCAGCTCCTTCCTTGACGGGTACTGAAGGTGCTTGTGATGGGAGTATCTTGTCATGCCTAAGCGAGGCACGCCCCTGGTCGTGCTACTGTTCCATTCCAGAGCTGCACCCGATTTTGCGGCTCGTTTCGCGCCCTTGAGAGCGAGTTGCATGCTGGCCCGGTCCACAAACACCACGATTGCCGTCGAGCCCGTTTGGTGAATTTCTGAGTCAAAGGCTTTCGGTAGAGAGTATGCATCCAAACCAGCCTCGAGTTCTTCCGCAGTCATTCTCTTCCTTTTGCGACTTGACATCGGACCAGCTGCAGATTTCCCAGGGACGGTTTCGGAGAAGTGGACCGCTTCAACGCGTCCACCTTCTAGTTGGGTTGTGAATAGATGTCTAAGGGCCTGCGTCGTTGTCGATATGGGAATGTTCACTAGAAACAGAGATCTTTGGGCATCGTCGTCTGAGATTTTAGGATCGTGAGGCTTGACGTATAAGTAGTGTAGTACATTTTCCGGCAATCCCTCGACGGATGGGAGTTTCAGCGGCAGAGCCACACAGCCGCCAACCTCTCGCGGTGGTCCCATATTAAGGAGGTCTCGTTCACTGTCGTGGACCGCAGAAAGATACGAGATCGCCGGACATTTTTTTGTCGGACGAAAGAATCAAGAATCACTCCGCAGCCTCGGACGATCTAACTCCGAGCCTCTTGGCGCTTAACTCCGGCGTACAGCAAATCTTCCTGGCGTGCGACACGATTGACCTCAACCAAGCCACTTATATCTGCGACGGCAGAGACATCACCATGAGGACGCACGCTGTTCGAATAGCTCGCAACTTGAGGGGCCAGCATTCATATCTATCGCCTCGCACCCGACTTCTCTCCACGACGGTGTCCCAGTTCGCAAACGCCCTCCCCATCACCGCCACTGGTCCTCCCCCAGACCCTCCCACGCCGGCTTCAGGTCCGTACTCAGACAAGGTCACGGAACGTCGCCGCAAAGCAGCACTCTTGCAAGCAGGCAAGGATATCCGGGCCTCGCAGTCACCATCGTCGAGCAAGAAGTCGCCTCTGAAGAAGCGTTTCTGGAAAGATGTACACATCCGAGAGTCCCCCGCCGGGCTCGAAGTGCATCTCGACGGACGACCAGTCCGGACGCCGTCGAAAGCCATTCTCACCGTCCCCAAGTCTAAGCCGCACCTCGCGCACGCCATCGCCATAGAATGGGACATGCTCGAGTCCGCACAGCAGGCCCTCAAGAACCACAACATCCCCATGACGTCGACGACGGCACGGGCACAGGACATTGTCGAGTCCGAGGCCAGGGGGGACCACACGATCCGAAACGAGATCATCGCCGTCATGATGCGATACCTCGACACGGACACGCTGCTGTGCTGGGCGCCGGAGCAGCCGTTCGACGACGGGCTGGACATGGAGCGGACGACGACCCAGAACAACAAAAAGGAGACGCTGCGGGAACGGCAGATCCGGACGGCGAAGCCGATCCTCGCGTTCCTCAACACCTCCGTCTGGCCCGGGGTCGAGATCAGGCCGGTGCTCGACGAGGGGAGCATCATGCCCGTCAAGCAGTCCGAGGTCACGAGGAGCGTGATCGAGGGCTGGATGGCCGGCCTGCCGGCCTTCGAGCTCGCGGCGCTGGAGAGGGCCGTCCTCGCGACGAAGAGTCTCCTGGTCGGCACGAGGCTTTTGATCGAGTGGAGCGACGAGTTCCGGGACCTCCAGCGCGCCGCGGACGCCAGGTTCGGCATCGAAGAGGCGGCTGAAGCCGCCACGTTGGAGGTCCGCTGGCAGACGGCCATGTGGGGAGAGGTCGACGACACTCACGACGTCGACAAAGAGGACATACGACGGCAACTGGGCAGTGCGATCCTCCTCGTCATCGGGAGTCGGTAGACAGAAGAGACGACACAGCCTCTTTCTTTTTGCCCCCATGTAGAAGGTGGTCTAATACTTGAAACATCTAGCTGGGCGTGCCCGGACGCTGCACCCTGCTTGCGCATCCGTATCTTGTATCGAGTACAGACATACATGTAGTTTCTAGCTGTTCTATAACTTAGATGCAGGTATGTCTTGGAGAAACAAATTCTCCAGAGCTTTCAGTGCCTGGCCGAGACACAGTCGGTCTGTCTTTATCTCGAGCATGGGCTCGCTACGATACAGCGGAGGGAGCAAGAGGGCGAACACAAGTGACGTTCACCTCCTCAACTCAATGGCAACATCACATTGCTCTAGCCAAGCGCCAAAACGCATTCGATGATGCAGCAACCTCAAGAATCTCCCTTCGTTGGAAGGAAGCTTCTGTTTCCTTTCCAGCAGCCCCTTTGAGAGCGCCGTCTCGCTCTTCATGCTGGATCCTGCCATCGGGTACACAATACGATAGTCCTATCCTGCGAGACCGGAGACGCGTCTTGCGTTGTCCGGGGTTACTTGGGCTCCCGAGACAGCCGCGCACCGGGTCCTGAAGGCGTAGCCATCATCCGTAGAGACCCATAAGGGACATGCTTGGCTTGAACAGCAGTGCCTTCAGTACGCACATTCACGCCACTGGGCTCGCGTCCAGTATCATGGCACGGCACGGCACAAGTCACCTGCGAGGACAACTCTGCAGTGGTTGCCCGCTGCGCCAAGTGGGTGCGTCGCATTCGCTGATCCATCCATTTCCAAGCACGTTTTGCTTCCCTCAGACATTCTTGCGTCAAGGGCCCGTAACCGCGAAACCCTCGCCGGGAATCGCCCATGTCGGATACATCCTCGAAGAAAACAAGGCGCCACGGTGCGAGTCCTCTCGATATATGTACTCTTGCACAAGGAATTGTACTTTGATGGCCTGTCGAACGAACGAGGAACCCGAAAAGATGACGGCGTCGTCGCTGACATCCATGGAAAAGGAGAGAGAGATTGCTGTTCTTTTGATCCTATGCCATCGGAGCTGACCATCAAGTCCTTCGGGATGGCGCTGCCTTCTTCTTTGAGCATAAGAGCAGGCCTACGCCAGATATGTCCGTATTGAACAATACCTAGACGCCCTGCTCGAGAGCCTTTACCAGCATAGACCACAGAAAGTCTGATCGCAGTACGAAAAAAGCTGCCTTCCTGCCGGACGTTTCTTCCAAAGCCAACGGTTCCTCAGTGGACCAAGCACCTCGCCTCCATCCCCGCCGCTCTTCGGTCCAACATTGGTGATATCTGTGGGTCATTCTTCTTGAGTCCTCATGGCATTTGGTTGCAGTTGAATCCCTGTACCTCTTTCATTTGCAAATACCACTTGGGTATTCCGTTCGCAGATGGTGACGACAAAGCGATATTGTGCAAAGGCAACCGCTGTTACAAGCCTTCCCGCAAAGTTGGGGGCCATGTTCACGGAAACCCGTATCGTGGAGTTTTTTTTTGTTTTTCTGAAAGTACACCCGTTTCTGTGCTTTGCACCAATCAACAATGCTGTTGTGATGATGGGACCTCTCTGTCCGAACTTGTATCAATACCCCCTTCTGCCCCCTCTCCCTCCGCGGAACCCAGCAGAGTCTGGAAGTCGCTCCCCACGTCGCCACTCGCCGCTGGGCATGCTCCCAGGACCGCCCAAGTCACCACCTCTGGGCCCGTGGCCGTTGTAGTTGGCTCTGCTTCCCATGCCGTATCCGCCTCCCCGTACGCGACCATAGCCATTTTCTCTCGTGCCACCGCCCCTGCCGCTGACGCTGTTACGACTCACGACCGAGCCGTCGCTGAGGGGGGGAAAGACGGCACAGTCGATGAAGTCCCCGATGACAAAACGAGCATCCTCGAGGGTTTTGTCGAGTTCGTCACCGTCCAGGTTCGGCGCTCCACCGTCGCCGTTCGAGTCTTTGGCGGGTGCCGATATGACGATACTCCCTATCTCCTTACTCAGGTACCGTCCTCTCCCGTCGCTTTCCAACCTGCCTCCCGCACCTCGGCTCGCGTGAACGTCGGGGTACACCAGTCTGAAGCTCAATCTCGTTCCGATGCTTGGGTCAGGAAGAATGTGAGGCAGTGCCTGTGTCAGGAGCTGCGCCAACTCTCGTAAAGTACAACTCATCCATGTGTATATCTGCAGATGCGGGGGCAGCGCGGGGCGCGGGTTGGAGGGTGTCGGCAGTGGGAAGTCGGTCAGGTTGTGAAAGCCAGACGATTTGTAGCAGAAATTGAGGAGGAACGGGGTGGTAGTCTGGCGATCAATCGAGGCTTTTGCCGGCGGGGAGGGCGAGCGCGACATGGTGCTGCAGGGTGTGAGACTCGCGTGGTCCGGGGATGCGATTTTACGCCCTTCTTCGATCGAGGACTCAGCGGATTCTGTGATGTGTGCCGAAGTGTGTATGGTGGTCGGCAACAGGCTCAGTTGTGTCTTGAGCTGCAAACGACAGACGTGATTTCCCACCTAGTTATTGCAAGTGAGTAGAAGCTCAGATCGCAAGCCCCGGAAGTCGAAAACTTGTTTACCAGTTCACTAGTGTGTCGATCTGCAGTACGGACAGACCTCGAGTAGCTCAGCCTCGCCTGTGGGGACGTTCAGCCTCGCCCGAGACCGATGGCAGCTGGGCTCATGAGGCTCCTGTAGAAATCGGAATCATCTAGTCAGCTAGTGCTCAACGGAGCTGTTGTCACCAAAAGTCACCGTAGCCCTCGGAAAGGCCAGCCACGACTCGACATGATTGCAATCTGAGCAAGACCTGTAGGTTGCAAAATGGATGAATCCTCCGCGCAACACAATCAGTACCAACCAGGTTGCTACGAGGTGGCTGAAAACTACTTCACTACATGCCAGCGACGGTGAATCCTTTCCACCTACATCATGCTCTCCGGAGTGTTGGGCACCGACTCCTCTTGCTTGCCAGGTACCAGGTACCTCTGACATGTTCAAGGCGGAGATCTCTAAGTTTCCAAGGCAACTCCGTTCGGAAGTTCTCCAAGGGGGTTCCGAGGAGCGGAATACCTCTTTCGGTTTCCCTCGACTTTTATGAAGCTCCTTTCCAAGGTATCTTCGAGTAGGAAACGATTCTCCGTCGAGTGAGAGCTTTCTTTTTGTGTCACGGTACTTTGTCAGGTATGCGAGGTATCATTCGATGTGGGGTATAGTTAGTTTTTCTCAATAGACTTTTCTTGAAATTGGACGGCGGAGGCACGTTTTTCTTTTTTCTTGTTTCTTGCCTCCTTTTCTTTCTTTTTCCTTTTTCAAGATGAGGTGCCATGTAGTAGCCGATGGGCCGGTTCTATCGGAAACTGCCCACCTGGAGAAGTAACCATACTAGTCGTCCTGCTGCGCTTCCGATTGCCGTTGTTTTAGTTGAGCCTGACATGCAGCGGCCCGGATGCGAGGTACATGTGTGCATATAATTTTAACCTCGGTGACCCCTGTCTTATCCCGCGTACTCACGGTACTCTAAAGGTCTCGCCACGCCAGGAACAAGGCACAACATCCGAGTACTCTTCCGACCAGGATCTACAGTATACTTGTATCAGGCTAAAAGTGAAGTAAGTAGGGAGTAAGTGGGAGCTAATGAGATCAGCTGTGCCGCCGGCGGCCCCCGTAGCCGATAGTTCCCGACTATCCCGTACTTCACCCTTACCAAGGTATGTATGTACATATTACACTCCATCCCCGTTGGGGGATTGTTATTGCCACATCTCGCCACATCAGTCGGGGGTGAATTCACTCACCTACAGTACACCCATACTCGTGCCCATAGCCCAAGCCATACTCGAGCGGTTCCGCCACAGCACGTCCGGCGGTTGCTACCAACGGGACCGCTCTCCCTGGCAGAGTGAAACAACCTACCGCTTGGATACATGTTGCGTGATGACTTGCTTCTCGCGCGGGGGATCCGCAACACTCATCTCAAGCAATGGATATAAAAGAAATGACCACGGAAAGGTGATGTTGTATCGAATGGGAAGCACTTCCGCTTTTTCTTCTGTGACACGGTCAATATCGACACGCTTCCATTGACCGAACCAGTCACTGCCACTGACCAACTCACCAACTCACCCCCAGATTACTGACTGACCTGAGGCGACCAATAGCACGTGGATAAGCACATGGACACAGCACCACGACACCGACAGATACAACAACAGAACGATGTCGCTGAACCGGCGGCTTTCAACGCTGGAACGTTGGGTACCGCTTCCTTCAGCAACCGCAGTTCCCCTAGTAATGAATATGCGGTAGCGGAAGCGGTAGCGGAAGCGGTAGCGGTAGCGGTAGCGGTAGCTATACTGCACCTGAACACATAGAATGGAGTGGTCCTGTCGTTTGTCGTTGGCAATGTTATTCTGATGGCGCGTGGACCCGTTGTGATACTGCCCTCCGCTTGATACATCACTTACTCAAGGTACATACAAAATCTTCATGGCGCTCAAGGCATCCACTGCCAAAATAACTGTATACTGGATGCAATTTTATCCTTAATTTGGCATTACCAATAAGTAAATAAGTAAATAAGTACAACTCTTTGCCTCCATTGTGAAAAGGAAAATCAAGGCTCGCAAACATGCATAAACAACCTGGGTATCATGAGCTTTCGTAAAAACATTCACCATTTCCGCCCGTCGACCTTTTGGTTCCCCACTGTCATTCTGCCATGCCTCGTGATAATGTGCAAAAGGAACCTCCCACTCCTATAGGCCTCGTTCAATTCATCCTCCATAATTTAATCCTTTTGAATTCGTACTTGAGTTTCCGGTACTCCCTAAACATGTTGCGCTCTCCTCCCCACATCATATGAGGGAAAACGACAATGGCGGGGACGGCGGCGGCGACGACAATAGCCGATGCCAATGCCGTATCTTTCCACTCAACCAGAAGTCATCTCCCCCAGTCGGTCCTTTGGCAGACGCCGACTTATGCCGTTGAATCTGAATTACGTCCAAACATTGGTTCGCCTATCAGACCACATGGGCAAAAGTTCGCCAAGACACGCAACAATAGCTAGCCCCGATGGACGGGAGCGGCAAGCTGGGGCGGCACCAATGTGGCGTTGATCTCGGAGAATCTCGAGGAGAAATCAACCAGGCTCTGTTCTAGACTCGTCCATCACATGCATTGCGACTGCCAGTGTGTCGCGATCGATGATTCGTCTCGCGCGGGACCCGATATCCCCCTGATTTTCCCTCCAGAACACCCCTCACCTTGTTTAGCCGCGGAAATAAAGTTTGTGGTCGGGAAGAAAGAGGTTAATTGCCGGGTCTGAGTCGCCTGGACGACACGAGAGTGAATCCAGCGGGTTGAACAGTGCGAACTGCCTAAGGATCCGTTCTCTTCCTCATCCTGGTTGGTTTTCTCACTGCCGCAATCGATCCGCTTCGATTTTTCTCTATCCGTCCGGTGTTCATGCTTTCAGCTGGGCCCAAGCCTGAAGACCCGCCAATTGAATCGCTTCTGCCTTTGAAGATTCTCCCCGACTCGTTTCCAAGAGGTAGGGAACTTGGATGGCATTCTTCAATCAACATAGCTAGATCTGGCGCCCGAGATACCAAACACTGTAGCCTCACCAATGCTTGTCGTTGCCTTCGTCGCATCGTGTATGAAGACAGAGCCTGTGCTTCAAGGGACAGCGAAGGTCGCGGAGACGATGTAGCTGTTATTGCGTCCGACATGCTCAAATCCCATAACGTAGGATCAACTTCGGTCGACTCAAAGTCATCGGATGCCGTGGTCGCGGGAGTATCTGGCCCATCATAAAATCCTTCGTCTACGTCTGCTGCGCTCGCAGAATAGGTAGGTGAACAGGGCTCGCTGGGTGACGATGACGGTGACTGCATCTCGGAGTCATTGAGGGCGTGCGATTGTAACTGTGCAGTAAGTGCTGTAACGGAAGGATGTCGAGGCGTGGCGGTATAGAAGTACGAATTGAAGCGGATGTCTCGCTGAGAAGAAGCTCTCCGTTCCTCGCGCGGCGTAGGACATCGTGAGGTAAACGGAGAGATGTCGGATGAGGTACACTCTTCAATTTCTAGGGGTAATTGAGGTTCGATGGGCGATGATCCAAACGAAAAACTTGTATTGAACATCGTGATAACTCTTCCACGTCCCTAGATTGTTGAAGGGACAGGAGGCTGTCGGAAGAGATCAGTGACTGCAACTTGGAGGGCCAGACAGAGGCATGAGCAAGGCCGATGAGTATCCGTCGGCGACTGCGAGGAGGACAATGTCTGGACGATTCGTGGTATATTGGCGACAGAGAAATTCAAGGTCAACTGGTGTTATGAATTCTGGAGAGTCACATTGAGGAGGAAGATCATTCCCTCTTAGATGTTGGGTGGTAACGGCGTAAGTATCAGCCGCGGGCTCGTCATGGCGCAAGGAAAGAGGCGATCGGTGTCTCGCCGGGCCACGAGTGGATCGAGATGTGTGGAAGGGAGCATGGGTGCTAGGCTTAAATTGTCGTTCCATCGTGGTATCGTGCCCGCACAGGCCCTCGTAGCGAGCGAAAAAACGAGCGATATGGCGACCGGGTGGATGGTTTGGGTGGTGCACACTCCATAAGGCGCCGACGGCAATCGGGGACGCGTTGCTGAGTGCGGCAGGTTGTTGCAGCCTATGGGGGCCCAAGCTCGAGGAGGAATGGCCCGGGCTCTCGGGTGGCCTGGCGAGGGGAGGGCTCCTAGAGCCATGTGGAGAGGGCCCAAAGAATATCGTAGGTCGACAGGTGCTTCCAGAGGTGCCACGGAGGTGAAATCTGGCCCCCGGGCAAGCCACCCTCGGCACTCGACGATATTTGCACCGTCTCAATTGCGACGTTGAGGTGCCGATCCATGTTCTCGGCCCTTCTCTCGAAGATCCGATTCCATCTTTCCTTCTTTGGACTTCTCCTCACCTCAGCTTGTGAACTTTATTAGTGGTGTGACTGTCGATGTCCGCAATTTCGACGGCAACGAATGCTCGGGCAAGGCGAAATGATTGGCAATGGTGGTATCGCTCCAGATCATCATACCCTGCGCATGAGTGCGAGTGCTGCAGTGCCATCCTCGCCACTCGCTCTCAAGGCACGAAACATTATCGAGCCTCATGGCCTTCGACTCGCATGTGTTTCGAGCACGGAAATTCAGATCGACTAGAAGCTCCGTTACCACAAAGCTGGTATGTTATCGTCCACTAGGAAACATATCCACGTGGTAGAGTTCTGCCCGTAGAGTGGGCTGCAATACATTTGTTTCCCCAGCCCCTGGTTTCCCCATTTAACTTTCATTGAGAAGCACTGGCCCCGGGCAAGGCGCTCACTCATTTCCACAATGGCTTCCTGTCCCGTGTGCGAAAGATGCCCATTCACATAATCCTTCGCTGCGTGCACGGTAGGTGAGACGTTGCAGATTTCATAGTAAGTGTCGTCGAGGGGAGATTTACCAAGCAAGAAAAAGTCCGAGTACAACTCTTGCAAACCGCCCATAAACTCCTCCAACACCTCGTCCACGGTGCTGCTGTTGGTAGATGAAGGAATTGACTTTGAAGACTTTGACCGCGCATAGCTTTTCGGTGTCGACCGAGGAGTGCTACTCCGCGTCGACGATTTACTCCTCTCCTCATGTGCCAGGTTCAGCCAGACGTCTTCTCGATGTGCGATACCGCGGGATTTATGTCCTCTGTCTCCAGGTAGTACGCAACCACCCAAAAGGTCTTCTGCTGACAGTTCAGGAGTCGATGCAACCCAGCTAGGTTCTAAGTGATCCTGCAATGGAGTCTGCAGATCACTTTCCACGAGAGAACTTTCCGGGGATTTGTCTAATTCTGGCAACGAGGCAGCCCCAGAGATAAACCGGGTGACATCGACCAAGCTCGCGAGCATAAACCTGCTGCGGCCACTACTCGGAATGACCAATGGACTGAAGAGAACAAGGTGGGTGACGGGATCACCCGCTGCATCCTGGCCAGTCACAATATCCATCGAAGCGCCTTCGCATTCGCAGCTATTGAGAAAGAAGTGCTCCCCGATCTCGAAGATGTATCTCAGCTCTTGAGATGTAGCCACCACTGGAAAGCCTGGGGCAGCTGTATCAAGCACACAGAAGGACCTGAAGTGTTCGACCAGGGGCAAGTCGCTGCTCCGCCTGCTTTGAGTTTCCGAGGGAGCCTTGGACATCGAACTGACCGAGGGAGATTGCAGCCATGACACCTGCTTCTTCCGAACCTGTTGTTCTCGTGTAACAGGCCGTGAAGGCTGTCCCGATGTTTGCTGACACTGGTCGACCAGTTGCTGGCGAGAGTCCCTCAGCCTCAAGGTTGATGTGCTTGGGAATGATGATAGGGTTGATATGCTCGCTTCACGACTAATCAGAGACGCACAACTTGGGGCTGCGGCCTGTTGCGCATATCCGGAGGGGACAGTTGATTGTTGCAAATATGCGTGGCCAAGATCAAATTGGCTCAAACTCGTCGCCGGGAGCAGAGTTTGACGGGCTCGCGTTGCTTCGGACACGTTCGGAGGCGGCGACTGGAACCTGTTCGGAATAGATCGAGAAATGGTCCACTGGTCCAGACTGACTTGGCTGTTGGCGAAGTCGGAAAACGAGGCAAAGGTGGTGACTGAAGAGACGACAAAGCTTGACGGATCTGCCCTGCGCAGTATGCCTGATCCAACGGTATCGGGGGGACTAGATGACTTTCGCATTCGGCGCAGAAAGACCTCCTTGAGGGATTGTCTCAATGATCTTCGAGGTGCCTGGCGGGACTTGGCGGCCATTGTTCGAGACGGCGCTTCGCCTGGAGAACTAATTGTCGACCTTCCTTCTCATTGACACTTCTGGTTCTGGTGAGCAAAATCAAGCGTAGTACAAAATATTTATCTTCCGTAGCTCGATCGAAGTACAGGAGCGAGTAGATGCGTCTGTAGGAGAGTTTGCGAAAACGCGAGGAACCGCAATGACAGTCAAGAACATAACAGATAAACAAAGAACGCCCTCCCCAGAAACCTCAGACCGCAAGTCAGAAGAGACCTACCCCATGCGCGCAATAGAACGACGGTGTCGTGTCAAGTTTCTTTACATGGCGGGTTTTTGTCCAAGGAGGAACAAAAAGACAGTTGACCAGGAGTCTTCACTGCCTTTGGGTGTGGGAATGAAAAACATTCGAAGATCGGGTCTACTGCAGGGGCTGGGGGGGGGCCACTGTCGCCGGGGAGCTCGGATATGGGTTCCTCTGGGTCAAGTGTGGCCTTGCGGATTGTTTCAGGCTCTTTTGACAACCGCAAGACTGGGTATGGCAGCCGTCAGACAATACCTAGGGGTTCCGCGAGGAAGTGAAGCGAGACGAGGCGAGACGAATAGACCTGAGAGAGAATCGTTAAAGACCGGTCAAAATAGGTGGTGGCAAGCGCCCGGGCAAACGGTGCCTTGAGAGGGGGAAGGACAGGTAGCGACGGGATGAGAATCCACACCTGACTTTCATGGCCACAGGAGTTCGGTTCATAGCAGGGCCGCAACTTGGTAGCGAGAAAGAAGCCTTGATGCCCGAGGAGGAACATACAGGTCGACTTGGTCGCTCTCAGTATTCTCTTCGTGGGCGCTGGCTTGGGGGTTGGAAGCCCAGGAACCGGAGAATATTTGGGCCAATCACGAGCTCGGGCGGCTGGGCGCAGTTTCTGGTGTGGAAACGGCATCGATCGGGAGAATTTGGGAAGCTGCTTTTCATGCCTTTTCGCTCCCTCTTCGCAACCACCATCGTTCGACGTCTGTGATCAGAGCGCATCTTTCCTGGTGTGTAGTCACGCGAACTCCGCCATCACCTCTCCTCTCATCCTCTGCACCCCTCAGGGAGCTTCTGTAGCCATGTCTGCAGCTCCAGTATCCCGAGCCGTTCTCCGCCAGAGCCGACTTGTCTTGCGCCGAAATGCTTTCCGACAAGCTTCTACTACATCAGAGGCGGCCTCGAAAGCCCAAGAAACCGGCAAGCAAGCTGTATCAAAAGCCTCAGAAGGTCTCAGCCGAGTTCAGAGCTCTGCTAGCTCAGCCATCACCAAAGTTGGATCTTCGGCGTACAAAGCCGTGAGCAAGATTGGCGGAAGAACAGGACGAGTGATTTCTTTTGTTGAATGTAGGTTTTGTGGTTATGGGATCGACATGGATAAGCATTATTGACTCTGGACAGCATTAATACCACCAACTGTGTACTACTCTCGCGTCGGATTGGAGCTCGCAAGAATTGTTTTCAAGGGTCAAAACATGGCCCCTCCGTAAGTGCTGGAGACGAAACTGCTTTTGAGCCATGACTGATGAGACTCAGATCCTCAGCGCAGTGGCAGTCATACTTCCAGCCTTTGGCCAATGTCTTCCGCAACCCTCGAACGATCGGCTCCAGCTTGAGCTCGTTGTCCAACACCGCCAGCCCCGAATCCTTCCTCGGCAGCATCCGCAACGTGAACTCTCAACAACTAGCCACGGCTGGTATAGTCTTCGCTCAAGTATTGGGTTTCTTCACCGTGGGTGAAATGATCGGAAGATTTAAGGTTGTCGGTTATCACGGCGAGGCTCACCACGAACACTAGAAAGACCGCCCCGATATTTTGCTTTGGCTGCTCATGTAATCTTAGGAGTCGATCATGTATCGAAAAAGAAGGACAATACATATTCGCAGATTACAAAATGCATTGACTTTCGCCCATCACGCGCCTTGTTTGTACACATGTTTGGGGGGGGGACACGTTCTACGAGAACGTCCAAGGTTGGACTCTTCCGACTGCTGATTTGTTTACGGCTTCTTCTTTCGATCCCGATGTATCATTAGGAGTGTAATTGGGGTGTGGAACGAATGACACCCAATGTGAATCTGGCTCCATCTCTTGAATGTTCGTTTTGCTGGAGGACTATTCTTCTGCTGCAAAGGTCCTTTATGAGCTTGGATTCCTGGCAATCCGTCGACCAACCATGCAAAATATCCACATGAAATGGTAAGTCATAAGCGTGGTGATAGGGCTGCGCAGGACTCAATCGGCGAGCTGGATGTGTCGCGACATCTCTGATGGTTGCATAGGTATGTTATGAACTCCCAGAATACTTTGGAAGAGGGAGCCCGGGAACAACCCCGACTCGAGGGACAGTGTGGCTATTTTACTGCATTTGCGTGCTTGATACACAAAGCGCATTGAAGTAACCATTCTGAGTACTATCTCTGTTCTTAGCAGTCAACGCCACAACGTCAGATCTGGCTGTCTATCAAAGCTTTTCCAGCTTTGAGCTGGGAATATATTGTCTCTATTTTGGCCGACAATACCTCTGATCATTCCCCATGGCAACGATCGCCGACATCGGGAAATAGTATTCCTTCCGAAACGAATTGGGCGGAAGGATCGTTATCGCGAGCTCAGTACATCCATCAGAAAGCAAAATTCATGTGGGGAGATCGTCAGAGCACCAAACAACCTTGTGCTGACTTTTTTCTTTGGTTTCAGCCACTCCGCTGTTCTCATCGTCGCCGTGGCCGCATGAAGACGCTTTGCTTTCGTTCCGGATCAAACGGCATTAGGTTGGAACAGAACTGGGATACAGGTGCATCTGCAATTTAGGCGCGAAGCGAAGGGTTCACCCAGTAGCACCAAAGGACCAGGAAAAAAGTTGGGGCTATCTAGCTGTGAAAAGCCTTACGAGCCTCGCCGAGATTGTCACAGATTGTATCGTGGCTACAGAAGAGGCCAGACCATGTTCGGCGCCTTCAAGACCCAATCAAGTGGTTGGTCGTCTGTAAGCTGCCATGCAGGGATTGCCAATGGATCTCGTACAATAATGTTTCTTATCATTGACAAGATCCTGAGCACATGTCTTGAGTATTAATCTCGCACCCGCATCAACGGTGGCGCAGGCTTGTTGTTCAAAGTTAGAGCCGGGAAAGCTGTACAACCTTTCTCGCATGGGACCTGTTTGACTGGTCCGCATGGTCGCGCAGTATCAACAGGGCAAACCATTCATGATCGCATCTTGCACGGATTCCCGGTCGCACTGTGATGAACATAATCCCACGAAAACGGTCGACCGGACAAAACAAACTCGCAGCGGAGTCACATCTCGGGTTTGTAGATCTTTGCCCAAGAGAGCAATAACGACAGCTCATGGAATAAGCAAACAAAAAAGCAATAATCTGGCCTCTTGGCCGTGGAGGAAGTAGGAGGTTCGAACGTACTGCAGCGCGGTGAGAATAGTTGACGGCGTCCGTCTGGCCCTCAGAAAAATACCGTACGCAGATGGTCCAATAAGAACAGGAGCTGGGCCGGGCCTGGTGGTAGATCATGATAGCGAGCATCTTATTATTACGCAGCATCCGTCAACATGATTCGCAGATAGGTGGTTTTAAGATATGCGGGAAGGCTGGTGGCTTGTCTGGGGATTGGCTTAGCAAAGGGCATCAGGTAAGAACAAGAAGCTCGAAAGAAGGGATGTGGGTATCTCGTACTCGTGTCGGGCACATCCCCCCGTTTCCTCCTCCTGACCCCCCCCCCAATCAGCCCCGAATGGGCCTAGTCCAAGCCCAGTGCCAATCACCGTCTCGCGTTCTTGGCCTGATAAGCAACTCCGTCAACAAAAAGTCTGACCTTCACCTCTCCGAACGTGACGTGCCTGTACGCAGTACAGAGCCAGAATAATGTGTCATGTATCATTCTTTATCTCTCTTTCGATCAAGTGCGCCAGCTGTCAATCGCACAGATGATCTGCTCAGGCTCCGTCACTCCCCCCATGTCGTCTATACTGATTGGTACCTTCGGTTGCTTATCAGTGTCCAGTGTCGTGGCTTGCATTCACGCGCATCAGAAGCTGCAAGCAATCCGTGGCTTCGCCTTTCCTCGTCGTGCGCCAACCACAAAACACCTCCAAAGATCTCGTCCAGTCGAGGTTCTGGCCGTCCATCGAACAGTCGCCATGTTCGTGCATCTCCTGTTCGAACTCTGCCGTTATCGGCGTCCATCGAAAAAAAAAGCCGACATGCTGGGCCCTCGAGGTTAGGTAAGATCGTGTACGAATATCGCGTGCTGGACCACCGGAGTCAACCATCGGAACCATCCAAGGTTGTATCGCGTTCGGAGTACATTCCCAGCTCCAGTTTTCCTCGTTCTCTTTCGTGATTGCTTTTGATCTTCAAGATTCCCGATTAGCTCCACACGACTCCCCAGAGGTTGCTCTGGACGGAGTATATAGCTTGCATGACATCCCACGGAAACCCTCGTTTGCAGGGCTGTTAGCAACCTTTCTTCTCTCACTTTGACCTTCCACAGTACCACGCACTCACAGGTATTACTCTCCCAGCATGTCAGACACAGCGGGGGCCGCTGCGTACGTCCCTCTCTCACAAGGCTTCGGCTATGGCATTATCCTCGGTCTGGGATTCGCCTTCGCCTTGGGCATGATCGGGACAACATGGGCCCTCAAGCGATATCACGGAGAGGTTTGTGCTCGTTGCGCGGTCGCGAAGAGAACACTTGACTTAAGGGGTTTCATCTAGGTCCAAACTTCGGAAGCTTTCTCCACCGCCGGTAGAACGGTCAAGTCTGGTCTCGTTGCCGCTGCTGTCGTCTCCAGTTGGACTTGGGCCGCTACTTTGCTTCAGTCGTCCGGCGTTGCCTATTCTTATGGCGTCTCTGGGCCGTTCTGGTATGCGTCAGGAGCTACGGTGCAGATTCTGCTTTTTGCTACATTGGCCATCGAGTGAGTATACTCGGCCTCAAACATTTTTAGATCTCTCCACACCGTTGCTGACAGAGCCCTAGACTCAAGCGCCGCGCTCCAAATGCTCACACTTTCCTCGAAGTCATCAAGGCGAGATATGGAGTTGTCACTCACATTGTCTTCCTGATCTTTGGCTTGATGACAAACATCCTGGTTACGGCCATGCTGTTGACCGGTGGCAGCGCAGTAGCCAGCTCTCTCTGTGGTGTTCCTACAGCGGCAGCCTGTTTCCTGCTTCCAGTTGGTGTGGTACTTTACACGATGTTTGGAGGCATCAAGGCGACGTTCCTGACGGACTATGTGCACACGGTCATCATTCTCATCATCATATTCGTCTTTGCATTCTCAGCGTATGCTACAAATGAAAATGCAGGCTCTCCTGGCAAAGTCTGGGAGCTCCTCGTCGACGCGGCCAAACGACACCCAGTCCATGGCAACCACGAAGGCAGCTATTTGACCATGCAATCTCGAGAGGGAGCTATCTTTTTCGTCATCAATATCGTGGGCAACTTTGGGTGAGTCTGTTGTCCTTCAACGTCTTTGCTTTCGTTTGTCATCAGGGGCGATTTGCTAACTCCAACGGGGACAATGACAGGACCGTGTTCCTGGACAACGGCTATTATAACAAGGCAATCGCAGCTTCCCCGGTCGACGCCTTGCCAGGATATGTCATGGGAGGGTTGTCGTGGTTCGCCATCCCATGGCTCTGCGCCACGACAATGGGCCTAGCGGCACTCGCTCTGGAGAGCAACCCGGTCTTCCCAACCTTCCCGAACCGCATGACGCACGAGGAGGTCTCCGCGGGACTTGTGCTGCCGTATGCGGCGGTTGCGCTCCTCGGGAAAGGGGGCGCGAGTGCAACACTCCTCCTCATCTTCATGGCCGTCACGTCGGCTTCGTCGGCAGAACTCATTGCCGTCTCGTCGATCTGGACGTACGACATCTACCAGACGTACATCAACCCCAAGGCCAGCGGCAAATTCCTCATCCGCATGTCGCACGTGTCTTGCATCGTGTACGCGATCATCCTGGCCGGGTTCTCGACGGGCCTGTTCTACGCCGGCGTGTCAATGGGATACCTGTATCTGTTGATGGGGTGCATCATTTCCAGCGCCGTCATCCCCGCGACGCTCACGCTGATGTGGAAGGGCCAGAACTGGCAGGCGGCGGCGGGCGCGCCGGTGCTCGGCTTCGCGTGTGCGCTCGTGGCCTGGCTCGTCACGGCCAAGAAGGAGTGCGGCGTGCTCAACGTCGACTGCACGGGGAGCAACAACCCCATGCTCGCGGGGAACGTCACCGCCCTGCTCAGCCCGCTCATCTTCGTCCCGCTGTTGACCTTTGCCTTTGGCCAGCAGAACTACGACTGGCAAAGCATGAAGAACATTCGCAAGGGCGACGACACCGAGATCATCCGCCGTGCGAGCGTCAGCGTCGAAAGCGACGTCGTCCCGACCGTCGAGTCCCCCAGGACTGAGACCGCCGAGGAAGAGGCCGCCGAACAGAAGAAGCTCAAGAAGGCTGCCGTCATCGCGAGAAGTCTGACTGCCTTTATGACCATCGCTCTGTTGGTGTTGTGGCCCATGCCGATGTACGGGAGTGGATACATCTTCAGCAAGAAGTTCTTTACCGGTGAGTTTTCCTTTGATCTACTCGAGAGATGAACGATGGATGCGGATTCGGATTCGGAGACCCCATCACTTTTCGTCAAAAAGTTGTGCGTACTTGATTGGCTGACTAATCTTCGTGCCTTTCTTTCAGGTTGGGTCGTCGTTGGAATTCTCTGGCTGTTCTGCAGCACGTTTGCCGTGGGCCTGTTCCCGCTGTGGCAGGGCCGAAAGACCATGGCGCATACGGTCAAGTCGATCATTCTGGACATCTCCGGCAAGAAACACCCAGCTAGTATTCACGGTCGCGTCAACGCCCTCGGGGACGAGGAGACTAGTGGAGTCGCCACGCCCGAAGAGAAGACCGCCGTCAAGACCGAATAGGTACAACCCCTGTGTCTGAAGTCAACAAACCTGGAAGGTCTCGGAACAGGATCAGTTCCCGGTACTGCAGTGGTAGCAGGTATTTGGTGCTTTGGTACTTGATACTTGCTCCTTGCTGCTTGCTACTCGGGAGTCGATACTTGGTGTTCGATATTTGATGACTGGTGCGTCATGCGTCGTACTTGGAAACTCGTACTAGGTGCAAGAAGCGAAAGTGGACATCCTCTTTTTTGGTCTTTGTGTTCAAAAGGGATGTCGTTGGACGTGCATGTGGATGTGGACGTGGGTGGGGGTGGGGATTGAGGATGAGGATGAGACTATGTTATGTGGCACGAGTTTGTTCGTTTTTTGGTTATCATCGATACCCATTGTCGTACGTATGCGAGGCAGAATTTTGTCTACATTTTTATCTAGAGAGAGGCGGCGCTATTATGAAGTACCCAGTACCGATGTTAAATGCAACCACAGAGCATACAAGAGTACAGAGTACAGAGTACAGATGCCTAGGTACAGCAACAACACACCCCGGATACACCCTACCCTGTACCTAGTTAGATACCTGTGCCTACGAACTATTTTCACATTTGCACCGGCGACAGCTAGCTATATCTGGCTACCTACCTACAATAGTACGAGACGTGACTGTCCTTGAGCGCAAAGGACTTTAATGTTGGTAATCTTTCTCCGGTTGCCATGAAGCGAGAAGGGTCGAAGCCATATAGGTACTTAATGTCTCGCAAAGGAACCCACCAAGTTAGTTACATGGATACATCATGAACCTAGGTCCTTTGTCACCTCCAGTCTCTCACAACTTCTGTGTTTCATCAGAGGACCTTCATTGGTTCTGTTTTCGGTTGTATCTCTCCCTTTTTTTGGTGTTGTTTAGCTAATGGGGTTTTGTTTTTTTGATATTTTACATGCTTTTCCACAATGTGTTATTGTTATCACATTTCAACAGGGGTGTCCATCCATCCTCCCTCAAGTTCATATTCCATGTCCATCGTCAATGAGCTCTCCCGGCCATGACTTTGATCCCGATTTCTGCCTTACCTCTGCTTGACCGTACACACACAGACAGAGTTGTGGAGTTCTTACTTCTTGTCTCCAGATTTGTTGACGAACCCACCGAATAATCCACCAAAGCCACCTGGAGCCTTCATGTCCTCCCAACCCTGACGTCGCTGATCGTAATCGTCCTTGCTGTTACGGTGGCCCATGAGACCACTGAATGCACCTCCATTGGATGCCGAGGACTATAATCAGAGAGAGGGAGAGAGTCAGTCACGAATGATCTCAAGCGTGTATTGGCGTTTGTGACTCAACAAGGCGAAGATGACATACCCTTCTTCTCCCTGCTATTGCAGCGGCAATCCCACCGCCCGGTGATGTAGGTGGTGATGCCGATGTCTTGACGGCACCGACCCCTGACGATGTACTTCCCGTGCTCTTGTCACTGGATTGGGAATTCCGGCGTGCACCCTCGTGTATCTCTCTGGGCACCGTACCCATGAACCGTCGGTCTCCTTCCCAGGGCGGAAAGACCTTTCCAGTCGAGGCCGTCGTGGCAGTGGCAGCAGTTGTAGCGGGAGGGGAGTCGAGGACACCGGCAGTTGCAGCAGTGGCACCGTCACTACCGGTGGACGTGGACAGGTCGGCAGAACCTTTGCTGCCACTGTACCGACGGGAGCCCTGGTGGACTTCACGCCCGACGGGGAACATGAAGCGGCGGTCTTGCCAGGAGGGGGAAGACATCGTGGTAAGGAAGGGGAGAGTTGTAGACGCTGGTACTGGATACTATGGAGGTCTCGAATGGTGACGGGTTCCGTTCCTTCGGGATATCGTTGTGATGGTATCAGATCAGATAATCAATAGGAACGATAGAGAAGCTGGAGCGGGAGGAGGCTGGGGAGTACGAGTGACGAGGTACGAGGTGCAAGAGGAGCATGAAGAGGAGTAATAGGGCACGTGTGAGATGGTTGGATTCGAACTCGAATAGCCACACAAACAGTCCTGTGTACCATGCTTCCCCGCCATTGAGGACGAGGTCAGTGCTTGCCTTTCGGTGACGAGTCCCCAGTACAGGCCGAGCACGAGCAAGAGGTTGGGTTGGTAAGCGACGTGCAACTCTTCTCTTCGCCAACCAGGTAAATGTCTCGTTGCCTCATCCCTGCTAGGACACGCTGTAGGAACCTATCGCATGGCACGAGGATGGAGACCCTGGTGTTGTACTGAGCGTGGTTGGGTCTTGGACGTGCGAGTAAGTTTCCTGTGCTCGTATAACCCCCTCTCACTCCTCGCTCTCCATCTGGGGTAATTGCACCAGCCGCGTCATGGTCTAACTACAATATGTAACTAATAGTTGGTCTCGGTCTGCGAACTGTCGAGAAAACCCCGCTTGATGCTTGTCGTCCTATCTCTCCACAGCAAGACAGCTAAGTGAGAGGCCCTATAGGGCTAACTTAGCGATGCCCTGGGGCCCTGGAAATGTAAAACACCACTAACTAGGTACGAGTACATAGCGTAGGTACATCAGGTAACAGAAATAAATTAACGTTGTCATTCAAGAAACATCACCCAGTTCGCTCTTTGGCCAAAACGCAACGATGCCACCCAGCGCCTAACCATCCACATGTCATAATCTTTCACTCATACATACACACTTCGGAACCGCTCATCGGCAATCGCCAGCCCAGCTAGCACGACTACTCATCCAAGCAGGCCCCTACCATGGGTAACCATCACTCGAATCATCCATTGAACCATCCATTGAACCATCCACCATATCCTCGACTTCGTTTTCAATGTGAGCTCGCAAATCTTCCATGTTTGAATAGTAGGAAAAATTTGCACTGCAAGCTGGACTCTCCACATGTTGAAACAGCGCGCTGAGTTTGGGAAAATTCGAGTCGCACACGGAACACCGATATTTGTTGCGGCTGTACCGGTCGTTGGTATAGTCCTCACTTAGGGGGAGCTCGAAGGCCCACTCGTCAATCTGAGCTGGGGTTGTTCCGGAAGGACAAGTCCTTGATTCAAGATGGATGAGGACACCAGAAGGACTCTTGAACATCTTGTCGCAGCCATAACATTTTACATCACGGTCCAGGTGAACTTGCTCGTGCTTTGAACGTACCCGTCAGCACCATGTAGGTTGACAGAAAGCACGCCCAAGGATGAAAAAAGACCTACCATCAAAAGCTCATTCCGAGTTGCAAACTCCTGGCTGCAGTTCACACATCGATTGTGATCCTCGAAACGATGTTCCTCAAAATCGTAGGAAAAGAAACGCTTGTTGCAATCCAAGCACACGCTGTGCGCGTGTGCCATGTGGCCGAGGAGGTTTGCTCGACCCATGCCATCAAAGTCGCACATGTCACAAGTCCAATGGCGTCCTGAGGCTTGAACATGGTTCTGGTAGGCTCGTGGATGGACGAATAGCCATCGACACCTCTCGCACCACTCACCACTGTGTGCCCCTGAATACCGACAGTGTTGAAGTAACGAATGTTCCGAGTTAAACTGACGGTCGAAGCAGGGAATGCAAGTGTAGACGTCTTGAGCGGGGGCTATGACAATCTGATTCTCTCGCACCATCTTCGAAGCTGATTTGATGACCGTGTAGGAATCTGAGGATTGATTTTCGACCTGGAACTCATAGATATGAAAGAAGCTCCGTAACCTAGATGCTCTTAAGGGAGTTGATGATGAAGGAAAGTAAAGAAAAGACGGTGGAAAGGGAAGATGATTTGGAACTGCGAAGTTTGACTTTGAACAAAGCCGTGAGCTCGGAACTAACCACTCAATAGTCTTGGGCAGCTGAAGTTACTTAGAGTTGTGCCGTGGTGGGTGAAGACGCCTTATCTCTCCGCGTTCTTTTCCGAGTCATCCGTCCTACTTGGGATTCTGGCTGTCTGGTTCTCCAGCGCAGACATGGTTCAGCAGGCCAGTAATTACTACTACTAGAACCCAACACTCGCCATGCATAAGTCAAAACAGGAGTTCGTTACGAGGACACCAGATCTTGGCAATTTGGGGGAATAAGCCTCAGGGTTACATACTTGAAATATTCTGCTGCTTGCTAGAGTATAAACTGATCGTGGACCCTTGGAGGGCATATGCATATCATATGTGTTTGGCGTTACCATTCGAAACCTCCATCTCTGGCTCATCTGCTGATCTTGTGAGAGGCGCAAGGATGGCTTCCTCTTCCGCTTCCAGGATTCGCTGATCGATACATGAGCATCAGCATTGACCCAGCGTGTAAATCGAGTGTGAACAAACGAAGGAGTATGACAAAGTCGGACGACATCGCAACTCACATCAATTGCATTCGTTGCCGTCAACCAACTAGCGACCAGCATACTTCGCAATACCCAGCTTTCTCCAAACACGGCACTTCTGAAGCGATCGACGGGCCAAGTTTCAAAGCCACGATGTGGGAAGTTTGCGTCCAGATGCAATTGCAACAGGCGAGGATACCGGTCGAGGCTGCGGAGGGATTTGCGAACAGCATCACGATAGAATCCAAAAGTCCCGAGGACGAACCCTGTACACGCGGAGGCAACAAAAGGGACTGTTGCAGTGTCGAACATTAAAGCTCCGATCGTAGCCCCGGTCATGCCCATGAATACTGAGGCGATCGTCCCCGAGATTATGACGCGGAGCATGCTGTAGGTCAGGAGGAGAGTGCCGTCAGTGACAGTGCCGCAAATCCGGGGAAGCGCAGGATCGTTGTGGCCCAAAGCATGGCTTGCACAACGAGGTGAAATAAAGTCTCGACACATGTACGACTTACAATAGTCCTGGACCACTGAGAGGTTGCAAAACGTCAGCTGGGTGTCAGGGAAGGGATGAGATATTGTGTGCTCGTGTTTCCTGGCCTCGCGTGTAACAATGCAGAGAAACCAATGGAGTTGGAATACCTGACTGTCCCCCAGCCGCCTCCAACCCGTAAAATCGTCTTGAAAGCATCAGTGTAGCCACTGCCGGTGATGATCTCGTTCCCGGGACTGTTGCCGCGAAAGGAGGACATGATGCTGCAGGCAACTCGATGTTCTGAAGCTTATTTGGAAAGCAAGGCCAGGTTATATCGCGCGAGGACGCTGGAGGAAATATCGAACGTTTACATGAGCTGGCAAAAGCTCCAATAGCTACAGGTACCTAACAAACGAGACGGTACGGATACAGTACAAGGATCCGTTAAAGTGCCATGAGTAATTGGACATGAAGGGGCAATAACGGATGCCGCTCTTGGGATGAATCGATCGTCTCTACGGATACCTAGGTAGGTGGTTATTAGTAGGTGCTGGTGACAGTTACTGCTTACCACCTTTCCGGAAGCTTACAAGAGCAGTTTCGGGGTCCTCGGGCGGCGCACTGGCACCGGGATGCCCTGTTTCAAGGGGTCTTCCTGTTGAACGTACCCGCTATTGCAGAGGCCAAGCTTTACCTATACCCCCCTTACACCAGGGGGGACATCCATTGGGTGCTCGCTAAGCCTGACACCACGGTACTTGGTCTGGAGATCTCGTACTGGACGCGTGAATCCACCCCCGTTCCAGTGGTACCACCAGGGGACGACCTCTTCCGACCAAAAAAAAAATCTGGGTACTGCCAAACAGGCTGGCTCTTATAAACAGGATCGCAATGCGTCCTCTGGAAACAGAAACAGGCCAGTCAAATACAGGCGATTCCTAAGAAAGCACTCTACCTCAAGTCGCCCAGGTAGACCACAACCAGGAGATAATGCTCTCAACGCGCCTCTTGCTCGGGGCCGTACTCCTGCCCATATTCTACCTGCTCGATCAGAATCTGCACAAGGCATACATTTTCGACCCAGCCAAGCTACAGCAGATATCGCAGAATGCCATCGCGATCCACGGCAACGACACGCTGCCGATGATGCGGCAGATCACCGCGGACTTGCAAGCAGAGTACGGCAGCGCCATCGTCGACTGGACCAAGGATGATTGGTTTTTCAACAACGCCGGCGGTGCAATGGTTCGTTTTGTTCCTCATCCCCCCTTCCCAAACAAGACATTTGCTCCCCGTCCTAGCAAAGTACGGTTTGGGATAGGAATAGTCCAGCATAGCCAAGGAACTGACATGTCACCACACTCATTCATCCAGGGCACAATGGTCATTCTCCACTCCTCAATCACAGAGTACTTGATCTTCTTCGGCACCGCATTGCAGACCGAGGGCCACGCGGGCGTTCACATGGCCGACGACTACTTCACCATCCTCGTCGGCGAGGAGCATTTCGCGGGGCCCGGCGACTTGACGGCCCAGGTCTACCGGCCGGGCGACCAGAACCATTTACCCCGTGGCTCGTCGACGAGGCAGTATTCCATGCCCGGTCCATGTTTCGCGCTCGAGCTCGCCCAGGGTTGGATTCCAGCCATGTTGCCATTTGGTACGGGACCTTTTTTCTCTTTTATCATGACGCCCCCTGGCGCGCCACGCTATGCCACGAACTGAAACGAAGATGCTAACTTGAGCCCCGGTGCAGGATTCGCCGATACCTTCAGCAGTACTTTGGACTTTGGAAATCTTTGGAAGACGGTCAGGTTGACGGCTAAGCATATGGGCTCTCAAGCGCTTATGGGCAAATTCTAAACGGCGTTCATTGTCACAGTGTTTGAGTTCTTCACAATTCTAAAATGGGTACTTACTGGGCGTGGTTGCAGTGCAGCGAAACAACTCCTTCGTAATTGCAAGTGTCTAAAAGGAGTACGTACATTACTGTGGTATGGGTAGACTCTTCACAGCGAACCTTACCGTTCATGCATGTCGATACACTGCTGTTCGGACGCCAAACCACGGGCCGCTAACTCGCACTGGCATCTTGCATGGATTCATCTCAGAGTGGAGTAATGGTACCTGCCTAGGGACGTAGGGAGCATCATCGGGTACACAGCATCAAAGGTCCCTGGCATACTCGGTGCTTCTAGCAATTCCAGTCTATTTCACTTTGTTGGGTATTGCTGACTTGTGAGCGTCACCAACCATGCTAACTAAGGTCCTCTCGGTTCCCTCGTGTGCACATCTTACAACGCTATCTACCGCTCTGCTTCTTCTTGCAGCGCTCAAGCGATGCGAGGATGTGCGAGCGATGCCAGGCTCGATTGGCAGACGAGACGACGCCCACCTAGTCAATTCATGTGGCCTGCAGTACTGCCACGCGAACGACGCCATTCCAGAAGGAGTTACCTTGAAGTGCAGAGGTGCAGCTTCGGCAAGTAGGGTTGACTACTTCGCATGTGCTGTACTGCCCTGACTCGAGATGCCTCATGCTCTATGCACATCCACCTGTGTCAGTTTCGACCTATTCCAGTCCTAGTGAGCTACCTATTGCTCTGAGGATTTTCTCGTCAGATGCCATATTCAGGATAAATGACTCGAGAGGAAAGACAATGATTACTATTTTCACGCATATTGAACATCAGGGCTTCAGCCTGACGAGCTGACTACACGCAGTCCGATCGCCGGGAGTGGTCGCTGCGGCAATGTCATCGGGAACAAGTGACGATTCTGAAACGAGTTGGCCAATTGATGATCGCCCAAGAGAGAGGACGGATGCTTCAAAGCATACCAAAACTAAGCGGAACCTGAACGAATACTTGGATCCACAGGGACTTGCATCACCGCTGGCTGAGTGGCATAAGGCGGCATGGCTGTACGACTTCTATCCTTGGAGCCACATTGCCGACCCAGAGGGCCATTTTGACTGGCTTGAGAAAACGCATTCACGGGTCTTGCGCTCGTCCGAGTTCTATCGAATCCATACTAAGCAGGATGTGGCCGAATGGGCTCATCGGAGAAGACGCCTCACCAATGTATCAAGGTCAACCCTCAAGAGTATACTTTCAGAGGATTCCAGCCTGATTTCAAGTGACATGAAGCGCCGGAGACACGACGCATACTTTTCGTTCGACATGGACACGAACACGACGAGTTCAATCGAGGCTTTAGCGGGTTCCCCTCAGCTTGAGGATATATTGGAGGACCTGGGCCAGAGTTACTTGATTCTCTGTGATATCCTCAATACACTATCCGAGCTAACAGCCGCAAAGTTCTGCGAGGGGTCCTACAGTGTATTGGTGCAACATTCCAAACCCGGTATTGCCGAGCTTGTTCTAGTCCGACGTTCCGATTTGGAAGATGTTAAAGGCTCCTTGGAACGGGGCATCGATGAAATAGCTGGAAGGGAGAACAGCTTGGAGAGTATCATGTGGCGTTATATCGTGGCGCCTATCTGCGGCCTGCTAGGCAGATTGTGCTTTCCAACAAGCACTGATCTTTTCCGATCATGGAGTCCTTCACTGGCCCTCTGCAGAATGACCTGCTTGTTGTTGGATCTGACGCTCATCACATATGTGGGGTCACACGCTACTGACTTCCAGCAAGATCTGGGATATTTTGAAAACAATATTGCCATCAAGGGTAATCTTGAGCAAATCAGCGGTTTCCGCTGTATTCGTCGACGCCTGGCCTGCCTTGATGGTTTCTTGGATTCCAATATGGTGTGGGTTTTCGAACGCCTTGGCCCTGAAGCGCCCGAGGCTAATGTGGTGGATAGTCCTAACCTTACTCCCCTGTCTCTTCTTTGCGAGATGTCAACCTTTGCCGATCTTTGGGGTCCCGTATGGAGTGTCTCTTCTGGGAAGAGCAGGGGTGTCCAACGCTACGCTGTCTCGAAGGGGTTCATTGCTGCTGTCGGGGAAAAGGGGTCGTCAGTCGTCGAAAACGCAGTTCCGTGCCACTGGTATGCTATGCCCATGAGTAAAACAGAGCTTGACAATGTCGGCAAACAAGCCTTCAACGAGCACGACAAGCTCCTCATCGGAACCTTTCTGGAGACCAATCTGAATTGCACGTACAATCTGGATAAATTTCAGTCTGACTATCACACTGCCATGGCACCCATGGGGACCAGTGAAGCCTCCTGGCGACCGGACACGCGAACATTGGGCTTCGGATTCGCGCAGTACGTGACGGCAAATGTATCTGCTACAAAGAAGTTACTCCCAGGCGTCACATACAAGCAGTCAGTATGGGACATGATGCAGCTGTCACCAAGTGAAGCAAACCCCTGCTTCCTCATGAACTGGATGGGGGTCGAGGTGAGCAGCTGCACTGGCCACGCTCGCAGGGTGAGATTGATCGACCTCTTTAAAATTAAAAGGATACAGAGACATCTGGACATTCGTCGCAGAGATTGGCGCACAACTGCGTGGGGACGGAGTTTGATCTCCTGGCAGAGCGACGACATGAACGACATCTTGGATTTCTGGCATATTTTCCAAGCAGAACGGAAGCAGGTGGCAAAAGTCATCCGGGCGCTTCTGAATATGCTTCACAATACTGGACTTATGGGCGACGTCTTCTCTGCTTGTTTCTTCACCGAATACGACGAGCGCTGCATCACCATCAATCTTGAATTGAACACATGGGCTCGAACTCTGGCGGAGAGTACGACCAGCGGAGCATATGTTTTCATCAGCGAGAAGTGTCTTCATCCTCGAAGTCGTGGCGGCGTAACACCACCACCCTGCACCAACGATCAAGGTCTCACTGCCCTGGAGACGTCTATTGTGCCCATTCGCCATCGCTCAGAAGTTCCCCTCGAGCAGTTGGACGAAGGCGGGCGTGTCGAATTTGTACCGACCGGGCAGACGCTGACGCGGATGAATGCTGCGAAGTCGCGGAGAATCCGGCTCCGGAAAACCAACTTGCCACTGAACACACTGCTTCGGCTTGGGCGCCCGGCCGCCGTGGTTCAAGAGGAGGTAATCTGTATGCTTGGTTCTGGGCGACGAGCCGGCTTTCCTACACTGATCGAGAGCTCTATGCCCAGCTGGGGTGGCCGTGGTCAACAGCGAGATAGGCGTCGTCTGGATGACCAACCTCAACCCGGGGAGCGAGGAGCAACAGGAGGAAGAGGAGGAGGAAGAGGAGGAGGTGGTGCGAGAGGGGCCGCACGAGTCCAGCCTCGAGGGCGTGGTCGCGACCCCCAGCAACCTCAGGTTCGTGGTACCGTGCGGCGGGCCCGGGGGTCGCGCATTGATATTGCAGCTCGAGGAAAACATCATTCTTCAAAGTGCTTTTGATGCTCAGATAAGCGAAACAATCACATCAGCCGCGAGCAGCGGACCGAACTGGATCCCATCATCTAGCTACCCCGAACCGACGCATATCTGTCTGCCTCCTTAGGCAGGTCATTGGAGGTGGAGATGGACATAATGATTTACGACTTCACGACTTCAACTAGTGGCGAGTATGTAACTTTGGCTGTAACGAAGGTTACGTAGGATACTGAGCAGTGCCTTAATTAGGATTACTTTATTGAGATATGGAGCCCTGCGGCATGCTACAGTCTAAAACTCTTCGATGGTGCATGCAAACTTCTTTCACGCCATGTATCATTCTGCAGCATTGGCAACATAATCATACAACTCGACTTGTGATAATGTAGTCGTTGGAGTGAATTCGAACCAAGCAAAACTCGCAAAAGTCCACGTTCGCTCGGACTTTCAAGCTGGCCAAGAGGCATGGTTCCATTGCTGCGACTGTTCGATGAGGCTATCGGCTAAACCTTGACCCCCGGACCAGTTAATGAATTTGGTAAAACCGACGGTAGACCAATATCTGAAGGGGGTGCCTCTGGGAATGAAGGCCAAATCACCAAAGATCAGTTGCGCGGTCTCGTTGCCAACCTGGATATGAAGCTGGCCCTCAGTGACTTGCAGGGCTTGATCGGTGTTGAATTTGATCTGCGCTGATGGCTTGTTGGGCTTCATGGTGATGGTCGCCATGCTGAGCGTATTGTTTGTTTGCTTGCCGCTGGCAAGCTGAGCGATCACTTTGCCGGAGCCGTGTTGCAGGTATTTAGGCCCGCGGTTGCTGGATATGAAGTACGGCTTTGACGGATCGGTAGGCAAGGTTTGATCTGCGACGTGCCAGGTATCCAACCCATCCGTAGTGGTGCCGTTGACCCAGTCGACGTTGATGGTATTGTATGGCTCGGGGACGATGTTGTATTTGGGCATCAAGCTCAAAACCTTTGTGACATTCAACTCAGACTGATCCTCAGGGTTGAATGGCGCAGAGGATGCATAGGGCACACCGGTAGCCGCGAAGAACTCGTCAATGCCACCTGGAGCCATGCAGAGGCTCAGCTGGAAGTCAAGGTCATTTGGACGGTAGGTGTGGTTGTTTCCGGGCGCGAGAAGAACGAAATCATTGGCTTGAACTTGACGACCTTGGTCCGAGTTGTGAAACACCTGGACACCACCCTTGAGAACGTAGAAGGCTTCAACTTCCTTGTGGTAGTGGATTAGATTGAGCGGGGCCGGGCCAGAGTTGACGCCAACAATCGAGAGGCTTCCGCATGAGGTGGTGTTTGGGACGAGTGTTCGGATGATGAGACCACCAAAATCGACTGCGGCGCCTTTCAGGTTTGGAAGGACGTAGGGTTGAGGAGTGGTTGGCGCAGTGTCGACGACCAAACCGCCTCTTGCAGGGGATGCAGTGGCTAGAATGGCCGTGGCCGAGGTAATGGCTTGCAAGACTTTGGCGGGACCCATGTTGTCGGTGGCGTCGATAGAGGTTGGAGAGAACAACCACTGCTGTGTCTTTGAGATGATGGTGTTGAGTATGGACATCTCGATCACAGTTTTACCGGGTGCAGTGAATGTGACTGGACGTTCTTCGTAGTGACTGTCGAGGCAGTCGCGACGGAGCGAAGTGCATAGTTTCCTAGTTCGGTACCTTGGCAGGTACATATACAAACATACGATGGACAGGATGGAGTCAGCTGAATAAAGGTGCCACTGGGGAGCGCGCAGTGCTCAGCCACATCAGGCACGCTCCGTTGCAATGGTATCGTCTGGTCAGCAAGCACAGCCAATGACCACCAACCAGTTCAGTTTCGAATCTGACACCATTCGAAATGCGGACGACGGATCATACAGGGGCTTCCCTTACACGGTCTACTGCTGACATACGCCCATCATGAGGGAGCCGAGGTGTCATCTGGTTTCCTCTCTCTCTTCTTCTTCAGCTATGCTTCGCTCAGAGGATCCCTGCCTGAATCGCATTTTCACTCTCTGTGAAGTTTGCGGTGCACACCTTGATTAGCATCTAAACTTGTTCGGGACACCAGACAAGCATGAACGAGCCAGAGAATTCCGCAAGTGACGAGTCGAAACCCGGCACAGCACATTCATTCGCAGCACAGTCATGTAAACCAGCGTCGAGTTGCGAACGCATGCAGATGGTGCTGGGTGCGCAATTACATGCCCATACGAATCGAGAACCCTTTTTCGGCTGCTACAAAGAACATTGCCGTCGTGTACTTCCGCGTAGTGCCCTTTAAACCGTTTCGACTTGTCTAGCTCAATACCAGCTTCGGAATGAGCTTCGTATATCCAAACTTCTGACACTGGCAATCTGATCAACGTGCCTTCTGAAAACAGTCCTTCAGTATGTCGCTCGATGTATCCATGTCCAGGACGAGATCAACGTATCGGCGAGGGTGCAGCATGACATAACCGGGACAGTTGTTGTCCATACTGGCGTCAAAAGGATGGAACCGTGAGGAGCTCTCGATGGGTGATGATGGCTGCTCTCGACTCTCTGACTTGGTTCGTCCCTTGGCAGCATCCAAGCAGATCCAGTATGGCCCTGGATCCGCCACCTGGAACCCTAAAAGCCACTATGGGCATATACATATCATCAACGTCAACGCTTGAGTCTCATGGTTTGCTTCCTGCCTCGTTTATCCGCACCGAGTGCTATCGTGACCAACCTGCACAGGAGCGGAGCGGTTATGCATCACTCCGGCTCAAGACTGTGAAAATGTCACGCCGATTCAGAGCGTGCGAGTAACAATAACCCTTACCTCTGCTTGAATCACGTTAATGTGAATGTCCGGGATACAACAAAGCAACTTTATATACGATACCACTTCGAACAAAAGCGGCAGAGTGGAAGGCCTAGCCAGAGCAGGTTGTAGAATATACTCTGTTAGGTACAAGACTCAAGAGAAGAGGATGGCATACCACGAGATGGTGGTTGACAGGAGGTGCTGTGGACACCAGGGGTTTTTGTAGAAGGCCACTAGTTAGTTTGGCTTGCGAGACACACGCTGCACTGGCCAGAACTTCGGAAGCTGCTGGTGCTGCGAATTTCCCCAGAATTGCAAGCGTTTGGTAAAAGTGTCCACAACCATCCATGTTCTTTCAACCACAATCTGCAACTCGCACAGTCCTCAGTACAACGTTCGCGCTTCAACATCTCCTGGACTTGATCGCCGTTCAAAGAACATCTTGAGCTTTTTTCCCCTTGCCTGTGCGCAGTCGCCCACAAGTCGCGGCACGAGATCACCAGATCGCCGTCTTCCACTACGATTCCTCACAGCCATGGTACACCTCTCCCTTGCCCCTTTCTCAATATCGTCCGCTCTCTGGTTGAGGACACTCTTTGCTTGAAGCGAGGTTACAAGAGCACGCAGTACTAACAATGGCTTTCAGGCTTCTCCGAGACCTTCATCACCTCTAACCTCCGGTCCTGAATCCGGTCCCGATTCCACTCCTTCTGCTGCCAAAACCAGTGGTTCGTCCTCGATCGCACGCGCAGGCTCACCTCCTGGAGGTCCTCGATCTGCGATTCGACGTCGTGCAGCCGCCGACCACAAGGAATCCGTCAAGAATGCTCGACCGGCCTCGACACGTGCCGCCGGTGCAGGTGGCTCTTCAGGCACTATGTTGCGACTATACACCGACGAGAGCCCAGGATTGAAGGTTGATCCGATGGTTATCTTGTTTCTGAGTTTGGGTTTCATTTTCAGCGTGGTTGCATTGCATCGTGAGTCCTTGCTTCAGCCGTTGTGAAGCGGATAGCCGGAAAAAGACAGCTAACCCTCTCTACAGTCATCGCGAAGATTACGAAGCGATTCTCCTAGACTCTTGGGCACAACATGAAGAAGCAGGTGTGAGGAATGCAGACAAAAGCTCCGATACAAGCGTCTTTTGTATAGTACCTAAAAGCGGTGTCAAATCAGAAAGCAGGACAATCAGATATCTCAGGTTTCAAAAGCTCAACTCCTGAACGAGGGGCCTGGTTTTGTTTGAGCTATGTCGAAGAGATACCCCAAAACGAATAGGGTCTTCAGTGAAGAAATCCGAGGGATTATGAACTATTTCTTGCACCCGTCCATCCAGGCCCAGTGGCCAATTCTGCTGCAGGTGTATGAGTATGGATGCAATCAGCGGGATATCCTGGATACTGATGTCGTGGCTATTGAAATTTTGTTGGTATTCACTGTAGAACACTTCAAGATCTGGTTGTCGTATTCAATGTTATTGTGCATGTATAAAATGTGTGTACTTTGTACCTTGCATGTGACGATCGTGTTCGATCTGACCTGATCGCGTGGCAACGAGACTTTTGTGCCGCAAACATCTCACACCCCGCCGTCTTCACATTCACAAACTACAGATCATTGGGCCCTCTCAACCTCCTTCGCGCTTTCTAGACGGTACGATCTCAAACGCAACCAATTACCTAAGAACCCCTGCCACCTTTGCGAAAGACCGCTCAACCCAACGTCATGGTCGAACAGCCCACCCAGGACCAGGCGCAGCCTGAAAGTCAAGGAGACCACCAAGCACATCCTCATATAGAACTACCTCCCTCTGATTCCTCACACGAGCATTCCTCTGCACCGTTGGTCAATAGCAATGGCTGGGATGGAAAACTGCGTATGCCTTCACGCCATGCAGTCCTCAGCAATCCAGAGGCTCTCTCCGATCCTGAGTACTCCGACCCCGATGCCCCTCCCACCGACCAGATAGACGCAGATGAAGACCTCCTAGATGACTACCCCCAAGACTCTGAAGATGTTGACCTCGTTCACTGCCGCATCTCCTCCATCCCTGCTCTCAAACTTGAGCGTTTCTCGCAACTCAAGAGACTATGTCTACGCCAAAATGCCATCACAACTATCTCTCTGCCTGAGAACTTTGGCGAGACGTTAGAAGAGCTGGATCTCTATGACAACTTGATATCCCACGTCAAGGGCCTGGATGCGTTGAAGAATCTAACAAGCCTGGACCTAAGTTTCAACAAGATCAAGCACATCAAGAATCTGAACCATTTGACTAAATTGACACAAGCGTTTTTCGTGCAGAACCGAATATCCAAGATCGAGAATCTTGACGGGCTGGAGAATCTGACCATGATCGAGCTGGGTGCGAACAGAATTCGAGAGATTGAGAATCTGGAACCTCTGAAGAACCTCCAGGAATTGTGGCTGGGCAAGAACAAGATCACCGAGATCAAAAACCTGTCTCCCCTGACGAACCTGCGCCTGCTGGACATCAAGTCAAATCGCCTCACTTCCATTTCCGGTCTTGAAGAGCTCTCGAACCTGGAAGAATTGTATGTCTCGCACAACGGCATCACCGAGATCACTCCATCAGCCCTGGCCAACAACAAGAAACTACGGGTGCTGGATATCTCGAGCAACCAGATATCCCATCTAGAGAATATTGGTCACCTCAAAGAGCTTGAAGAGTTGTGGGCCAGCAGCAATAAGCTTGCCGACTTTAGAGAGGTCGAACGAGAACTGGCAGACAAGGCAAACCTAGAGACAGTGTATCTCGAGATGAACCCTCTACAGCTCTCGGGTCCTGCCGTGTACAGGAACAAGGTGCGACTGGCTCTGCCACAGGTCAAACAAATCGACGCCAGTAAGTATAAAACTCTATGCACAAACTTCAATATGTACGAGAGAGCATTGCTGATGGTATAAAACAGCTTTTGTCAAAGTATAAGCCAGAGGTTAGGGAGACCAGTCATGCTATTTGATGAGCAGACCGACGTTACTGCTATACTTGAATTTAAATGCTTAATGCATATCATTGCGATAATCCCCTTTCAATCATAGGATATGGCAACGGGCATGATCACCATGGGAGAGAGCTCCATCACAAAAGGCTGCGGTGTTTTTCTTTATCATGAGCTGTTACGACCTAGGCTGCTTTTCTATTCCTTAATGAAAGATCAATCTCGAGGGCCGGGACGATGGGCTCTATTGGAGAAACGGCTATCTGGCCTACGCAGTGTATGAGTGGCGAAAATTTTGGACCGAAATCAGTTTGGACGCCCGCCTCAAGGCAAGATGCTCCGATGCAGCGACACAGGTGAATGCCAACAGGCAGCACACTGTGGTAACTCCCCGCAGCAATATCAGTGAATGAACACAAAGCGCCAAAGCGCGTTTGACAGGTAGGTAGTCAATTGAAATCTCTACCTCATTTCAGATTGTGGTAGCGGTGACCCCGTTTTCCTTTTCTCCAATCTTTATCACGGTCGAAAACATGGATCCCAGATCATCCTCACAGAGACACTGCACAGCATGTCGATCGTTGAAGAAATTGCCAAACGTCAGGACTGAGAGAATAGAACTCACTGGCCCAGAGAACTACACGGCATGGCTCCGCGCGTTCACTTTCGAGGCCGAGAGAAAAGGTGTCTTGGGCTTCTTTTCCTCCGTCTACAAAGGACCTCGAAAGCCGGACTGGGACCGGGACATGGCCGAGATTCGAGCCCATGGCGTGGACTTGACAGAGGCGGAGCTCCGCGCACTCCAAACCAGATTCGCATTTTGCTGGCACGCGTACAAGAAGGACAGAAAACGGTTCAGATGGGCGAAAGCACTCATCATCAAGTGGGTCCACCCTGCCATCGGAGAGGAATTGCTCGTACGTGGCAAGACTCCATCAGATGCCCTCGACTACCTCCGCAAAAAGTACATGCCAAAGATACCTTGTGCATGGGAGATCGTCGAACCCGAGCGTGGACGCTTCACCTCCTGGATCCTGAGGCCGGTCATGGTGTTTCTCAGCGAGGTCAGGGCTCATCCGAGGGTGGAACAACAGGGAGCAGAAGGACCCCTTCCTCGGAACCCTTCCAACAACACACATGACGAATTTCTCGCCGTCTCAGCGTCGTGCTGGATGACGAACGACGACGACGACGACGTCTTATGACCCGCTGAAGGCTAAACGAGCATGGAGCCTGACTTTGACTTGACGAGGCCGTCGTCCTCCACGCGGTCTGCTGGACCCGCTCGGACGAGACAGTGAACAAACAGTCATGGTCATAGTCGTATGCAGACGACGGTGCATAGGTAGAGAAATGTGTTGCGTACCTCTGAGGGATGTGACGAACGTGGCAATCTCCGAGAAGCTGCTGTTGGATATGAGTACACCGGTCTACGGACGATACTAGACAACAAGAACACACGAGGACGGAAGGAATAGGACGAAAGGCAAGGAGAAAAGAAAACGAGAAGATAGCCCAACTCCGCTGAAATAGACATGACCATCCCTGCCCCTTGAGCGTTAACACACATGTACCTTTTCCTTCTTTCCGTGGTCAGTATCCTCGTCCTCCGGTGGTTAGGAAGGTGATTCCCAACTGAAGCACAGGGCGTAGAAGCTTCTCTGCCTGAATTTCTATAAGGCTCGCTCGAGCGTATCCGTACTGAGGTGTACAATTCTTTTTTCATGGTCATTTTTTACCAAAAAGAAACCTAGCCTAAAGACCTGAAATTCATTGCCCGGCTCCACTGCCCATAAACATATCTCACGCCCGTGAACGCCAATTTTCAAAGCATTGCCACTTCATACAGGAAGGAGTCTGTCCGTCGGGGAGTCACCTTCTTCATTTCCGCGCTTCATAGGAGTTGACCATTCGCGGATCGTTCCCCCGTTCATAGCACCGTCATGGCCCTTCTCGCAAACTAAACATTTCCGACAGCTCGAGGTCGGCGAAGATAGGATGCTGTACATTCCGACTGCGATCAGACTGGGGACTGTAGTTGCCCGGAAGAAAAGGCTGGTCTAGCTTGATTCAACGAACACTCCGGCTGTTCTGTCGTGGCTGTTGTAAACATTACAAGATGACAGACATCTACTGGGCGCTATGCTGGTAGATACCAGCCACGATACAGTGGTCTCGCTCGAAGGGTTCTGAGTGATGCCGCGCGTCAGCATACATGAACGTAAGGTGAAGGAGAAAAAAAAAAGAATGACATACCTAGCGTAAGCTGTTCCTTGGGCTTGATTCTCTCCTCACGCATCTTCTTCACTTCCGAAGCAAACACCACCTCTGGCTTGGCCGTCGAGTCGATGCAGTTTGCCTTGATACTAACAAGCACACCGCCACCGACCTTCAGGAACAAGTGGGCGTTCAGGCCGACAATACGCGCCTGGTCGGGCTGTGCCACATCGGCGAAGACGACATCGACCATGCCGACGAGCATGCGGTAGCGCAGGGGGTGTCTGGCGTCTTCGATGATGGGGATGACGTTTGTTCGGTGAGTGGCCATGGTGATGAGATCACGGCCGCTTCGGTGCGAGAATTCGACGGCGTACACTCTGCCCGTGGGGCCCACGATATCAGCGACGTGGGAGACGGATGTTCCCGAGGCGGCACCCAGGTAGAGCACGCTCGCGCCGGGTCGGATATAGATGTCGTCGAGACCACCGAGGATACCGGCGGCCAACTTGCTGCGGAAGGGGTTCCATACTCTGTATTCTGTCTTTGTGGCGGCTGGGCTCTCGTCGGAGCCGTTGGTGGCTGGCGCAGGTGCAGCGTCGACCGAGATGCGCTTCTCGCCGTACACGGACTCGCCGGGGGTGAGGTTCTTGGTCACGAGGAGATCTTCTTTGCCGCCGCGAGCGACGAAGACGCCGGGGTGTCGGTGGGGTTCCTGGAGAAAGATTGTGTTAAAAAAAACCTGATCCTTTGTCGTTTTGTTTCAACCATTGCCTTCGAGCAGTCATCTATCGCTAGATGACGGATAAAGATCAACGGACGGGTGAAGAGCATACAATAATGACTTTGGCGCCGCCTTTGATACCGGGCTTTGCACCACCTCGTCCACCGCCGCGTCCTCCTCGACCACCACGGGGTGCTCCTCGGCCGCCACCTCTGGCACCGCCTCTTGGTGCGCCTGTAACGACGAGGATTGTCAGTATACATGCGCTTCCTTCTAGTCTTGGGAGCCCTGCAAAACAGAAGCAGTAACGTGTGGTCTTACCTCTTCCACCGCCAAAGCCACCGCCGCGACCACCGCCGCCGAAACCGCCTCTTGCGCCGCCTCTAGGTGCTCCTCGACCACCGCCGCCGCGGCCTCTTGGAGGGCCTCCGAACGCCATCTCTTCGCTTGTGAGTTTCTTGAAGGGTTTTAAAAAGACGAAATAATAGCGGTAAGACTAGATTTGTTGATACTTCACACGAATCCGGTGACAAGGATACTGTTCGTTCTCTTATGCAGACTGCGAAATTCTGGGTGATACTTTTTCTCGAAATTTGGAGCTCGATGGAGAAAATACTGCGCTAGTTGTAAATGGGTTAGTCAGAGCCTTGTTAGCCAAGACTTTGAATCATTGGTGCACCTTTTATCTTTTCAGCCTTGCCTGGCGCCCGGCAAATTCGGCATCCCCAGCGATCTTAGGATCCATCAGCCTTGACTTGTGCTGACAATATCGAGCTTACCGTGCGGTTGCGTGTACATGTCTTCCATGTTTTGATTTTCCCCCGGCAGCTCGCTGGTGTGCCGTGCTGGGATATTTGACCGGTAGGAGCTATGGCACACCAGGCCATGTATAGGTATATTTCTGTCTTATCGGCTTTGATATTGATTAGATTTACACAAGTCTCTGTCTCGATATCCGTTGCGCCAGCCTACGTCAAGAAACACGGTATGTATTGGAAACATTTTCTCTGAATATCCGGTGTAGGCAAAGGGACACGCCAGTGCTAATCACCAACAGCTCCCATTATATGGCTTCATTCGGAAGATACTTTTATGCCCAGCGATATAAGAAACCATGTTTTACATACTACACCATACATCAGCTTCAAGCCTGTACCAGACTCACCGGCACTGGATCTCAACAATCTATCGTCTTTGAACCAGTTGAGCAAGGACATGTTCCTGACAGCCGTTGAGAATGTCACTTCAATGCCGGACTGGCTGCTGGGCGAAACGCCCGACACCAAAGGTGCATTACACAACTCCACTGCATGTGCTGTCGTCGTCGTGGAGAAGTCAGACTCTGTCACAGATGCGTTCTACTTCTACTTCTATTCGTTTGACGAGGGTGCCGACATCACGCAAGTTGTGCCGCCTCTGAACAAGATTCTACCGGACGCCAAACCCGGCGATCATTTCGGGAACCATGTTGGAGACTGGTAGGAAATGCGCGCCAGCGTTTTCTACTCGGCGTATCTGACATTTCTTTTCTTCAGGGAACATAACATGATCCGGTTTAAGGATGGAGAGCCTTATGGTATCTGGTTCAGTCAACATGGCAGTGGCGAGGTTTGTCTCTGGGAAGACAAGGCTTGTCTTTCAAAGGAGGGTGATAGGGTAAGACATGATCGTTTCGTTTCGTTATGCGGGGCATAAATTGCTTACTCGCTTCAAAGCCAATTGTCTACAGCGCTCGAGGATCCCACGCCAACTATCCCACGGCAGGGTAGGGTCAATATTTCCTCGTGCTCACTTCTCGTAGCTGACCATACCTTAGGAGCCATGTACACGACTCCGCCTTGATCGACGTCGCTGACAAAGGCCGCATTTGGGACCCAGTGTCCCCAGGTTGGTTCTATTCATACGATCCTGCCAGCCACCTCTTTGTGGCCCTTGAACCAGAATCTGCTCCGACAGATTGGTTGTATTTCGATGGTGGCTGGGGAGACAAGCAGTATCCTGACGACGATCCACGACAAAGTACGGTTCCGTACTTTGGACTGAAGAAGTACAATAGTGGTCCCACTGGTCCCAAATTCAAACACCTTGTTCGCAAGGGTGTTGAACCAGACGAGAAACCAAAGAGCAGTCTTCTGAAGAGCGCAGTCGAGTTCTACATGTCAATGTACGGGTGTTGTCTTCAAGGGATAAATCCATGGGTTGTTGTGATCAGCCTGCTCATCGTACTTGCTGTCATTATCGGCTTGTTGGTCTTCACTGTGAAGCGCTTGATGCCTGTGGTACAGAGACATCTTTTCACGCGAGAAGCGGAGAAAGATAGCGACGGACTTCTTTCGCGGATGAGGGACTGGATATCAAGAAAGAAGCGACGGCCTCGTGATCAGTCCGAGTTCTCTTTACGATTATTAGGACCCGAACGACCCGAAGATGAAGTATGATTGCCAAGCAGGGTTTCAACGACGTCTGGCTACACATCAGTGGGAATCTCCGGTCTATTCGTCGTGTAGACACCATCCTTTCGACGTGTGTCTCAAAGCACCCAGCCCTGCGAGGCGATGTATTTGACCAGCTCCTACATTGGCCTTTTCTCGTCCGCGTCCCGGGAACCAAAGTCCCACCGCACGCGGTACATTTTGCGACCTTTTCGAGGGCAGATGCCCTGATCCATTCCTGAATCCAGAGAGGATACGCTCTCAATCTGGCCAAGTGCTGCTGATTGGCGGGAAGGCCGATCTGGCCGCTACTTCCGGAGACGAGCCGCTTGATACCCGGTCTTGAGACGACATTTGGCTTCAGAATATACTTTTCGACGCGAATTTGCGGAACGCAAAGCATGCGCCCAAAGCATGCGCCCAAAGCATACCGAGTCAGTGATGCTCTGATGATGTCTTGTGCTCGTGGTGGCAGTCGGTCAAGTTATGAATGGATGAAGTGGACGAGAGCTGTGAGGGACTTCATCGTTGTGATTGACTTAGGTACAAGGAGACGGCAAGGCGAACTTCTTTCCAATTGGTACCCTAGGTACTGGCTACCAGCCTCTGGAGACTCAAGGATGCAAGAATAACCTTCAGGAAGCATCGTTTGGCATGTTTGTGGCTCCCAAGTAATCATCACTACAGCTATCGTACACTCGAGCTGTCAATGTCGCTCGCACTTTTCACCTTCGGGGCACCGAGAGACACGGGGTAAAGTGTAGCCGTAACCTTCTTTGTATGCTCTGTGCCAGAAAGGTAGCTAGGTAGTGCTCGCATGCCTATTACCGATGGGTACGGCTATGGCACGGCTAATTCTACTAACTGCGTCGAGCTTTTTCCCGAATTCGCACCTCCTTCGCGAGATGACAAGTCCGAGCTTCACGAATCACATTTACCCGCGCGCTCTTCTGGGATTGTCGGCGGAGGCTGCTTTCAATCGATGCTCAACCGAGGATCTACTTCCTGCGGGTTCGGTCTTTTGGTCCGTTGCTGCCTGTTGATCGAATTGGATCACTCTCTCTATGCGGCATCCAGTTCTCCCTGGACCGGAACGTTGATACCCGATTAGGAATCGTCCGCGAGTTGAAACTCGGAAGTTTTCTTTTGCGGTGGGCCACCAAACCACTCTCCACCTCGTATCCCGTATGACACAGCCTCCTTTTTACCTGTTCATCAACAAACTGTTGCTTTGAGCTCCGAGTCGTCCATTCCGTTCAGAAAATCTCGGCCCACCACCTGAGGCCACTGCGCTGCACCCTGAACGAGATAGCGCTAGTCACTGCAAACTGCCCAACGGGGCCTGGCAAAGGTACTTGTACAAGGATCAGGCTACCAGTTTCCAACGACATCGAGCCGAGGTACATATCTCAGACCTGGGGGCAAAGAAACGGCATTGAGACGCGACTCCATATATTATATCATAAGCTGCTCCTGGGGAGACATATTATGAGCACAAGCATACTCGTCAACCCTTCAACCTTTTGCTGAGCCCGACCAGATTTGTGTTGACAAACGTCCCTATTTTCTAGCGAGCTTGCTCGGAAACGGGACCTTTACGAAGATTCACAATGAACGGGTCACTACACCCCTCCAAAGAGCAGGCCTTCTGGGATGTCATCATCATCGGCGCCGGCATCTCTGGCGTCAACGCAGCATATCGCCTGCAGACCGAACTCCCCAAGTACACCTACACCATCCTAGAAGCTCGACCTCGCATGGGCGGCACGTGGGACCTCTTCAGATACCCTGGGATTCGCTCAGACTCTGATCTCATCACGTTTGGTTTCGCCTGGAACCCGTGGGACAAGAAGAACCCTATCGCCGACGGCCCGTCCATCCTACAGTACATGAAGGAGTCGGCGTCGCAGTACGGCATCGACAGACACATCCAGTATGAGACTTCTGTGGCCTCAGCTTCGTGGTCGTCGGAAGACGCCCTGTGGACGTTGAGCGTGTCCGTCAACGGCCAGACGACGTTCGTGTCCACTCGCTTCCTCATTTTCGGCGCGGGATACTACGACTACCATACGCCCCTGGCCGCCACCATCCCGGGCCTCGAGAATTTCAAAGGACAGACCATCCATCCTCAATTCTGGCCCGAGAATCTTGACTACTCGGGCAGGAGGGTCGTCGTGATCGGGTCGGGCGCCACGGCAGTGACGCTGGTGCCTGAGCTCGCGCAAAGGGCCGCATCGACCACCATGCTCCAACGCAGTCCGACGTACATCGTCTCGCTGCCGAACAAGGTCCGCACGCGGCCGTGGTGGAGCCGGCTCATGCCGCGGTTCCTGTTTACCAAGCTCCGACGCTTGTTCTGGATCGTACGTGGCCGATTCGTGTACAACTGGTGCATGAAGTACCCGGAGAAGGCTCGAGCTCTGTTCGCCAAAGGCACCATCAGACAGCTCCCGCAGAGCATCCCGTACGACCCACACTTCAAGCCGAGCTACTCGCCGTGGGAACAGCGGCTCTGCGTCTGCCCAGACGGCGACTTTTACACGGCGCTCCGAGAAGGCAGAGCGAACGTCGAGACCGACACGATCGAGGGCGTCGTCGAGGATGGCATCGTCCTGACCTCGGGCAAGAAACTGGATTGCGACATGATCGTCACCGCCACGGGACTGAAGTTGCAATTTGCAGGCGGGGTGCGGATCGAAGTCGACGGGGAACCTGTCGAGATCCATCAAAAGTACTGGTGGAACGGTGCCATGATACAAGATATCCCCAACGCCGCGTTCGTCATGGGATACCCCAATGCCTCGTGGACGTTGGGGGCGGATGCCACGGCTCAGTTTGTCTGCCGATTCCTCAAGGCGCTCGAGAGGAAAAAGCAAAGGGCTGCCGCACCCTATCTGGAGGACGCGGGATCCCTCAAACCTACTCCCTCGTTGGCTCTTACGTCCACGTACGTCAGGTTGGGGTCCGGCAGCCTGCCCAAAGCGTCCTTGGATGCTCCGTGGGTGGGACGAAGGAGTTATTTCGAGGACGTGTTCTGGGCAAAGTATGGGAATCTGACAAAGGGCCTGAAGTTCATCAGCACCGCTGCTACAGAGAAGAAGTATGTATAGGCCATGTACTCAGGGGATCGGTGTTGGTCTAGATATTTCGTGTCTCGTTTCGCTGTATTGTACACTAATCGTCGGTGCGGGAAGGGCGCTGGTTTCAATAGAAGTTAATAGACCCCGTATATGGGACGGCATGTCTCATAGATGAGCCATTTGCGAGATCTCATTCTCAACGAAGCGTGGGAGTCCATTCTTCCGTCATACTCTGTGGTCAAGGACCGACCCAATTGTCCAACAATCTGGCCTCCCCGGCTTTGGAATTCAGGGCAACTCGACCGACAAGAAAAAGTGGAATTCAGGATGGAAACGGATTCTCCACGTAGAGCATTGCATCTCTGCGCTGGATGTGACAATGTTCGAGGATACCCGGTAGTTATTTCCCTCTAATGCTACAGAGCTTGGCATCATGCTCATGTCCGCAGAGGATGATTCGCAATCCTCACGACGTAGCAAACCCCCCCAGAGGGCCCAAAGGGGTCATTGCTCAAAGAACAAGGCCATGTTTACCCTAAGCCAAACTCAGCCTGCGCAGCCTCGTCTGGCCCACGTAGCTTCGAGATCGCTACGACAGAGTAGAAGATGGCCGAACTTTGTAAAATCCCACCTGCGTTGCAGATCTTGCCGAATCAGATGGATGTCTTCGCTCCTAGCCGTGAAAAAGCCCATGGTATAGACCGGAATGGTGGAAGTGAAGAATCTTGACCAGGTTTCGTTTTCTTGATACTTCCTTAATATTGACATGGCACGACGCAATTCCCAAGAGTCCGGGTCATGTACTTGAGGAATAGTCGTTCCCAAGTCACCATCTACCATTTTCTGGGTGAGAATGGACGCGGTAATGATGAACAGGGAAGCAGCGTCTCGAGCAAGTTGGCACTGGACATCTTCCGACTCATCCAATCCAGGGCTGTCGGGACCCGGACGGCAGATGATGGAGTGCTCCCAGCGGGATATTTCGCTCCTCAAGTCGGCTAGTAGGTACGCATTCGAGATCGCTGAGCCATTTCTGAGCTGTCTGATAAACAAAAGAAGCTTCAGCAGACCAGGAGGGACGCCTATCACAGGACTATCCACGCCTGGGAACGAAGCTGGAAAAACGTTCGTCCGGTTCAGTGACTGCTCAGCGCGTAGCCAGAAAGTGAGGTCAAAAGTGTTATTTGAGTTGAAGTCCTCTGACCACAGACCCATGGACGTCATGAACATAGAATATAGTACGCTTTCCAGAACAAGTCGTTCGAACCGTTGGCTGGTGGCTGCTTGGCGCTCGAAGTACCGCAAGGTTGCAATTTTCGCGGCTGCTTTCATATGGCCAGGAATGTCACCGTATGCGCTCTTACCAGTCACCTATCGAGGAAGTATGTAGGTCAGCGAGGCGTTTCAACGAACTTGGAGGGGCGCATGACGACCTACTCCAAGTGTGTAGAGCAGCATTATCGATATCAGCAGCCCGTTGTTCTCTTCCAGCTGCGGGGCCGACCCAAGGAGTTCTTGTAAGCCCTGCAAAGCTTGCGAATAGTAGGTAAGCGACAGCTCCTGCAGCGAGGCCGATTCGATGGTCGAGTCAAGATGCGACGCAGCATTGGCCAAGACTGTAGACTGCAGAGTTTGATATTTGGGAAGAAGTCGCTCGATCTCGCGGAAAAAGGTCCAGTAATACTTAGGGTGACACTTTGGCAGCAAGATAAGGTCATAATACTCGTCGATGAAATATTTGAATATGTGGGGTTTTATATCACGAGACAATGCTTGGTGAGCCAGCGACGCGGAGGTGTTGCAGATTCGTACCACCTCTGAACACCTTGGTCCCTCTACATTGGGATCGTCAGCGACAGTTGCATTTAGTTGCTGCTGCCGCCGCCACCGCCCCGGACGCCGCTTCCGGAGTGTCGCTCGCCTTCGGTCAATAAGAGATTCTGGCGTCGGCCATTCACACTTCCAACCGAGTGAAAGACAGCGCTGGCACACAGGGCGGCCCTCGTCACATTTCTTCTTGCTCGTTCTGCCTGTCGTGGTTTCTCAGTCACCACGGTTGGGGTTTGGGTGTGTCTAGGACTCACAAGTTTGGCAGCCTGTCTTGACACGCAATCTTGGTGCCCCAATGCTGTGTGACATGATGAATAGACCTTGCAGCAGCCCTAAGAGTCGAGCTCATATCGCAACCGCATGCTGTGGGGTGAGATCATGCTTGCAGTCCTCCATAAGGGGTGGAAGGATAGGGAAATCGTTTGCAACGGTATGGATTTGACTTATACCTTAGTTGGGTCGACGGCGGGGGTGAGAGGGCGTATATGATATGTGATATCTGATGTGGACACCGAGAACGGAGTACGAAGAGCAGAGAAACCATGTTGCGAACTAACTAAATATAACTTAGTTATTCTCTCGGCGTCGGCTCGGGATTACTTTTCAGCGCTCTCGGCTGGAGTTCGCAGTATGGAGGGCACACCCGCCGATACTGTAATCCCGGATTAAGCCATCATTTTTAACTTATTGAACTACTTCAGATACGGCTATGCACTGGCAAGGGGGGAAAGATGAAAATCTAGAACTCAGTCCAACCCAGGCACCGGCGCCTCTGTGCAAGCAACGTCCTGAATCATTTGGATTCACCTGCCTGCAGGAGTAGCTAGTAGAACACGGTGCGGATCTACTCGTCCTGTCGAAACCTGATTAGTTCTGTCAGCTGTCTACCTCGATGATCACGGTAGGTTCAGGATATCCTTCAGAATTGCCATTGCTGAAAACAGTTGATCGTCGTGGTACTTTCTGGCGTTCACCTGCAATGTTATCGGGGCCCGTTCAAATTCACCGGCTTCCCACTCTTGCTTGATAATGCGACATTGGTCGGAAAGCGGCTCATAATCCTCTGCGTAGATCTCCCCAGCTTCGACCTTGATAGGGGTTGGAAACACGAGACCGGGATAATCGACCAGATTCCAGAATGATGTGTAAGTCCAGAAGCGTGCTGTGTCGTGCTCGGCCGCTGGTCCTACGTAGCAGGGCCCGATGACCACGTCGACATTCTGAGAGTTCCAGTGTGCGGCATATTCCGTCCGGAACTCGTCTCGCTCTTGCCGGAGGACCGCAACCTCGCTAGCATTTTTCATTTCAGAACCTTCTGGGATAAACCAGCGAGTCAGTGGTAGTACAGGCTCTCCGCTGGCTTCGAGTATGGCCAGAACACCTGCACCACCGTCAGGTAAGAACATACGGAAGGCTTTGTCAAAGGCCTCGGCAGCCTTGTACTGTTGGAAGTCCTTGACCTCAACCAAGTCTTTATACTTGGGATCTGACAGAAGTTTTCTCACCCAGGCAATGGCTCTTTTGACAGGTGGCTGGGGCTCGATGAAACCATCGTTCTCGATAATTCCAACCTTGAGTTTTCTCGAAAAGGGAGCTTGCAGGCCTTTCCACGGAGTTGGAAACAGCTTGGGATCCTCACGATAGGGCTCCGCGTCGAGAACAGCTTTTGTCACAAGGTTCATATCCCGGAGACTTCGACCCAGTGGGCCAGCGACAGGGAGCACATTCAATTCGGCTGGAAACGCACCCCTGATCATGCCCTGAAAGGGCAACATGTTTGAGGAGGGTTTCCAACCATAGACTCCATTGAAAGCTGCAGGTGCGCGGATACTACCACCAATGTCGCTACCAATACCCAAGACCGAAGCCTTCATCCCGAGTAAGGCACCTTCGCCTCCTGACGAGCCGCCGCAGGTTAGCTGGATGTTGTATGGATTTAATGTCCGGCCAAAATGAGAGCTGCTCTCCATGTGCATAAGCGCTTGCGGCTGATTCGTCTTACAGTAAAAGACAGCGCCGGCTTTGCGTAGAATTTTCACAAATAAACAGTCCTTGTCATCATCGTACGTTGTGGCTAGCTCGCCATAAGAGGATTTGTGTCCAGCAATTGGCATATGATCTTTAATGCTAATGGGAACCCCATGAAGAGGGCCAACGGTCTGGCCAGTCTTAGCAAGATATTCATCGAGCTTCGCTGCTTGCTCAACCGCGTCGTCGGGGAAGAGTTGTGTTAGGCAGCAGACAAGCTGGTGCGCAATGGAAGCACGCTTTACAAAAGCCTTGACAACCGCAACAGACGTGTATTTTCGCGCCGCAATGGCTTCTGCTAGGCCTGTGGCATCGTAATTTTCTGTAATCTCAAGCTCTTCGGCGTTCAGAAGACCACAGGTTCTAGGAATGTTCGACACATCTCTTGGAGGATTGTCGATGAGCTCTTGAGGAAGATACCATTCTTCGGGAATGTTCTTCGAGAGGGCTGCAAGTATAGGAAGGCGGTTGGCCTCATATTCAGGCGTCCCCTTGGGCATAGGCTTGACGACAACAATAGGAAGCGATCTGGAAGCCATGACGGAGAGTGTCTGGAGCCAGATGTGATAGGACACCGGCCGCAGTGATGAAGTTAAGAGGGCAAAAGAAACAGGGCCACACGAAGATATTTATCTCTAAATTCGACATGGCAGAGCAAACGAGGTAATGGTCCTGTCTTGGGCCCGCAACACCAATTTGCGATGCACTCTTCGGTATCTCAGACATGAGATTGGCTTCTCTGGTCGCCGAGAGCCAATTATGATCTTTTGCGACCTGAGGGCCGAAAGTCTACGGTTTGGATAAAGTGGTTCCTGCGATCACGCAGGCCTCAGTGTAGCCCCTCGGCCCTGGGGTATACAGAATCCAGATCGGGAAGGTAATGTCAGACAGCCAATCAGAAAAATATCCGCGAAGGTTTGGTCCTTTGCCTGGTGCCAAACTACGACTACCTACAGATGAGCCGGTCTCCGTTGCATCCGTTCACGTTCTCACCCTTACCGTGTGTGTGTGTGTGTGTGTGTGTGTGTGTGTGTGCGCGTGCGCGCGTGCCCTCTCAGGGTCAGCGAAAGCCAGGATCCACATTTCAGGTTGGAAGAGGACGAGGGCACGAGGGTGACAAGGATACGCATGCACGAGAGCGTCGATGCCGATACGATACGTGAATCAACCATGATAGGATAGAGGGTGTCATGAACGGAATATGAACTACATACGGGGTAGCCTGGTCAGAACGCTGTCTCAGGCTTGCTTAGGCACTAAGTGTCTGGTTGACCTGTTATCTTACTGTACCCGTCCCTTTCCAGGATCGGCAATGCAAAACAAACTTAGAAATGCAAAAGAATGATCCGTCGGTATGATCTCCTCGAAGCCCTGATGGATGATCCTGACTCCTCCTGCGCGGTCAATCAGGACCCGCCTGTCCCAACTGACATCTGACCCCACGTTGATCGAATATAAAATGGATGATTCAGTCACCTCTCCTGCGACTGTTCCACGGAGCCGCTACCACCCCCATCGCCGACATCTGAGCTGGCATCATCCCTGTCCACATGAGAATGCAACGGCTCCCGAGTCTCTTGCGACCGCGGAGAGATCGACCTGACGGCGTCCTCGCGGTTTCCAGAATCATCAGCAGCGTCAACAGCGTCGACTGCCTCAACGGCCTCAACATCCACCACATTCAACACAGGCAACGGCTCGTTGATATCACTAGGCAAGGGTGGAAGAGGGGGGATTTTGTCGTTCTCTGACCCTCCTACGAGAATGCAAATGTCTGACTCGCTGTGCGCACGTGGCAACCCTCGACTCCCGACATCATCGCCATCCTGACTTGGTAGGAAACTTGTAGAAAATGGATGATCCTGTTGTTGGATAATCTGGCCACCGCCATCACTGCCACCACCACCACCAAAAGGATCCGCTGATGAGGTAAAACCGTAAATGTCATGGAAGGTGTGGTCAAATAGACCAATAGTCGAGTCAGCAAAGGAGCTACCGTGTCGAGGCAAGGTATCAAAGCTGTGGTGAGTCTGCATGGCTGGGCGGGCGACATGGTGGCCCCAGTGAGATTGAAACTCTGGAATTTTCGCTGACAAGGGCTGGTGAGCATGCCGATCCCGACGGTGGGTAGCTTGTTCATCTTGACTCGATGACCATTCCTTGTCCCCGTCGCTACTCTGCCTCTTGCGTGTCTGCTGCTTTTCCGTTAGGAACCGCAAAACGCGTATTTCTTCCTCGGGCAGCTTATCCCAGGGTTGAATATCGGGTGTTTGTGACTGATGCTCTGATTCCGTTAAGGTCTTGGACGACGGGATCACGATCTTCAACCCCTCGGTCATACTGATATGCTCCTGCAATGCCTGATGTGTTTGCAGAATAAGACCAGGATGACTGCCACGGGTTGACTCCAGTACTTCTTCGTGTGCGCCTGTCAAGGTGTGCATGGCTTCGTCTTGCTCAGCTAGGTTTGGAAGATAAAAGATATTGCCAGCCTGAGGCACTGGCCCTTCTGCCGCGGGAGGGAAGGGTGAAGGCGAGAAGCCAGAGTACTCCAAGTTGTTGGGATAGTTGCTTTCCGGATCCAGTCGTTGTGTAGTTGAGACATCCAATGTGGATTGGAGAGGGTCTCCATTTAGAAGCTCTTGATTGAAAGTGGTGAAACTGCTGCCTTGACACATATCATCATGCACCGCCGTAGGGAAACTTCCAAACCCATCAAAAGCGCGACTAGGATCGTGGGCAATAGACCCAATGTCGTAATCCATCGCACTGATTGGCAAGGGCGGCAGTTCAGTGCTCGGTGAAGGCACCAGAGGGCTGTTCTTGAAGCCTCTATCGATGGGCTCGGGCAGGGTCAGTGGCTGCCAAGTTGTAGTTCGTTCTGAGCTAGACTCTGCCTGAGCGAACTTCCACAAAAGTATTGCGGCTCTTCGGGGCTGTTCACGTTTTGTGTGGAGGTTTTCGCCAATGGTATACCGCAGAGCGAAGATCTCTTGCATGATAGTCAGACCCGCAAAAAACCCACGCGAATATTCGTCTGCGGCTTGCAAAGCACCGGACTCGCTCGAGTCTTTTGCCATCAATCTTTCCGCCGTGAGATTTGTGAGAGCCGATGCCCACCACGTGCTGTGAAAAGAAGGCTCGACCAGACCATCAATCGTGGCTCGGCATTCCTCGTGCGTGGGTGCGGCAACGAGCTGCCCGTCCTGGTAGATGTGGGTGGCAACACTCCAGCGTTTAGCTTCACTGTTGTGGTCCATCTCAGGCCAGTCTTGACATAGAAAGTCGACTTCCAGACTTATCCCCAATTTTGAATGTTCGGGTGGAAAGCCGTCCATCAGTTGAAAGGACGAGTTGAGCAAAATGACCTCGCACGGATTGCTGGTGCAGAGTTCATCTAGGATGGTGTGCAAACGGGGAAAGGAGTTGCTCCAGTTGCTGAGACTATTGAGGGACACGTCTCTGGGTCTCCCTTTGCGGGATGATAGTTGCGTGTAATGGTGCAAGACCCGGGTTGAATCAAGCTCCGGATCGCTGGAAGATGGTGGAGGAATGACACGCACTTCGAACTGCATGTGTTGGACGATGTAGCTTGCTAGGAAAAATGTGGGCATGGAGCTATCAAACAAAGTATCGTCTCCGTCATCCCAGGGTTCTTCATCCTTGAACACTGTCTGGTGGTAGTAAGGCTGCTCCAAGCCGCCTAGCGTCCGGTGTTGGATGTTCGCATTGTCATCGAAAGGCTTTCGCTGGAAGTCTGTACCTTTGCACTGAGTCTGCGTGCCTCGTTTCGCTTCGTCAGGTACCTTGGTTAGGCGAACCCCTGGAATCTGTTAGCCCTACACCGAAGGAGCTCGCAACAGAAAAGAACAACCCACATTCCGGCTCATTCCGCAAGAATTTGTCAAGCACCTGAATGTGGCTCGAGACTTGTTTCCGTGTGCGTCGCTGCCCTGTTCTGTGATATATAAATTCCGAAATGAGCATATTGCGCCCGTTCAATTTTCCACCTCGAGCCCACTTCTTACGGCCCATGGGTTGTATACATTGCAGCGCTGTTAATGTCAGAAAAGGGCCCGTAGAGTTTGGTTCACAGTATACCTTCTTGAAAAGCATCCTCGATGAAGAGAGGCCACACTGGTTTGCCATCACCGCCAATGTCTTGTCGTGGCCGTCTTCGATAGATTTGATACTTGTGATTCTTGGTGTATTTGAATGAACGTGCAGGCCTCGGAGCGTGACGACGACTGAGCAACTGGGGTTGTGAATTGGACCCTGGTGCTCGGTCGAAGGCGAAATCCAGAGCGTCGTTGCCACATAACGGAGCTGTGGGAAGCGGAAGCTGATGAAGTGACGATTTCAGTGCGACATCAGCTTTCGTCCTCGGAGGAGTAAGCGGTTGCTCATTCTCAAGACCATCCTGCGATGTACGAACTGTCGACTGAATATTACCTGAAGTGATAGACAGAGGGTTCACGCCCAGTTCGGGCTTCTGGTGCGACTGGAACGAAACGGAATGCAGCATATTCATTGTAAGTCATGCGAGCAGGCCCTGTAGCATTACACGGGGAACAGGCACGCAAAGAAGGGAAACAAAAAGACTCAGGAATGGGAGAAGGGAATGTGAATGCTGGGAAATCGAGCGTAATATGGTGGTATTATAACCACAAGAGAACCCAGTCTGGTTCGGTGCAATCTCTTCAGCAAACCTCACCAACGCATCTCAGCCACAACCCTTTCGATATTTGGTTGGACAGGAAGACACACTGAGGGACGTTGATCTCATTCTGTCCAAGAGATCACGGACAAGCAAGACAAGCAATCTCACGGCGTGCAGGCCCTTTGCTATCCTTGCCGCACAGGAATGGGAAGTCTAGGAAGGGCAATGCAAGGGATGTTGAGTAGCCAGACTTCGACTGAAGGGAGTCTGGATGCGGTTTGCTTCGATCAGCTCGCCAGGTGAATGGTTGGTCATTGCGGTCACTGCTGGAATCCAGAGCAAAGTTGCCCTGTGCACACAACGATTGCCAGTACCCTTGTTATAATGGGACGACATTGGCCCCCTTCGGCGACAGAGAAGAAACGTCCCCTGGCTCGAAGACTACGCAAACAGATATCAAAATGAGACGGCTCAGAAGCTGCTCCGGGCAAAGAAAAATGTGGAAATGCTTCAGTAGAATGAAGAATATTGATGTATACTTCGGCCTTGTGGATGAAGTTGCAAAATACTTTCCCTATATTCTTGACGAACTGGAGATGATCGCTGTAAGGGATGGAGTGGGTCCAGTACATATCAGACGATCAGAGCGGATCAACGTCTTCTCGTGCATCGACGTTGAATTTCTTCCGGGCCGACGCTGTCATCTTGTGGTGAGTCAACTTGTTCTGATGGCTCTGTACTTTCTTTTCCATGGCACTGATCTCAGCTTCGGGATCGATGACCTCACTCTCCGCGAAATCGAGGACAAGCCTACGACCGAGGAGATGAGTATTTGTCAAAGCCTCAATCGCGTTCTCAGCCTCTTTTGCAGAGACAAATTCAGCAAAGGCAAATCCCCGAGCACTACTGTCGAACTTCTTCGGCATGCGGACGGTGCGAAGTTGGCCATAGGCCCCGAAAAGAGAGCGGATATCTTTCTTTGTGGCCTCGAAGGGCAAGTTCTTGATGATGATCTTCGTCTTGTTGGCACTGCTCTTTTTGAGGATATCATCCTTACGACGTTCCTCGGCCAAGTCGGTAGTTTTCTGCGATAGCTGAACAAGAAGCTTGTGCCCATCGAGGACCCGGCCATTCATGGTTGCTTGTGCAGCTTCAGCCTGGCTCTTGGAGCGGAACTCGACAAAGCCAAAGCCCATGCTCAAGACTTCGCCAGGTCGTTTGCTATCGGTCCTCGTCTTCACACGGGCCGACAAGAAGCCCGGTAGAGGGCTGAAAGCTTCAGCCAGCCTTGCTCTTGTGGTGGCGAAGTTCAAGTTCCTCACAAAGAGGGCTGCCGGTGTCCCTGAAGTATCCTCATTCGTGTCAACAACAAACATGGGTCCTTCATTTTGTACAGAATCGTGGTCGCCTTGCCATAATCCTTCAGGCGCCTTTTCAAGGTAAAGAACCGACCCTCTGAGATTTCGATAAGCAAGGCCCTTTAAAGCCAAGGTTGCAGAATGTGCTTCAGCGTACTGGGCAACTGCAATAGTTCCTGTGGTAGGAAACACCAATCTCTCGACTGTTCCATACTGGCCCAGCATAGCAGACAGTTCTTCCGAAGTGGTGCCAAAAGCGAAGTTTTTCAACAAGATGGTCCTATCGTCACGAGCCTTATTTCGAAAAGCATCAATGTTGACACCATGTGTTCTCAAATAATCTTTGGTTTCCTTAATCACACTGGTTTCTGCATGAGCTTGCTTAACAGCAGCATCGGCTGAAGCAGGATCGAGCAATTCTGCTTTTGATACCCCGAGGCGATCAGCAACCGAAGCAAGAACTGCATCAGGATTCATATACAACGAATTCCAACTAAACTGTGCTTTGGAGGCATCGTTCTTGCGTTTTATGGCTTTCTGTTGTTTCAAAGGCAGCTTTGATATTTCGAATTCGGTCATTTTTGAAACTTTCTTGTCCGACGCAGGTAAGATATGCATCAACCGCCCTCGGAAGTCGCGTCCATCAAGTTCAAGAAGAGCCTGTGCTGCATCTTGCGGTTCGACATATTGGACGTAGCCTAGACCCTTGCCGGTAGATCTCTTTGTGTCTGTGACTAGGTGTATCTGAGTCTGATTAGCATGGATTCAGGAAAGCATGGCAATCAGAGTAAGCGTGAACATCAAACAATCAGAAGTGAGAAGCATCTACTAAAATACTCTTTCCCGGTTCACATCAAATGCAGCGCATAAGTTGTCCCTATCAGGAAATCATCACGAAAAAAAACCCCATATAAGGAATGGTATAGCGTACCTCGGATATTCGACCATATGGAGAGAATGTCGCTCTAATATCATCGTCCCTGGTATCAAACGGTAAATTTCGAATGAAAAGTCGCGCGTTCGGAACGGACACAGGAGGAGGGCGTTCGGTGGAACTCTGTTGCTCCGTGATGATGGTATCATCCTCTACAACATCATCGGTGACCTTTTCCGGATCCAAAGACTGACTAGCATCCGGTGACGGCGGTTGTATGTGAGCCTGATCATCTTCTACCAAATCGAGCAGTCTGCTGGTCTTCCCTCGAAGCCAATCATTATCGGACTGTGGTGCGGTGCCCGTATCACCATCATCTGCGGCTTCTGTCGGTGGTAGGGTAGTGCTTGGATCTTCCGGTGCTTTTGCAGGTGAGACCAGGACCTCCTCCTGACCATCTGCTCTCGACTTCTCCTGTGCCGCAGGCCCGAGCCTTGGGTTGGTCATGTCATCCACAGCATCCTCGGTCGCACGCTTCCTTTTGCCTATAACAATATTCTTAAGGTATTCATTATCTTGCCGGTGCCTCGTAGAACGCTGGGATACCGGTGCAGCTTGCCCACGAAGATCGCGTTTAACCTCGACGGGCTTGGCCAGAGTGACGGAGATTTTGGACATACGGATGAATGACTTGTTGAAGTAACGCACGGCATCTTTTGCGTGCTCATGGGAAGGGAATCCAACAAAGCCAATCCGGCGGTCTGCTACAACATGAGCATCTGTGACTGGGAACTTTCCTTGAAAATGTGATCGCAATTGTTCTTTTGTCATGGACGGAGGCAAGCCTGAAACATAGACCCGGGTCAAAGAGGTGACATCAACCTCTGTCTCTGCCATGATGATATCTGTGAGCCCAATTGAAAACAGATAGTGTCGAGGGAGAGGACCTTCGCCCTTACACCAGTCGAGCAAAGGAAAAGTTGTTTGGCTGCGGCAAAAAAAAGTTGCACATGCGGAATTGCAGACCCTTGCATGATGCGCCAAGAAGCGGCGTCAGACAATGTCTTTTGATGGAGATTAAGGACGCGGGTCCATCCCATGCATCACTCACGCAACTTGTCTCCAGCGCAGCCTTCCGTTATCTTCCACCTCGCCTGTCGCTCAGAGTGAGACTGTGGTCACGGCAATCTGCATCCAAGACATTCAAGGGTTTCTTTCTGGAACTTGACGGCAGCAACAATCATGGCGGACACCGTGCCAGAGAAGAAGGTGAAGTTGGAGCGTGAGTAGGCCTGATGCTTCCTCGAGACTGGGACTGACATGGTCTTAGCACAAATCAAGTCGGTTGACATGGTGAGATACCAGTCTTGTACAAGTTCCGGACCATGGCGCTAACATTATCAAGAGCGAGGACATGCAACAAGAAGCGATCGAAGTTGGTGAGACATAACCATCTCGAGTCCCTAAGCGGAGCGCCGCGTTGACACTGCAATAGCACAAGAAGCAATGGAGAAGTTCAGTGTAGAGAAGGTCGGTCTGATTGAAGCCTTTGGACGGCGGAAGAAACTGATCTCGGGTAGGACATTGCGCAGTACATCAAACGAGAGGTTGGTCGAATGGAGCATGAGCCAGTCCTCGGACACTGACGATCGATCGACAGTTCGATTCGAAAAAAGGTGCCACATGGCACTGTATAGTTGGCAGGAACTTTGGAAGCTTCGTTACTCACGGTACGCAGAGTCCTCATCGTTACTGAGCCTTTCTCAGAATTCGTGCTGACAAGAACATCCGCCAGAGACGAAGCATTTCATTTACTTTTACCTTGGACATGTTGCGATTCTGCTGTTCAAAACTCAGTGATTGCAGCCAGTTAGCGAAGTCGGCCTCTTTAAGGAATTCAAGGATTCGATATGGCTCCTTATGGCTCCTGTCAGGCACCTATTGAAATGGATAACGAGTGTGATGGGAGGCCGCTACTGCATTACGTGTCTTGTGCATGCTATTCGCCATGGGGTATAAGCGAAATAAAAGTGTTTGGCTAGTCCTCGTGGCTTCGCATGGACATCCCGGAGCAGACGAGTCACTTGTAAGTTGTGACTAGAATGCGGTATGTTATGTTGGAGCCTCGCGGACAGCTACTGCTCCCTGGAGGACGAGGCTGAAGCGGCAGCATTTTGTGAGCCTGTAGATTTACCCGATTATTTCTTTTGGTGGAGGCCGCCGGGTCCCTCATCATTCACCGGATGATCTGCGCCCGTGATTCTGGCCCAGTCTGTGCCGAGCCGAGTTACGTGTAGCTGCGCCTCGCATCTTGCCCTCGAAGGTTGTCCACGACAGCCAGCGTCAGAGCAAGTTCCCTTCTCGCCTTCTCGACTTCGAGTCAGAAGAAAGTGCTCTCGGATTCCGCCATTCGGTGTCCATCATGGCTTTTTTCTTCGTGGTTGGAACCAAAGGTGTGCCCGCGCGTCGAATGAGCCTCCGGATGCGCCGCTAACCTCGCCAGACTTCACGAAGCCGTTGAAGGGCTATGAAGGGATAACAGCTCAATGCCAGAACTGCGGAAACTGGTCTGCGCATCCTATCCAGTCTTGGGATTGGTTCACCTTCTGTTTTGTGCCAGTCATACCTCTGGGGAGCAAGCATCAGGATGTACGTGTCTAGCCATGCAGTGCGTCCCTTGATTTAGCTAACTGATTTCAAGATCGCTTGCTCTATCTGCAGATTCCGTCAAGATTTGCGGTGAGACACTCAATTGATGAACCTTCAAGCTGCATGAATGTTGACACCTGAGACAGTAATCGACCAGACGTACAATCGCAACAAGGTCAACCACCGATGCATCCACCTCAACAGGGCCCTCCTCAGGGCTGGGGAGCTCCTCCCCCGGGACAACATATGCGATATCAGTGACATGGCAAACTGCGGATCATGGAAAGAAATGATTCACATTAATAGTACAGAAATACGGACAATATGGGGATATGCTTTCCGCGACCGATTTGGGTCTTCATTCACGAACTCATTGTTATCTCGAACCCGGCAAGGTTGTTTACAACAAAACATTCCAATCTCTTTGGGGATATGTCACACCATCTCTGGGTTGGCAACGACGCATCACAACATGTCGGTAAGGAGAGGAAACACGAGACAACGGGCAAATACCCCCATCAGCACCACTGTCGTCGGAGCTCCGGTGGCAAATCAACATGATATGAATACCGTCGATCTAAGCCACAATATTGACCTGACAGATGGTTCTTTGTGAAGACTCAGCGCTAAACAATGAGAGGACTTCCCACTACTTGTCCTGACGCGACCCAATTATCTATAGGACATCGCTCCCGCAGACGAGATAAGTTTGAGGTGCTCTGAACATGCAGACTGTCGGGTACAAAGCGCTACGCCTACTACCCAGCAGATAGTCGGACACGCAGCCGACACCCACCATGCCTTCCTCGGACGCACATGACTCGCGGAATCCGTACGGAAGGACGGGGCACATCGGAATGCACAATAAGCAGGTATTTGTGTATATAGTGTAATGAAGCTTGTATATGCAGCTAAAGCTCTGACAAAGCACGAGTTCTCCGTATGTCTTCTGAAGTCGTATGGTACTCCCGGCAACTCAGGTACCATGCCGGGAGGAATTGTGATCACGTGACTCTATTGCTGTGGCGCGGGCGGTGAGTGGCGGCAGAAAGTGACAAACTGAGTTCGATATAAATTTCTCGTGTGTGCCCACAACATTTGGCCTTCTCTCGTGCGCCGCTCCCCAACCGCTGCGTTCTCTGCTACCAACAATGCTCTTCTCCTGCTGAGCGGCAGTCGAGAAGAGCATTTTCCTTGCAGATGAGAAATTCGGAGTAATCTTCAAATCAGCCTGGGGCTTGAGTCATCTCGACTCTCGCCCTCAGGACTGCCCGCGAGGGTCCAGCACGATTCGTGCCCACAACTGGCATCAGAAACTTACAGGGCTCCTTGACGACCGTGTTCGACTTGTCGTCCGCGTGTCGTTCTTGGAGGATTCCCTATGGAAGAGCCATTGTGAAGATTGTATGGCGCGTCTCCTTGATGAGAGCGGACTTACTTTAGTGCAATCGCAGCGGAAGTCTGCCTGTTTCGAGGAACAGGCCAGGTTTCAATTCGATTCCGATTACTCTGGGGAGCGGCGCATCACCCGCCCTTTTTCATGTAAGTGCGCTCACTGTCCGCGAAGAACGGGATACTACTAACAATCCCGGTTCAACGGAGAAGTAGCTGTCTTTGTCGAGCCAGCAAAGGCTAATGGCCATTGACACCATTAACACCATTTGCACCACCTTCTGGCCTCGCCGAGAATTCTCGAAACGTGTCCAAATCCACCTGCCTCAGAGCACTATCCTCCGTGGCCTCCAAATGCACCCTCGGCACCCCGTTCCTACTGATCCTCCCATCTCTATATGCCTGTAATGCTTCCAGCCATCTCGATGTGCAAAGACACCATTTGCATCCTTCCGTCAACCCTGCACTTCGAAGATCATTCCCCTGCGATGCTGAGAAGTCCAAGAATTCGTTTGTAAGAACGCCTGCCACTGCGTGGTTGCCGAAGTCCGCGGCCCCGGTCTTGCAGTAACCATCTCTGTGGAAACCCGTTGGGGGCCTGTTGGAAAAGAACGCCAGAGGTTGCCTGAATACTAGTCTCGTCAGTGTCCGGATGCAGATCATCCTGGTAATATGTTGTACGCATACCATTCAGAGGGCCAGACATGGTCTCGGTCTGGGATATTGAAGGCGGTGGAGGAGGCGCTTTCCCTGCGGCACGAAACAATGGCGTTGGGAGTATTTTTGCACGGAGGCCGTTCAACAGGCTGAACCTGCGTGTGAGGCGACTTGCTGATCTCGGCAAGTGCATTAATGCTCAGCTACCTAAGCACGGTACTCGTAGGTGAGTCGTGAGGAGAGGTACGAGTAAGAGGCGTGACATTGGCTTTCAACCACATGGAATTCGAGAACGTCGGAGTCCTCAAAATGGAACCGAATGGCACTTTGGAAATGACGTCACCGTTGACCACTCAGAATTGTTCCTCGATTGCTCGAACCGCAAAACAGAAATACACCGTGCTCTCTATCTATGGCCTGAGATATCGTTAGCAGTTGTCTACCAGTCAATACCAATGACTGTGACAGCTTCAAGTGCAGCTCCTCGTCTGATGTCAAACTGTGCTGCGTTGGATCACTCGTGTCATGCAACTTATGAAGGCGCAGGCCGTACTCGCTGCCGCCTCCCTGGCGTGGTCTAATCAGATCTTACTTTTCAGAAGCCATGGAAAGATGTTGCTCAAGTCCCAGTGCAGAAACCAAAGTCACGATTCCAAAAAGAACACCAGAAACGTACTGTCAATAGTACTCTGGCTGACTTCTCCAACAGCGCCTGAAGAAGACAGTTTCCCGGTAACGACCAGGTCTACCATTTGCGAATGTGAATCCAAAGATCCTTGACACAGACTTTGCAACGCAGGATCGACACCCTTCGCGACGACCTTACCGAAGTTTGATCAAGCTCAGTACTAGAATACGGGTTCAGCTGCGAGAGTCCGACGGGGACGTCTGGATGGCTCTGGAAACAATAGGCCAGGAAACCGTTGGGTTTCCTGTTTACTGTATTAGGGTGGCTCGAGCGAATCAATGTATCCCAACGGCAGATAATTCAATACTAAACCAGCGACGATCAATTGAGGGATGAAGTCCTTTTGCGCTTATCTGTTGTTTGCAAACATCCAGAGTAACCGATCACTGTCCGTCCGTAAGAGGAGTTGGTGCCACATGCTCTCTAGGAAACTTTTGAACCGCTCCTGGCGAGAGACGCCGCTCCAGACGACGCTCCCTTCGCAACTATCTCACAAGTGCTTATCAGACCCTTCTGCATATGCGCGTGCCGCGATTCCGAATATCTGGGGAAACGGAGTATTCCGCGATGGATGTTGGCTCGTCGATTCGATGGATGTCCGCGTAGCAGCAGAGAAGCTGCTCCGTACATGCACTAGTCCCACAACAGAAAGTCGATCCTATCAACCGAGCTCGCTCAGCTGCCGCATCGACTTTCTTCTTCCGTGCATCCGCCCTCGACGTCCAGCAGAGAGTTGGTCGACGCCCGCAAGGCTTCCTTCGGGCACTTCTATCCTCTAGTTTCCTATTGAAGGCCGGCATGTCAATTTCTCACACCACACCATCGTCACCCAATACTGGAAAGTGGTCTGCCATGTTTGCCTCGCCCATGTGTAGAGGCAGAGCTTCCAAAGCCTATGGCGAAACAACAACTCCGCTCCAGAGGTGGGTGCCGGGAATGTCGTCGCATGCACCGTAAATGTTCCGAGCACCGGCCCAGTTGCGAATATTGCTCAAGTACAGGAAAAGAGTGTTCTTACGACAAACCCCTCCGATGGGGCGGACGGTCCTTTAAGAAATCTTGTTTTGGCCAGGTCCTTTCGTCTGGCGCTGTGGTCAAGCAATCTCACACAGCCGCCGCCGCCGCTGCCGCCTCGAATGGTAAGAACCGGTTGATGGAACAATGCGGTAGTGGTGAGGGCTAACCTTCTGACATAGCCTCTCAATCTCATTCCTTCGTCTACGGCCCAGGCAACGGTCAGTTTACTACGGGGACAGCCTCCACGCCTCTCCTTGAAAATGTGCCATTCCCAGATTCCTCCGTCGCGATAGGGGGTGTGGGTAATTCGCCCTCATCGCTCAGCGACCTCAGCTACGATCAGACCACGATCGCACGCTCTGACAGTACCCATAGTGCCTCACCTGGACTCTCCATCACGAGTCCGTCGGCCTTTACGACACCCTCCAATGACCTCGGGCGTGACCACGATGCCGATGTTGAACTCTTGCCTTATCCAAATGCGCCTGACTCTCCAGACGAGAAGTCATGCTCGGACCTGGTGGTCGACTTTGGTCTGCAAAAGACCAGCAGCCCGATCAACATCATCCTGAACCCCGACTGGCTCCCATGGCTTTCAAACGTCGATCGCTCTCTGTTGAATCACTTTACATTGACAGTGTCGAGCTACCTGTCTCTTCACCAGGCTATGCAGAACGACTTCTGTACGGTGCTACTACCGATGGCACTCGACACTTCGAACGGCACGCATCTCCTTTCTGCGATCCTCGGCCTGGCAGCGATTCATCAGATTTCTCTTGGGTCTTATACAGACGAGGCGTATCTGGCCCAGCTTCGATATACCAGTCTCCAACAGCTCAGACTGCAGCGGATCGGTCAAAATGCCGCGGTCGATGAACAGTCGATCGCTACTGCTTTGACCCTGTGTCTCTGTGACATCCTTGCGGGAGGAGAGAAGCCCAAATCATGGCGACTCCATTTGCAGGGAGCCGCAACAATGATTAGGAACTATTTCACAATGCACCCGCCAGATTCCGGAAACATCCTGGTTCTTTGGAGGTGGTGGAAGTCGTTGCAATCGTTGTCTACCCTCCTGGGGAATCCGGCCTCCAGACTGGAGCAGAAACCTCTCTTAGGTTTGGCTCCCTCCGATTCCGGCGACTACATTGACTTATATGACGGCTTCTCGACAAAACTGCCTCCCTTGATCGAAGAGGTTGACCTGCTCCATGCCGAAAGTCAAGCGCTGGAGAGGTTAGACGTTAGATTTGGTGAAGATGAAGCGGTTCAGGTATTGCGGAACGCACACTCGACGAGATGCGAAGCACTTTTGGGGAAGGTCAGTGGCATGATAGACAACCCTGTTACGGAACTCGAGCCATCCGGATCTACCGACGCGCAACCCGAACCCGCGTCTGACTATTTCTCTCTCAACGAGGCGTACCATCTCGCGGTGATGCTACAGATATACCAGAGGGCCATGAACGTGAGTATCGTAGATGACAGGGTGCAAGAGTTGGTGGAAAGGGGGATCAAGTGTCTTAGCGGCATCACCATCTACGAGTTTGCCAGTCCCGGAGTTGCGACGCTACAACCGCTGTTCATCTTTGGATGTGCGGCACAACGTGACCAAGATAAACAGTTTGTGATGGGTTGGATTGAAAGAATGAGAAGAACCTATTCGCTCCGCAACACTGATTCCGCTCGAGATTTTCTCCTGGAACTTTGGCGAAAGAGAGAGTCCATGGGCTCGATGGGGACTCAATATCAGTACCACCAGTTGCTGTGTGCGTATCCCAGTACCGATCCCGTCGTGATTATTTGTGTTTTTTTGGTGTTGTATGCAGGAACGAATTGCTAACTTGCGAGCAGCTGAGAAAGACTGGGATTTGTCTCTCTGGTGAATCTGGACTGATTGGGTCACGAAACCACCGGACCACACCTTGTGCTTCCTTTTTCCGTCCCACGCACGCAACACTTGCCCATTATTTCTTACGAAGTCAACGCCGCCAACCACAAGCAAACAGACCATACGATGGACTCTTGTGACGAGATCACGAATTGAGCAAGATACCCCCCTCCTGCCCCCAAAACTCGCTCATGAGCAGGTTCTCAGTCGACCAATAGGGGAGTTGGGATTTATACAGATATGATCCACAATTGTGATCGAGGACCTTAAAGAAGGGCAGCAGAAGATGGGAGTGCGCTGTGCATGTATTTATCAGCATTTGGGAAAGAGTGTCATCTTCGGCGTCTTGTTATTACTCTCCATCTTCCTGTCCTGTTTCTCTGTCTCTGATTTGGAACTGTTGTTGTTGTTGGAATCGACTTTTTACATTTTACCCTTTCCGTTTCCGTCAACACGGTATCAACCTGGGGTCGACAAGATGGCAATTGAGAAATACTCTCTACCACCGCTGCCTTATGGATTAAATGTATGAAATGAACCACTGTACCGTACTCCATTGCACTGCACGGCACCCCCGAGCAACGAAGAAACAAAGACACCTCCTCCTCAACCCCCTTCTTTCCCACCCACCTCCACCCCGCTGGCTAGGTTAGTTTTGTTTTTTTGTCGACACGACGGAACCTGGACCTTGCTATCTATCTATCCATACCCTCTGCCCTTCTCCTCTTCTTCCGAGGAGGTTTAAATGATGATGAACTTGAAGTGACATTTTTTGCCTTTTTTTTTCCGGCTTTTGCTTTAGGACCTCGAACCGTCCATATCCAGTCAGATAATGGAACTGCACTACACGCGCCACCACCAGACGTACATCACGAACCTGAACAACGCGCTCGCGTCGCACGCCGAGGCGCTCTCTACGGGTAACCTGATCAAGCAACTCGAGCTGCAGCCCCTGATCAAGTTCAACGCAGGGGGGCACATCAACCACACGTTGTTCTGGGAGGGGCTCACACCGCCACGGTCGTCGTCGTCGCCGTCGTCGTCGTCGGCGACTGACCTCTCGACCGCGGCCCCGAACCTCCACGGCGCCATCGTCCGGCAATGGGGCGGCGTCGAGCAGTTCAGAAGTGCGTGGGAGACCGCGGCGCTGGGGATCCAAGGGTCCGGATGGGCGTGGCTTGTCAAGACAGTGACACCTGGGGCCGGGGGAGCCGGCGACGGCGCTACGACCCTCGAAATCACAACGTCGAAGGATCAAGATCTCCCCGCGTCCGGGAGGCTCGCGGTCCTGGGCGTCGACATGTGGGAGCACGCGTATTATCTGCAGTACTGGAACAACAAGAAGGAGTACGTGGCCAAGATATGGGACGTGTTGAATTGGAACACCGCCGAGAAGAGGTACCTCGGAGACCATCGGGCGGTGTACGGTGATCTGGTCGGCCTTGCAGGAAGACTGTAGTTGGCGGTTTTTTTTTGGCGGTTCTTCTCTGTATCCACCTGCCGGTGTACCTGATGCAGGGGGTATGGATCGAGTGTATCTTGTACGAGCGTGAGTGCAAGTGCCAGTGCGAGTGTCAGTGTGATTGTGAGTGCGGGTTGGGGGTGAGAGAGAGAGAGAGAGAGAGAGAGTATGTGAGTGAGTGTGTGTGTATCGGAGTGCGGGTGAGTGAGTGAGTGAGTGTGAGAGAGAGAGAGAGAGAGAGACCGTGCGAGTGAGTGAGTGAGAGTGTGAGAGGGGGTGTGTCTGTGTGAGTGAGAGTGAGCATGAGCATGAGCATGTATTAGCACGAGCATAAACAGGAGCATGAGCGTGAGTACAGATATAGGTATCCTAAGAAGAACCACATGAACTGACAACGCAAATCATCGAGTATTCTATTATGACTTTTGCAAAAAGGCACGTCTTGAGTTTGTGTTTGTGTGTGTGTGTGTGTGTGTGTGTGTGTGTGTGTGTGTGTGTGTGTGTGTGTGTGTGTGTGTGTGTGTGAGAGAGAGAGAGAG